TCCTAAGCTTCATTTTCTACGTGGAAAAAAATTTAGAATCGCCGTTTCTCTATAAAAAAAAATTTCTGAAAAAAATCTTCTTGACCTTCTGATTGACATATCGCTAGGCCAGGGTACTGTAAAGGTGTATAAACCTCTTATTTTTTTGCACACTATTTAGTCATACAGCTCAAATTAATACCTCAAGTCAATTACATTAGTTTAAAACTTGATAACTCTAACAAGGGGATTTTTTTTCACTCCAGGTTAAAATTTTCTTGAAACTTGGCTGGAGTTTAGTTGAGAAACTACGATTTTCAGAAAAAAATAAATTAATTTTTTTCGGCTTCTGCTTCATAGTCGATATATCGCAAATTACAAAATGGAGAAATTTTTAATTTAAAAGCTAGAAAATGAGGCGAAAATTGAGAAATTCTCCTCTTTTTTCTGTAATCTGGAACCATTCAGCCAAGTCAGACCAAAATTTCAAGCGAAAACGAGAAAAAAAAAACCCATTTTCAAACTAATTTTTACAAGAAGGCCCTCAAAAATCCGCCGTTCCTTTCAAGAAAAAGGGGCAGTTGTTCCATTCCATTGGCCTTTTGGTTTCGAATCACGTCGCTCTGTCCTTCCTTGGAAGAAGCATATTAGGTTTCCCTTTTTGGCCCATCATCATGTACAAGACGCACGCGACTTTGTCATAGTCTACATTTCGTTCAGTGGAGCAAATTTAGAATTTACAGATTGAGAAAAAAAATTTTCTCGGATGAATAGCCGCCACCACGGAGAGCGTGAACCAAAAAGGTGATTTCTAGAAAAAAAAAAGCCAAATTCCGAGAAATTCGTTATCCGGTTGAAGACAAACTGTTGAAAAATGCTCTCTGAGGTATTTCAAGGAGGATAGTCGAGATTGGAATGGTCTCGAAGCGAAGAATCATTTTTCAGTCGCAGGTCATGCGCCTTTAAACTACCCAGTGAAGGTTTAAAAAAAAAATTATTTTACTTAATCTTGACATAAACCTAACAGGAACTAGTGCTATGAGATAAGTTTTGACACTGAAATGGGAAGTTTATTCCTTTCAAAGTCTGATTTTAAAATTTTTTTTTTTCGATTGTTTAAAAACCTAAGCTTGGATTTTAAAGGAGCATAGGCGATTTCAGAAAGGTCTTGTGGGGAAGAATCGTTTTTCAGTGATTTACGAGCTCAAAACTAAGTCTCTGTGCCTTTAAAGTATTATCTGATTTTTTTTCGATTTCAGCTTTTTAAAAACCTACGCTTTAGAGTTTAAAGGAGCATAGACAAATTCAGAATGGTCTTGCGGCGAAGAGTCGTTTTTCAATATTATACAAGTTCAAAAGTAGCTGTCTGCGCCTTAAAAAGTTTATCTGATTTTTTTTTTCGATTGAAGCTCTTCAAAAACTCACGCTCTGGATATTAAAGAAGCCTAGGCGAACTTAGAATGGTCTTGTGGCGAAAAGTCGTTTTTTAATAACATACGAACTCAAAAATAGGCCTATGCGCCTTTAAAAGCTCTAACAATAATTTTTGACTCTAAGATCATTTTTTTAAATCATTTTTTTTCAATTGAAACTCTTCAAAAACCTACGCTCTGGCGTTTAAAGGAGCATAGGCAAAGTCATCTACGAGGTCTCTGCGCCTTTAAAAGTTCTAAAAAGGCTCTAGAATCATTATCTGACGATTTTTGAACAGACCTCCTAAATAGGATGAGATTCCGACTAAAAAGAAATTCTATAGTCCAGAAAAGTATGACGCAAACTTCAGCAAAAAAATAAATAAAACAGGAAAAAATTCCTGGAAAAGAAAGCGCAGAAAAATTGGAGGATCGTCTTGCCAGAAAGGCGATACGCTTGAGACACTGCTTTGGATCGGCCAGGCATTCCTCCTCGGCTGTTTATACGTGTCGTCCTCCCGCGTATAAACAGCCCAAAAGCGCCAGTTGCACTCCGGGAATTAGTGTTTTCCAAGATTTGTACTGTTGTAGTTGCTCTTCTCGGCTTGTTTTTACAAGGGACGAGAGTTTGTACAGGAGGTTGTGTTTTTTGGGTGGATTGGATGGGTATAAATATTGGCTGGGAAGTGGAAGATGGGATGGTTTTTTGGAGCTTGAGGAGTAGTTTTTGAAAATTTGGAACGGAATTCGGAAGAAAAATGAGCTGGGAATGGCTCGAAGCGTCGCGGTTGCGGTGCGTTCAGGAAAAGCTGACTTCCGGAGAACCAACCGTCCACAAAGCCCAAAAAAGGAAAAAGTCAACGATATTAAAAATCGTAAACCAGTGAGTTAAGTCCTACCGTAACCCAGTAAGGGGGCGGAGCCTCACAGTAACTAGCCTAAAAGTTTACAAGTTATGTCTAGTAACTGTGATAATGATTTTAACTCTCAAAACAATTCGTATCAAGGTGCGCGAGTAATTCTTTGTCGGATGCAATAGTAAGATTCTTAAATAATCAAGGATTTGACTGGACCGCATCGCGACCGCGACGCGTTAAACCATTTTAAAGATAGAACAGTTTTGATAATCCGATTCATTCGCTCAAGTCACACCCCAGCAAAGAAAAATTAAAGGATCATGGTTACGAATGAAAATGGGTCTCAGAAAGATTGAAAAATACTACGGTAGAGTAACAGGACTCTTCAATCGGGACGAGCTAGAGATGACTTGAAAAAGTATTTAAAAGAATCGAGCTTGAAAAATAGGTAAGGTGAAGCTGTTTTAGTAGAGGAAAGAGTGAAAAAGAAAAAAAAGGAGATGGATTTTGAATTTAAATATAATTTGCTTTCAAAAAAATTGATAGACAACTCGCTAAGGAATCACATTTTAAAATTATTTTTTTGAAAAATTTTTTTAAAAAAATTATGATAATTTTTTTCAATGGTATGGCTGAATGTTGGATTTTTTCAAAGAAGTCTGTCAATGGAGTAAGTCTACTTTTCGGTTGGGGTTTTTCGGAAAATTGGCCAGAACGCTCCTTGAAGAACCAGGAGAAGATTCTGGAAGTCTCAACCTGCCCAACTTCCTAGTTTTCGAGAAAGGACACCTTAAAGTCAAATAAAACACTAAAACCGTAAAAATAGGCCATTTTAAGGCTTTTAGCGCTTATTTCTTGAGAACTAGGAAGTTGGGCAGGTTGAGACTTTCAGAATCTTCTTCTGGTACGTCAAGGAGTGTTCTGGGAAATTTTCAGGAAATTCCCAACCACAAAGAAAAAAATGACCCCCTTTTTCATATTTTTAAAAAAATTCCTCAAACGGATTTTTTTCAATTTGGATATATGTCAAATTTGAAGGAAGATAAAATTAATTGATTTAAAAAAAATTAAAAAAAGTGCAAGAAATAAGTCAGAAATAACGCACAGACATCAGGAAAACACGAACTTCAAAGAACCCAAGTTCAACCTTTTTTTTTTCGTTTTCTCCTGAACCTCATCATATAACCAATTCATTGCGTGCTTCTGCCAATCTCGGACTTTTTTTCTTTTTCTTTCCTTTCTCGCACTTGCGTCGCCTCGTGCGAACTTCAAACTGAAAAAATGAAATGAAACGAAAAAAAAAGTGAAGAAAACGAGGAAAGTGTTCGGAAATGCGATACTTTGAGGTTTCTGGGACATGTTTCTAGACTTTTTGCAAAGGTCAACTGTTGATTTTCTGGTTTTTTAATTTTTTGAAGTTGTAAGGAGGACTTGAGAATCCATAAAAAAAGATAAATATTGTGCAAAATTGTCAGAAATCAATTTCAATTTATTCAAGAGGCACGTTTTTTTGGGATTTTTCGAGAAGTAAAATTACTAGATTTTTCAGGTTTACATCATATTTTTTTGTTTAAAGATGATGAAAGAATTGATAAAAGTGAAAAAAATAGATATTTATTTGATATGAACTCAAAAAGAGAATTTTTTTCTGCTCCTCTGTCGAAAAAAAGTTATATGAAACAGGAAGAAAATGACAAGATATGGAAAAAAATTTATTTCAGAAACCTGTTTCTAGGCTTTTTTTGAAATGTTTTGTGTGTTTTCACTAATCTTGATGAAAATACAGATGGAAATATTGATAAAACACTGGGAAAAATTTTAAGTGGTCACTAAAGAGCCGCGGACTACTTGGAGAGGACACTAAAGTGGCCACTAAACCCACCTCTATAGTGGTCCCTATTCTCCGTCTCAGTGGCCACTATAGAGGCTCTATATTCAGTGGCCCCTTAAGTAGTTTTTCATCCAGTATTCCTTCCAGTAACTCTGATAATTTTGAAACTAACAGATTGGACCAGTTATGTTGATCCTTTGACCCCTGAAGTGGCCACTAAAATTTTAAATGGTCTAGCATTTAGACCTCTATAGTGGCCACTAATTTTTAACCCCTTAAGTGTTCACTAATTTTACTACTAAAGTGGCCCTTAAAACGTCAAAACCATATAGTGGCCACTAAATTTTTCCTTACAATTTACAAATTGTCTTTTTTTCTGTCGATTGACGAGAGTATGCATTCAGAATGACGCAATTTTGTATTTTTTTCGAAAAACTTTTTTGATAAGGCATGATCCGGTTGTGTAGTATACTGTGAGCATCAATAAATTTTCCCTCTTGGCTTCGGAATTTGTAGAAGGAAGTTTTTTCAGTGACAAAGTGCATTTTGAAGTGTTTGAGAAAATGTATTTCCATGAAAAATTAGCTCAATCCTGGACTGCGATATGAGGAACTTCATACACATTTTTCATGATTTTTTTAAAAATCCCAATTGTATTTTATAATAAATTCAAGCTATTATTCGATCTCTGGAGCGAAATTCTCAGTAAGACACTTTTTTGTAGTTTTTATGAACTTTTATGAAATAAACCCTTTATTAGTAGCATCAGTTATGAGAAAGGAAAAACCAAAAAAAAAACCACACAGCAAAAAAAAACACAATACAAAGCAATCACTATGCAGCAGTTTATTTGAGATCAAAGCTGGAACCTTCAAGAACAAAAAAACCAAAAAAGTAAGAAAAATGGAATTTTCAAGGGCATCAGAAGGCGGTTAGAAAGCCTTGTGGTCTTGGCATCGGCTCATTGGCGGCCTTCTTTTTTTCCTCGGTGGAATCTCGCTTTTGGGTGTACCTCTGCATGGTGTACTGGTAACGTGGCGGCATCGCTGGTGTGAACTGGAAAATGGGTCATTTTCCGGTTTCTGGTTGGGTTTTAGGTGATTTTTTTTAAAGTAGAAGCTGATTAAAGACGGGATGGTTTGATTTCAAACAATTTAGCTAGGATAAAATGACTTTTTTTTTGGAGTATTTTTCTCAGTGGTTGATGAAGCTTGAGATCGAATCAAAAAACGCTTCAAGGGATCACTCAAGGGTTGAGGTACAAGTAGTCACTTGGTCACTCACGGAGCTTTTTCAGAGCAATTGTCATACGGGGAAAGTCATTGAAAGTTGCGCTTGGGAATTTTCTGGTCAAATAGATGTACCAAATAAAGGTCCTCGATATTCCAATCTGCACAAATTTCTAATTTGCGCAATCTCAAGGGCTAAGATTCTAAAAATGACCTGTTTTTTTGATGGATCAGGCCAATTTTCGGAAAATTCCTAATTTTATAGTAAACCTTGTCAGATTTCCAAGTTTATAATGTGATTTGAATCGAAAGGCATCGCAAGTTTTACTTGAAGGACCACTTGGGAAGGAGTCCCTGGAGTTTTCACTTGAGGTTCTTGAGCAGGATTTTATTTTGATTGAATGAAGTGGACCCCCCAAAGTCACTAAACCCACTTCTATAGTGACCACTATTTCCGTTTTAGTGGCCACTTCAGTAGTTTTTCATCCACTATTCCTTCCAGTAACTCTGATAATTTAAAAAAAAACGGATTGGACCAGTTATGTTGATCCATTGACCCCTAAAGTGGCCACTAAAATTTTTAATGCTCTAGTAGTAGCACTTAGACCTCTACAGTGGCCATTACATTTAACCCCTTAAGTGACCACTAACTTGACTACTATAGTGGCCACTAAAACGTCTAAACCCTATTGTGGCCACTAAAAATTTCTCAGAATCACTAAATTTCTTACTCAAACCATGCTTATTTCTGATTCGAATCCCTTAAGGTACCAGTAGAGAGCTCTTAGACGAAAATAACAGATTTTGACTAAATAACCAGTCAGAAGATAACTCGGGAAGAGCATTTAGGAATCCCTAAAGTGGCCACTTCAAGTAAGTTTACCAGGAAAAAAATCAGTTTGATCCCATTTTCCAAAATTCCTATTTCAAGAAAGTTTTTACTCGGAGGTAACGCTGAACGGATGCAAATCGTTTAGTGGCCACTTTAGTAGCGTCAGGCCTCTTAAGGGATCCCTTGAGATGCTCAGAAACGTTCGGAGCACGTCCGTTCCGCGTTACCAAAAGGACCCTTCAGATCTTTTTTTTTTTCTTTGAAAATTTTTTTGACTTTTTATCTGTCCCTGTACTGATTGAAGAATCAAGGTCTTCTCAAAAATAAGCCCTTTAATCACTGAAACTTTGCATCGCCCTACAGTATCTCTTGTTATCGATTCTATTTTGAGAAAAGCTTTTGAGTAAACAATGTAGAAAATCTTCCTTGCCCTGGAATGTCGATAACGGCCTATAATTAACTGATCACACTTTTTAGTTAGATAAATATGTCTTTTTTTAGCCTTAAGTAGGGAGTTAATGAACAGGAACTGGTGAAATACTCGATAAAGAGGGCTAAAATTAGAATTTTGTAATTGGCCGGAAGTAGAGCTACTGATAGGGGGGAGGGGGAGGCATACATCGGCTGGAACCACCCCGGGGTGCGGCCTATCCCTTCAAACTGCGGCCTACCCCTCAAACTGCGGCCTACCCCTGAAAAAGTGCAGCCTACCCCCGAAAAACTGCGGCCTACCCCCGAAAAAGGGCGGCCTACCCCCTCAAACTGCGGCCTACCCCTGAAAAAGTGCGGCCTACCCCCCAAAAAAAGTGCGGCCTACCTCCGAAAAAAATGCGGCCTACCCCCGAAAAAATGCGGCCTACCCCCGAAAAAAATGCGGCCTACCCCCGAAAAAAATGCGACCTACCCCCGAAAACATGCGGCCTACCCCCGAAAAAAAGTGCGGCCTACCCCCGAAAAAAAGTGCGGCCTAAGTGCGGTCTACTCCCGAAACTTTTTTCCGTACATTTTCAAAACTTTTTTTCGCTCGCAAAAAGCTGAGGGGGACCGGGGCTTTCTCAAAAAAATCCCTTTCTTCTTAGATACTCTCCAGCTTTTCCCATTTTTTACATTTTCCCTTTGCGGGTCGGACCGCCCGGGGCGACTGTTTCGAACCACGGGCCGACCCGGGACGCCCGTCGGGAGTAATATTGATTTTGAACTTCAAAAACCTCCACAAGAACAGAAATTTCGTAGAGATTCAGTGTTATAGAAGTGTTTTTAATTATTTGATACATTTCATACATTTTAAACATAATCTGAGTGATTTTCAAATTTTTAGCATGAAAGTATTGTCGATGGTCGCACGGAGAATGGCTCAACGACGCCGCATCTTTCAGTACCTTTTAAAAATTTCCCCATTCTCCTTCAAACAAGGATCTTTCATTTCAATGATACCATGTTCCAGACATTTATCAATCTCAAAATGTCAGAATAATGGCGTGTCTCCCCCTAATCAGTTATTAAAAACGAATAAACTTCTAAATTTCCCTCAAAAGATAAGAAAACAAACCTTTGGTTTGTTGACTCCTTTTGGGACTTCTCCTCGTGTCGGGGATCTGGATTTTGGGCTTGAATTTGTAGAATTGGGAGCGTTTGGGACCGAGTAGCTTCGTGCCTTTGTTTGGGACATTTTTGTGACTTTCTGAAAATGAATAGAATAAAAGTGAAGCGAAGATCGTTTTTCCCCGTTATCAGTTGTCTTATCAGACAAATCAAAATTGAGCATCGAAGGTGAGGAAACAAGGTTCAAAGAAAGGCAAAACGTGGTCGATAAGCGTGATCTTTTCAATTGTTTCGAAGGAATTTCGAATATTGACCGACTTTTACAAGTTTTTTTTTGGAAGATGAAATCCTCTGCATTGAACTTCTCTGCATTGAATTTTATTCAGATCAGAAAAAATGTTACTTTTCGAACAAAAATCCCTCCAGACCTGCCCCTGGTTCTTTTCAAGTCCGCCCGACCTAAAAATACTTCCGCGGGGAAGCATTGCAGCCGTTCCAAGGGCTGCCAGGATTTTTCAAGGCAGATTTAAATTGGAATGAGGTCTAGAAATGTTATGACATTCTTTAAGATTGAATAACCTGCTTCAAAACGCGCCCGACCCAAAACGACTTGCGCAGCTAACTATGAATAAGTGGTTAAGGCTCATCCCAAGTGAGCCACTTAGGTAATCTCAGAGCAGTCCCTATAGAGGCTACCGTAGGGGTCCTTGGAGGGTCCCTTCTAGGGACCGTCTTACCAACCCCTATAGGGGCCACTAGGGCATGCAAAAGTGACCCCTATAGGGGTTTCAGTATCATTAAACCACTTTTTCGATCCCTAACCCCTATAAGTAGGGGGCGCAAAGCCCCGCCCCTTCATGCCACCAAAATGACGATTTTTTTGTTGCAGAAACGGTTTTGAGGCGTTTATACTAGCTAAAGTCCCACTTTAAAAATGAACTGTTTCTGTTAAGCTATGTAATCGACAACGCTCTACAAGACTGAATGTTTTTAAAACTATGTATTTTTCAAAAATAAGCGAAAAAATAAGAATTAACACGAAAAAAACTGAAAAGTTTCACAAAATCGTCGCGTTTCAGAAAACCAAGTGAGGAACGCTTCCGAATTTTGAGTATGTTATACATTAACACTTTCTTTATTTTTTTGAGTGAAAAATGAAAAAAATCTACCGACGCGAAAAAAATCAAAGCTTGTAAAGTGACACCAAACTTTGAAGCTGAAATGCGAAAAAAATTTTTCAGCGAAATGATATACTTTTTATTTGATTTAAAAACTAACAGTGTGTTCAAAAATAAAAATTCAAAATGAAAACAATTATTGGGACAGCGAATCAAATTATATTTGAGTTTTACCAAAACCTCCTTTTTTCGCCTGCCTCGTTGACGCTTGAGAGAATAGGATCGCGTCTATACTTTTTGATTATGTTATTAAGCGTTCAAAAACTCTATCAATGAAAAAAATTATGAAAAAAATCAAACGACGCGAAAAAAATAACGGCTTTAAAAACCTCGAAAAAATGTCAATTTTTTTTGAAATTTTGGAAGAATTCGTGCAAGCGTTCGTAGCTGTGTTTGCGTCAAACACACCGATACGCCATTTTAAATGTCCACTAAGAATAACTGACGAGATAAACGCGAGCTCGGTGGCGGTACATTGACTAACTCGCAAAAATGTCGCTTTTTTCTAGGCGCGATCCCGCATTTCTCTCGGCGCGACCTCGCATTTTTCTCGGCGCCATCTCGCATTTATCTCGCATTTCGGAAATTTTCAAATTGCGAGAGAAATGCGAGCTCGCGCCTAGAAAAATGCGAGCTCGCGCCCAGACAAATGCGAAACCGGCGCGAGAAAAAAAGCGAGATGTTTGCGAGCTCGTCAATGTACCGCCAGTGTCTCGCGTTTATCTCGGCAGTTATTCTTAGTGTCGCAGGAGCCGTTTTTCGGAGTCAAATTGCACATTTTCCTGTTTTATTTCGAAATAACATTATTTTTCATTTTTTCTTTTTTTCAAACCAAATGATAATAATTTTTCTCATTAGAAAAAAGAAAAATAAGCTGAAAATTCCTTCTGACCTTTTTTTCTAAGTAGTTTTTTTGATATTTTATCAAAAAAATTCTTATGAGGATTGTACAAAAGATTCATACCAAAACATGAGGCTCAGTTCGGACAACCTCTCAGAACAGAAAACCGATTTAAAAACGGTCCAGAAACGCGCAAAAACATTTAAAAAGAAAGCGTGCGGCAGCGGGTAAACCGTGAGATTTTGCCTCCAGTTGTACGCCGCGCGCGCTCGTTTTTTGGCCATAACTTTTTTCTTAGTGGAGCTTTTTTCAAAAGCTAAACGGATTATGAAAATGGACAGTCTCCTCTATCGAACAATGTGAAAAACATATTTTTTGAATCGTTCTGAAGAAATGGCTTGCGGACCCTACCTATAAGGACCACTCTGGAAATCCTGAGAACAGATGAGAGAATTCTTCAAATCACAAAAGTTTCTGTTAATTTTGTTATCATCTCCTGAAAGTTCCGAAAACATTGTGCGATTTTGAAATCATCCTGGAATGTTTATTTCGTCATTTCCGATTTATTTTTTGCGTCATTTTTGAAAATTTACAGTCTATTTAAATAGTTTTGAGTTCGAGAAAAGGTTTAACAGTAATCTTTTCCGCTGAAAAAAGTTGATCTGAACTTCTACTGGCCGCATGAAGAATGGCTCAACGCGTTGCGGTCGCGTCGCGTACTCAGTTTGAATTTTCGAAGCTCGATTTTTAGAAATGCTATTTAGGGAAGTTGTGCTAATGCTTTTGACGCCTACACGGGCAAGTTTTTTTTCGTCGGGAGCTTCGGAAAAAACGACGCGTCGAGCCATTCCACGCGCGACCACGGGACTTCAAATTTAAGGAGTATTGAACTTTTGGAAAGCTCTTCCCAAAATTATTTTTCAGGAAATAAGATAATTTTGCTCAAAAAGTGAATAGTTTTCGATCAAAAAAACAAATTTTTGTCTGTTTTTTCATCACTTTACGTTTTCAAACCATACTATATAGTCATCTTAAAACTTTATCACCACAAACAACGACTATCAGAGCAGAATAGTCAGAAAACAAAAGAAGAGCGAAAAAAAATGACGACTAGGGGGTGGGCATGTGACTGAAATCCACAATTGATGATAAAAATGATAGCGAAAGGCCCTGGCTGGTCTTTATATCAGTTTCGATAAGGACAATCACGCCTACAAATCAAGGGGAGAATGATTTCGTGTGTTGCACAAGAAATGTGTCCGAATTTACAACCGGATGACTCATCGAGGAAATTGGGAGATGAACCTTTCTTGCAGGGCTTCCTGGAAAATCAGGAGAGGTTTTTGAGTAGTTTGATGAGAAATTTTTTTGGAGGTGTACCATAAAAGGGCAAAGATACACTTCTCAAATAGCCTTCAAGCTGCCCCGGTGTCTGAACGGGTTTACCCGAGTTAAACCCGTTTTTTGAAGGCTCTTTTTGTTAAAATTTTGCTGAAACGGGAGAACAGCGGGTTTACCCGTGCTAAGCCCGAAAAAGCACAGCTTGAAGAACTTCTGGCCCTTTTTACCCCACTTGAGGCCCCGTTTCAGCTCATGTATTACTCTAACAAAAATTGGGGTGTATCCCGCAGTGAAAATCGAAAAAAGTGAACTTTTCGTTGATGTCTTCGACCTGGAGAGCGTTCATCCCTAGGGCAACCGGTCGGAAATAAAAAGTTTTTTATGAGTTTTTGTAACTGCTTAGAATGGAACTGTGGAAAACGAGGATGTTGGGAAACAAATCACTTCGAAATCGTGTACGGAATAAGTACCTTAATACCAGGCGGGGTGCACCGAAAACAATGCGGGGTGCACCGAGAGTTCGACGCGGGGTGCTCCGCAACTTTCGTTAGAGAACGCATATTTTTGAAAACACAGCTGGATTACCAATTTTGTTTTCTTACGCACGTTTCAGCACAACTGAGACACGAATAGCCTCGAAAAACACGGGTTTATTCCCCCTTTGAGGCACCTGGCCTGCTTGAGAGCACGCTCTGCGGTTTTTTGAAAAGGGCCAGATTTTTTCTTGATGAACTAGATAAAGACTCTGAAAGTTTTTGATTTCAAAAAATTCCTGAACTTTGGGAAAAAAGGGCTCAAAGTTGAAAAAAAAAACCATCGATGGGTCTTTTTCTGCAAAACTGGGACAATGTAGCATATCGAAACTCTAGGGGACTTAATCTGGTAAATTCGGGAAATTTTTGGACCAATCTTCAGAAAATTCGGGAATTTCCCTTAAGTGGAGACTGAAATTTTTTTCAATCTTTGCTTATAAAAAAATTTTAAGTTTGCAAATTTTTTTGATAATTTTTCTTCAAATGCTTAAATTTGAGTTAGCCGGATTTGTCAAAAATTGCATTTTTAGTTTTTAAAAATTGCGATTCCTCAATTTTGAATAAATATTACTACTTCGCGAACTTTGATTAAAATTGGATATTCATGATTTTTTTAATAATTTATCACTCAAAAATTTTTTTAAATTGTTGAAGAATCTCTTAAAGTCCAAATTTTTCCTCCCCTTTTTTTCACCCTATAATTTTTTTAAAATAATATATCATTTATAAAATTTTTCAAAAAAATTATATATTCCGAATGAGGCAAATTTGCTCCAATGAACAATTTCCAGGTCACGCTCTAAAGGCCGCCCTGGCGTCGATTGGAGTGTTGTAAGTGCGCGTCGCTCTTCATCGCGGACCGACTCGCCGTCTGCGTCTCTCCGCCTCTGAAGTTTTTGCCGCGACTCGCTGAATGTGCGCTCCGTTGACACGTTCCCGCCGTTCTCCGTCCATTCGCCAGACTATTGCCGCCAATTTCTCAATTCAACTTATTCTTTTTCTTTTTTTATTCTTTTTTTCATGCTCAATATTTTATTCATCGTTCAAAGTATCACAGCTTCCATATGAAAGTTGTTTTGAAGTTTTTCGGCGATGAATTTCGGAAAATGTTGCCCATTCTACATTTTGCAATTCGTGCACACTTTTCGGACACTTACCGTGCCGTTGCTATTTTTATTCCATGGTCCGTTTCTATTGGCCTTTTAAAGTCGTTCTTGTGTTGGTTTTGTATTATTTTGCATGTTTTAAACATAATGTTCCTGATTTGAAACCTTTATACCGTTTTTTTCGTTCATCGTTGCTTTTGAAGTCTGCCGAAAGTTTGCTCCAATAGTTTTTTTTTTTCTGTGTACCGTTTGGTTTCATTAAAAAATTTACCTCGTTCAGCAGTTTTCAAGTATTTTTTGTTATGAGGAATGTTGCATAACGCTAAAAAAATATTTTTTTGAATATCGTTTTTTTGGGCTTCTTTTTCAAAAAAATTTTTTTCGTTATTTTCTTCCGTTCGTAAATTTGTTTTTTAGTTTTTTTTTCGCTCTTTTTGAAAGTCAATCAACACAACATTTGCTCAATTATTTAAAGGCGCGGAAATCGTGTGCGCTTTTTTCAAAATTTTCGCGTTAGAACCATTTCTTTCTGGATCTTCGATGAATGAACTTTTCTAATAAAGTTGTTTTCAAAAACTATCAATTGATATTGTTTAATAAAGATAACTTTTTTCTATCATTTCGTTTATTTCCGCTTTATATATTTTTTCAGTATCATTATGAGGTTTTCCAAAAGAATAATTTGAAGAAACTGCCTAATTTAAAGCTTCTTTGCATTCAAAAACATGAGAGAAAGAAAATGTCTCCCAAAGAGCAAAACGTGCCCTAGCGCACAGCCGCAACGCGGCCGCAGCGCGTTCCTTTCACAAGCAATCCTTCCTTTCTTTTTTTTTTTCTCTGCTTTTTGTCTCAATCTGATTAATTTTCCACATTCCATATTTTTTTTGTAATCCTCAGCTTTTCCAAATGCGCTTCGTGTGATTTCTTTTCAATCGTTCGATTTTTTTTGTGCGTCGATAAAGAAAATTTTCTTTTTCAAACTTCATATTTTCAGAATGAGTGAAAATGGAAAAGTCGCTGTCAAGGAGGAAGTGGAAGATGAAGAATATATGGATTCGGAGGTAAAAATTTCAAATTTGACTCGGTTTAGTATTAATTGAAGAGCTTTATTCAAAAAAATCAAAAAAAGTTTGATTTTTTTGAATTTTGATTGAAAAAAATTCCTATTTCAAACGGGGCAAAATTCATTTTTTTCGCCTTGCTATTTTTTTCATTTTTTTATTTTTCTGATGGAAGTCAGAGACGAAGAGGATTTCCCGATCGATATCTGTCTCTCGTCGTCTGCCTAGCGCTTGAGAAAAGCGAAATAGTGCATGGTGCGGAGAGAGTAGGAAAGGGCGCCAACAAAAGAGACGCAGACGACGAGAGATTTTTGCCGCCTGTTGTTGCTCGAAACTCTAATGCGGACCAAACACGGCGAAAACTAAAATTGAAACAAATCATCTAAATAAAAAAGTTTTGATTCGGTACTTTGATATAAGACTTCTGATTATAAAAAAAAAATTAATTTTTGAATTGGGCAAAAGTGGAGTTTTTTAAAAGTAGGCTAGTCGTATGTCGTTCGAAATGACTTGAAAAGCTTGTTTGAATCAGAAAAAAAAAGTAAAAAATTTCTAAACTTTTTTGCACACTATTCGGTTCAGGACCATCTAGTCGAAAAATTAAGGGTCCTTTAAGTTTTTTCTAGCTCAATAAGGGCATTTCGAAAAAGCTGCTTGTATTGGAAAGACGCCACAATTATGATCAACAGTTCACAAACGAATAAATAGTGAGAGTAATCATTTTAATGATTTGCTGAAACGTAGCTTCCGCTTGCTTTTGAGCATTTCATTTTCGTATAAAATTTATTTTGAGCCTAATGTTAAATTTACTAGAATGCATATAGTAGACATAGTCGGATTCTTTAGGGACCTTCAAAGGGCGAAAAAAGGGTCCCTTGCGGAGCCCTTTTGTCTCATTTTTACATCCAATATCGATTATTTTTCCTGCCTTTCTGGAGCTTCAAAAAAATTTGCAAAAATAAAAGCCAAAAAATTACTACGACTTGAAAACATCAATCTCATTGCAGTCCGTCAATGAGCAGCCCCAGACCGGCCTCGAAGCCAAATTCCTGCCGTTTATCCTGGCCGAAAATCGCCAAAGGATGAAGCCAACGACGGACTTCACACCGATCTCTCGAAAAAGAGGCGGTGCACAAAAAGGAAGACCTCCCAAAAGGTCTGAAAATCGAAAAATGTGGAACAGGTTACACAGTAAAAATCTTCTGAAAAGTCCTTTTTTTATAAGAATTGTCTTTCTCCATCTTTTCACCTCCTATGTTTCAGATCCTATGTGAAATTCAAAAAATGACCGATTTTTAGACGCCTGAAAGCCAGGGCGGCGAAAAAAAAAATTTTTTTCGGGGCCAAGGGCCATTTAATCTTACATTAGCTGGGTTACGGTAGCCAGGTCACCTGCGCATCTAATAATAATCAGCAAAATAACTATTTTAAAGCTATTTTGGCACTTCTCAGGGGCTTTATTTTTGGATCCATAAGTTTTTGAGCCATTCGGTCTTACTGTAGCCGGGTTACGGTAGCCAGGTCATCTGCGCATCTAAAAAATATCGGCTAAATAGATGCTCGAAAACTTCCCAAAGGGCTTTTTTTTTGGATCAATAAGATTTTGAGTCGTTTTGTATTACTGTAGCCGGATTACTGTAGCCAGGTCACCTGCGCATCTAATAAGTATCAGCAAAATACAGTACCGCTCAAAAGTATATTAAGTTTTGGTTTTTTGAGGATATCTCAGCGAGTACTCATCCGATTTATATATAACTTTCAGGGATTATGTAAAATATACTTTAAAACATATACGGTATACACATACATGTCCGCAGTCACTGCGACGCGTTTTAGAAATTTTTTTTTGAATTCAATTTTTTTTGTTTTTTATGCTTTTATTTTTATTTATTTTTATTAAATGTTTTAAAAGTAATAATGTTGGCATATGTTTTTTTTCATGTTTTCAGACATGAGAAGAACCTCTGGAAAAAAGAATTTGACTGATAACGACAAAAGAGCCATCGTTGTGGGTCGTCAAAATGGACTGACCATGATGGAGTTGGCGGGAATGTTCGGCGTGACAGAGGCGTGCATTTCTCAGTTCCTGAAGCGTTGGAAAGCTCGAGATGGCTCTACTAAGAGCCAACGCACTGGAAGACCACGTTTCAGTGATCGTAATGGCGATAGAAACATTTTGAAGACGCCTAGAACCAATCCAAGACTCACCGCCCCTGCGATCAGACGGGAAGTTTTCTCGAATTCGCCATCTCCGCCATCCGTCTCGACCGTGAAACGACGTCTCAATGCTGCTGGAATCATGGGAAGACGTGCAGTGAAAAAACCGCTGATTTCTGAAAAGAATCGAGTCGCCAGGGTGAAGTGGGCGAAGGAGCATCTCAACTGGACCCGTCAAGACTGGAACAAGATTCTGTCGTCCGACGAAAGCAAGTTCCTCCTCTTCAAAAGTGACGGAATTCAGTGAGTTCGTATACCAATTGGGTCCAGATATCATCCGAAATACTAATTACCCTTTGTGAAACATGGTGGAGGACCGTTTCGTCGGACGACAGAATCTTGTTCCAGTCTTGACGGGTCCAGTTGAGATGCTCCTTCGCCCACTTCACCCTGGCGACTCGATTCTTTTCAGAAATCAGCGGTTTTTTCACTGCACGTCTTCCCATGATTCCAGCAGCATTGAGACGTCGTTTCACGGTCGAGACGGATGGCGGAGATGGCGAATTCGAGAAAACTTCCCGTCTGATCGCAGGGGCGGTGAGTCTTGGATTGGTTCTAGGCGTCTTCAAAATGTTTCTATCGCCATTACGATCACTGAAACGTGGTCTTCCAGTGCGTTGGCTCTTAGTAGAGCCATCTCGAGCTTTCCAACGCTTCAGGAACTGAGAAATGCACGCCTCTGTCACGCCGAACATTCCCGCCAACGCCATCATGGTCAGTCCATTTTGACGACCCACAACGATGGCTCTTTTGTCGTTATCAGTCAAATTCTTTTTTCCAGAGGTTCTTCTCATGTCTGAAAACATGAAAAAAAACATATGCCAACATTATTACTTTTAAAACATTTAATAAAAATAAATAAAAATAAAAGCATAAAAAACAAAAAAAATTGAATTCAAAAAAAAATTTCTAAAACGCGTCGCAGTGACTGCGGACATGTATGTGTATACCGTATATGTTTTAAAGTATATTTTACATTATCCCTGAAAGTTATATATAAATCGTATAAGTACTCGCTGAGATATCCTCAAAAAACCAAAACTTAATATACTTTTGAGCGGTACTGTAGCTACTCGAAAGCTTTTTAAGGGTTTTTTTTGGATCCACAATAGAGTTCTCAAAATGACCAATTGAAAAAAATGACATTTTTCAAAAACGAAAAATTTTCTTTTTGACATTTCAAACGAATGTCGTTTTTGAAAGATCAACCAAAATTGATCACTTTCATTCTTTTTCATTTTGTGACTTTTCAAATAATGACTGAAAAAAAATAAATGGTCATTTTCTAAACGATCATATTCTGACTAGTAAATAAATGTTCGTCCTAATGACCAAAAATTTTTCAAAAAGTGAAATTTAAATGTTCATTTTTTTGACCAAAATTTCCGAAATGAATTTTTAAATGTTTACTTTTTTTGACCAAAAAAATTTCAAAATGAAATTTAAATGTTCATTTTTTTAACCAAAAATTTTTTTCGAAAAAAATAAGTAATTGTTCATTTTTTTTAAATGCTCAGTTATGAAATTTAACCAAAATGAAATTTTTAACAAACGGTTCATGTGAAATTTAACTAATTGGTCGAATTCATCAAACGTTCAGAAAATGTTTGGTTGAACGTTCGTTCAAACATTTACTTTTGAGAACTCTAATCCACAAGGTTTGTGTAGCCGGGTTACGGTAGCCAGGTCACCTGCGCATCTAAGAAATATCGGCTGAATAGCTACCCGAAAGCTCCCCAAAGGGCTTTTTTGGATCCATAAGATTTTGAGCCATTCTGTCTTACTGTAGCCAGATTACGATAGCCAGATAACCTGCGCTTCTAAGAAATATTGGCTAAATAGCTGCTCGAAAGCTTCCCAAAGGGCTTTTTTTGGACCATAAGGTTTTGAGTCATTCTGTCTTACTGTAGCCGGGGCTACGGTAGCCAGGTCACTTGCGAATTTAAGAAACTAATTGAGATTTTATAGGCAAAATTTATATCATTCTATTTGTCATTTGAGTTTAGGAACAGTAGATACCGTAATGGGTTACTGTAGACAGTTTTTGAGATACGGTACTTTTTTTTTAGTTAAAAAAAATTTTCATCATTTTTGAGCCCTTTTTTCACAGTTCTTACCAGAAATAGAACTTTTTCCCTGATTTTAGAGACTTCTTTTTCTGAATGGGGGGTTTTTTTATAACATAATTTACATCTTTAAAAAAAGAAACTACCCAAAAAAAGTCATAAATAGGTCCTGGAAGGATTTTTGAAACCCTTTTTGTGTCAAAATTTCTTGTCAGGTCTTTAAAAAAAATATTTTCAGCGCTTCCGCCAAACCGACCGATCTCCAATTGAAACCGCCTCGAAAACGGAGAAAGCGCGAGGATCAAAGTACCAAGGCGAATCGAAATATAATCACCTTGCAATTATCATTATTTTTAGAGTCCCGAAGATAAAGTGGACGCAAAAGAGATTTCCAACGCGGCGGTCAGGAACAAATTGACAAAGGTTTGAAAAAAAAAAGGATACGGTAGGATGAAATGGTGTATACACCGAAAAACATTTTTGACGCGAATTTTTTGATTTAGCGATTTTTTTTTGGTATTTTCATCACAGCTTCCTAGTGTGTTTAAAGGCGCAGAAATTGTTTTAAAATTCATAAAAATTTTTGAAAAAAGGCGATTGTTCGGATAAAGTTGCATGGAACGGTGTAAGAAATGAGAAAGATTTTTTTATCATTTTTGTCCTTATTTAATTTTTTCTGATTCGTTTCAAGACGTTCCCGTATTCTAAATATATAAATTTCTTGTTTTTTTCCAATTTTGAAGCTCTCCGAGGCTTTTTTTCATACAGTCGTTTTTGAATTATTAGAAATTTTATTATGGATTTTTTGACCCAAATCCAATTTTAGGCCATTTTTGATCCAAAAACTCATTATTTCATGCGATTTCGTTCAGATTTTGCCTCGAATCCGCACAAAACCGCGCCAATTGTACAGCCGAGTGATTCTGAACGCCGTCGAGCAGCTTTCCGCCGTCAAATATTCCTCCGGCGGATATCAGAGATTTTTATCGAATATCGATGATAACTGCGCCAATGTCATACGGTAGCACATCCGGAAAATCTTGATCAATATTAATTTTGCGAAAATTCAGGGAACTTTTCCGCGGGAAATTCAAAGAGCCCTCGAATCAGATACACCTCTTGCCACAGGTTCTTCGGCACGCTGTGAGCTTCAAAAAATAATTTTCAACTAAAATCAAAAATTTTTCCAGTGGAACTTGATGCCTCTGAGGTACCGGTCACAGTGGGAACGCGAAAATCGCGTTTTATTGAAAACTGAAACGGAAAATACACGTAATTTTTCGACTTTTTCTGGTGAAATATTAGAAAATTCCAGAAACTTTCAACGACTGGACGTGGGACGAGTGCGTGACGATGCTAGATGTGATTTTTTTTTTCGGAAATAATTTTTTTGGAGTGTTTAAAGGCGCAGGGCATGTCTTAAATTCCTAATTGTGGACGGAACTTTTTTTTCGTTGAAGTAGATCACAGTTATAGTCGAATTTATGATGAGTTTATGTGGATTTTGGAAGGATTCTTAAAAGCGCAGGGCGTGGCTTAAAGTCGTAACTTATGGAGGAAGCTTTTTCGCGTTGAAATAGATCATAGTTACAATCATTTTGAGCCGTTTTGAAGCTATTTTAAAGGCGCAGGGCCTGGCTTCGAGCCGTAATTTTTAAAGGAAGCTTTTCCGCGCTTAAATAGACCGCAAATAAAATAAGTTTAGATCGTTTTTGAAGCAATTTTAAAGGCGCAGGGCGGGGCTTGAGGTCGTAATGTTCAAACTAAACGATTTCGCGCCTGAATATTTCGAATTTATAATGATTTTATGTGGATTTTGGAAGAATTTTTAAAAGCGCAGGGCTTGATTTGCGTTACAAGTTTTGAAAAGAATGGCTAATTGAACAAGATTTTTAAAAATCAGAGTTTTTGCAAAGGAGTAGACTTCTAGAACAGCTCTGACTAGTCAGAAGAAAAGAAAAGACAAAAAAGGCTTTTCGCGTCGAGACCTCTACCTCTGCTCCTTTAAACATCCCAGAAATGTTTCAAAAGTTAAACTTTAAATCATAATGTTCCAGAAACAAGACAAAAATCACTATATCCATGTCTGCGGAACGGATTCCTACGTTATCAAGTCGTTTGTGGATGTCAAAGTGAGAAAATTTAGAAGAAAAAGGAAAAAAAAAATATATTTATTCTAGAGCCATTTCACGACGCACCACGAGCAGCTGTCGATTTATTGCTGCCATTTTTGCATGAAAGTCTTTGCCGATCTGAAAGGACTCTATAGCCACAAGAACTGCGAGAAGTTCACCGAGCTCAAGCACCAAAAGCAGACCAAAAAGGAGGAAGTCCGAAGGAATTTTATGGAAAAGAATGATGAAAATCGCTTTTTCCAGTTGCTTTCTATGGCTTTAACGTTCCTTGCTTGCTCGGATTGCGGCCTTTGGATCCCGATCTGGGGCGAAACGACCAATCCCAACGCCTGGCGATTCTTCGTCTCTACTATGGTTTGTTTGGAAAATTCAATTTGATGATTGATTTTGTACGCAGAGAAGATCATACAGCAGTTTTAGAGGCTTTAAAACGACTAAACAACATTTTTTTTTGAGCTTGAAAACTTTTTCAAGACATTTTTGTACGTCCAAATAACACTTATAGAAATTTTTTTCAGTGATTTTAATGGAAAAGGAATAGATTAAAAGTGATTTTTGAACGAAAAAAATGACCTCGAAAAAGGAATTTATAAGACATTAAAAACATTTATCCAACCTTTTCGATGATTTAGACAAGATTTTTGGCTTCAAGATTCAAAAAAAGCTCACAAAAATGCGGAAAGTCTAGTAGGACCTGAGAAGAACTTGAAAAGAACCTTTTAAAACCAAACCAGTTGAAAAATAGTAATAAATAAACTGAAAAGAGCTCTCATTTTGATAAAAATTGGCTTTTTATTGTTTTTGAGGAAGAATTTAGGATATTTTGAGTAATCGTCATGAAAAAAGTTAAAAAAAAAAAATCAGAAACCGTTCATTTTATACAAAAAGTGACTCGAAAAAAGAGTTTATAGGACTTTAAAAACATTTATACACTCTTTTTGTTGATTTAAACAAGATTTTCGGCCTTTAGACTTTTAAAAAAGACATCAAATATGCGGAAAGTCTAGTAGGACCGGAGAAGGGTCTTCTAAAACCCAAACTAGTTGAAAAATAGACATAAAGCAAGTTTAAAAATGCCAAAAACAGCTTTTTATTTTATTTTTGAGGCATAATTTAATATTATTTTTTCGTTTTTGATACAGGAAGCTTTTTTTACCCTCGAAAAAAAATTGAAAAAAAGGAAAAAAATTTCTATGAAAATTCCCAAAGAGTTCTTCCGACTATGTACAGAAAGTATGAAAACTTGAACTGTGTTAATATTTTTTTTTTTTAATATTTGGCTCGATTCGAATCTATTCCGGATAATTTCAGAAATACCATTCGTGCAGAAATTTGGTGCTGATCTTCCTGTTTTTCGCCGAAGAATTGGATGTTCTGAAAATAAACGATATGAAGCTCGATTTTTCGATCGTCGCCCAAACCGGCGTCCCATTCGAATCCGGCTGTCAGATTTGCGAAATCGAGAGCTTTGAGTGAGTTTTGGAACGAATAAGAGCATGAAAAGGACTTTTTGGGTCGCTTCAGAATCAAAAAAAAGTAAAATTTTCCAGATTTTCTGAAAAATTTATGAGTATTCTTGTTGAATTAGGTACTAATTTGCAAAATTTACCTTGAAAAAATTTTTTTTTCATACCTTAAATGAACAAAGTTTCTTCAGTACGCAGATATTTTTTTCTTTTTTTCTGTGTTTTTTCTCTATAATTTTGGGCGTTTTGTTGGAAAAAAAGATGAATTTTGTTTGTTTTTCCTGAAAGATTATATTTTTCCTGTCGGAGTTGGTTGAATTTCACTTGAAAATCTTTTTTTGGTTGCTATTTTTTTAGTCATTTCAAACGTCGAAGTTAATTTAGTGAATAGATGTCCTTTTTCCGTATTTTTTTCTGAAAAATTTTTGCTTTTTCAAGCTGTTCGAAAAAAATAAAAACAGGAATTTTGATGAGTTTCCTTGTTGAAATTATCTAAATTTTTACTTGAAAAAAATTCTCATTTAGCTATTTTTTTGTAACTTAAAAGTAATGGAAGGTCGGTTAGTGGAAAGATGTTTTTGTCATTTTTCGCCTTTTTCTTGAATTTTTGCTTTTCAGGCCGCTCCAAATAGTAAACATGTAATTTTTCTGAAGACTTTCTGAATTTTTGATGAGTTTTCTTGTTGGAATTGGTACTGATTTTCAAAACTTTACTCCTTCGAAAATAGTTTTTTGCCGTTTTTCGTAACTTTCAGTAAATGGAGGTCGAGCAATAGGAGATATTTTTGTCCTTTTTTGCTTTTTTCTCGAATTTTTTGACACGTTCAGTTGAAAAATTTTTCTTTTTTTTTTTGTTTTTTTCGGATCGGATTTGCTCAAAATTTATAAAACTTCTTAATTTTTTCTCATTCTTTGGTCCATAATTTTTTTCGTTGAAGCCAAATTGTCTTCCATAAAAAAATTTAATTATCTTTCAGTTGCTATGAGTCGATGGAGGCGCATTTCCTGAACAGACACCCGAAATCCGAAAATCACTGTAAAGAGTGCCGAAATGCCTATGGAACCGCATTTTTCTTATAAGTAAATTTAATTATTTTTGAATCATAAAAAAACGGTTGTTTTTCAAGAAATCACTTTTTTTCCAACATCATTTTTCCGCCCGCACTGGCCCTCGCCAATTTCCTGCAATATCAAGCCGTTCTCGAGACTTTGACACCGAAAAAAGTCGCTTCCAAGCTTGTTGAGGTGGTTTTTTGACAAGGAGATCATGGAAAAGTTCATTTTCAGCCCCTGGAAGATGTGACGAATCAGAAGCTGCTAAATTGTGTGGAAATGCACGAACATTGGAAGGATCTCAACGAGAGACCCAACTCGGAGAAAAGTGAATATTTTTCGCGGGAAAAATGGAAAAAAAAAGCTAGGAGAAGTTTAAAAAAATGTTAAATTACGGAGATTTCGTACAGTTTTTATTGAAAAAGTGTTTCGATTCATCAATTTTTGAAAAAAATTAAATTGACGAATAACGCGACCATTTCAAAACCGCCAAAATTATTTGAAGAATTTGAGAAAAAGACTGGATTTAGAGAAAATTGTACTTTTTTTCTCATGAAAAAAATCGAGAAGAAAAGAAAAAAAAGAATGTTAATTTTTCGAAGATTTTTGCACAGTTTTTTTCATTGGAAAAAAATGTTTCGATCTGCGGTTTCTTGATAAGAAATTAACCGAGAGTTTTTGAGTTTTTCGGAAAAAAATAGTCCTTTTTATGTTTTTTGAAATGGTATTCCTAACTTGATATTTTCATTCTTCAAGTTTCCTGTGCCATGCTCAAATATTTCAAAGCGATTTCAAAATTGACGCGTTATACGTTTTGAACGATTTCGCGATATACGCCAAATTGGAATTCCGGGCCACGTAAAAGAAACAAATTGGGTCCTACAACGGGAAACTTACGCAAGAAACTCTAATTTTGGGGCATTTTTCAACGAAAATTTCGAATTTACTTGTAAAAGTCGCCCTATCGCGACGTATCGTTTGGAGGACCGTGCTCCTGAAATTCCAGTTTCACGAAATTATTTTAAAAGATGAACGGGTCATTTTTGAAAACGTCGACATTACTTTGAAGAGTTATGATTTTTTTTTTTCTAAAAGGAAGAATATATCGAAATGAAAGACCAAAAATGAAAATTTCAGTATCGAGACCGGATCTGGGATATGAGTTTGCCGATTATTCGGAAGTGGAGAAGGAAGTCGAGAAAAAGGTGAAAAATGAAATAAATATGGATGGTGAAAGAAAATTTTGGAAAAAAAAGCGCAAAAAGTGAATCTTCTGAAAGATTTTTATCGAAAAAAATCGAGTTTTTTTAATATATTTTTCTGAGCTTTGACCTTATAGAAAATGTCTTTTTTCAAAATTTCAGCAATATTTTTGACGGACTCTCGAAATTTTTAATAAACATTTAAAATCATGAAAACTTTTCAGGAAGCTGCCGAGAATCGGAAAAAGCAGGCAAAACGGCTTTTCTCCAGAGTTGTTGAGGTGATTTTCGCGATTTTCAGAATGAAAAATGAAGAAAATTTCAACTTTTTAGGGTGGAAACAGGCGTTTCAACATTTCCGTCGTCAAATCCTCGGCAATCGTCGTTTCCCTACCCATGGGCCACACATTTGATCCATATGAGGATTCCGATTCCCTCTTGGCTTTTCGAAGGTTTCAAAATAATTAGAAACGGAAGAAAACGGGATTTTTTCAGGTACATGTACTGCAAAAAGTGCGAAATAGTATTCTCATGCTTTGAAGATGAGCATTTCCACGGATGTGCCGCGGGAAAGGTGCGGGAATCAAAACTTTGATGAAGAAAAATGAGATTTTTGGGGAGCTTGCTGTAGTTTTAAATCCACTGGGAAAAATGGAAATTTAGGCTTTCTGAAAATTTTCAATTTTGAAGGAGATTCATACATGGGAAGAGCATGACTGGTGAAAGCAAACCCCCCTGATTTTTCTCGTTTTTTTGCCAGCCCCCCCCTTTTTTTCTAGAACCACCGTGACTATCCCATGTATGAGGAGATTCATGACAGGAAAAAAAGATTTTTTGAGGTTTTCCAAACATTTTTATTCGATTATACTTTCGCTGAAAAGTTTCGGTATACTCGGCTGGCTTGAGCTTTTTATAAATGGGTCCTGGCACGATTAAAAAAAAAAGAGAGAGCGCTTGGTTGGTGGAGAGCGCAGAGAAACGTCACCAGATAGCTGTGGATATATGCTTTATTTGACTCGGAAAAAATTTAGTGACTACTTAAGCTCCCAAGGACTACCTGGAGAGGACACTGAAGTGGCCACTAGAATAACCACTTTAGAAACTACTATTTGCGTCTTAGTGGCCACTATAGGGTTTTTTGGTGGTCTAGTAGTACTGCTTAGACTTTTGAAGCGGTCACTTTAGTGGCCACTAAATTGACTACTATAGTGGCCACTAAAACTTCAAAACCCTAAAGAGGCCACCGATTCGACCACTAAAGTGACCACTGAAACCTCAGAACCCTAAAGTGACTACTAAACGTTTTCACAGTAAATTTTTTAAAAATTGATCAACTTGAAAAATAATTTTTTTTTTTCGAGAAAATTCACTGTGAAAACGTTTAGTGGTCACTTTAGGGTTCTGACGTTTCAGTGGCCATTTTAGTGGTCGAACTGGTGGCCACCTCAGGGTCTGACGAGTCTGGTGAGAGGTGCTAACAGAACTCTTAACAGGTGAAGTAGCTCAATTTCATATTCATTCTTTGCATTTTCCAGAGTTTTAGAACCTTTCGGTACTATTTTTTTTTCCCAGGAAAGTTTGCGGACCCTTTATCATCCCTCGTCGAATGTATTCACCGGAATCGCCTGTGTCGTCGAATCCTGCAAGCATCGATCTTGTTCCCTTCTCGGCCTGAAACATCACTCCCTCGTCGAACACAACCTTTCCATCCGACTGGATGCACAGATCAACTCGGAATCGTCTTTTGGTTGGTTTTGAACGGAGAAATATTGAGGAAGATGAGTAGGATCAGAGAAATAAGGTCTTCTTCAAGAAAAAAAAAACGTTAGAAGAGGACTTTTGAGGGTTTCTTTAGGTTTTTGTGCCTTAAAATGATTTTTGAACACTTTGAGAGATTTTCTAAGGGTTTTTTTTCATGTGAAAGGACAAAATAGAGATACTGAGACTGTTAATTTAAACCTCAAGACTTTTATTTTCATTTTTTGAATTCTTAGACTGCGTGCTTTTTAAAAAAAATATCTGGATTCCTTACTTCCTTACGTCTAAATCTGGAATATTGATTTAATCAGCTTCATCATTATCAAAAAAATTTTTCAAATTGTACTAAAAAAACCCAAAAAAATTGTTATAATTGGCTCTCGAAACACTCCACATGTTACTAGGAAATCATCTAGAAAAATATTCAGAAGTTTTCGAGTTTCCAGCCTTTGAAACGGTCCGTTAAGCCCTTTTTGTCGAGAAATTCCATAGGTTAAAACGAAAAAGATCCTTTAACAATTGAGTTTTCACTTTGCGGTTTTTTGAAAATAACACTCCATGGTGTACCTAATGAAGTTCCTGAAAGCCGTAATCTACACGACTTCCCAGTTTTTGAGAAATGTGGGCTCAGAGACCAAAAATAGCCGGTTTTGAGGGACTTTTAGGCGTCCTTATTCAAAAAATAGGAAGTTTGAGACTTCCAGAATCTTCATCGGGTATATTGAGAAGTGTTCTGACCAATTTTTAGGAAATTCCTTACCGCAAATTGGAATTACCTTCCTTGTAAGAAACCTCGGACGGAGCTCGAAAAGTTCCTCTAAAAGCTTCTAAAAGGACAGGAAAAGAGGTCATTTTTCATACCCTTAGTGGGTTTTTTTGAACCCTCTGCAATCTTTTAGTTTCTTTCCAGCTTCTTTCTATCAAATGATGTGAAATAAGACCTGTTAGGGACCCTTTAAAGACCCCTTTTTTGAAAAAATCTTTGAGGAGCCTTTATGAATTTCCCTATTCAACTTTATTTGTGTAGAAACTCTCGAAAACTTCGATTTTTTCGGTTACCCAAATGCTTCTCTTTCAATCTGACTGTACCAGAATTACCCACATTTCCAGCTTCATCCCTCTCGAAACTCTCCAAATGGTACTGGGAAAACGACATCGAAGACCGAACCTCGATGTCGATTTTCACGGACATGAAGCTGGAAATGCCGCCGAGTGGACTCCTCGAACGGATCGATTCGGAAGTTCGCGTCAACGTGAATTTGCTCGAAGAGACCATTGACACTCGCCAAGTTGTGACCCCGCCCCCTCCGGAGTTCGATGATGGGTTCTTTGTCAAAGATAGGGTAGCCTGGAAATTGGGATAGATGGTGAAAAACTGGTGGTTTTCAGAAATACTTTTGCCAGTTCTGCAACGAGCCCTCGGCGACCAGGGCCACCGTCTCGGTGAGTTTTATTGATGGGAAAAATCGCTTCAATTATTTAGAGAGAATAAAATTAATCATACCTTGCAGGGATGGGTAGGAATTAGAGGTTGTCGTGGAAAAAAAAAAATTAGAATACGTAAAAACTTCGACAAATCAGACCTCGGTAGTGCAAACCGAAAGTGCGGGACTGTGCTTGCGGGATTCCTTTGAAAGTTTCGTTATCAATGGAGCGAACTTGATTCGGAAAAATAGCCTTTTAAAAAAAAGATGGTTTTCTCGGAGCTTCGTAACGCAAACGGCACGCGTTCCGGAGGTCTCTGAGCATTTCTAGTGATCACTTTAGAGGCATCATCCTTTTTTTCTCGTTACTGTCTGTTCAAATTTCGAATGTCAAGTACAATGACGTCTTTTGAAAACGCTCTGTGAATGGCTCGGTCTCTGATTGGCTTATCGTGCTATTAGGGGCGGAGCTTGAGCGACGACTTGACTTTCAAAATCTGAACGGACTTCTCGGGCACGTACCGGACGTTTCTCTGCATTTCTAGCGACCATTTTAGCGGCGTAAAACTCTTAAGTGATCACTTGAATTTCTCAGAAAGGTCCTAGCGGGTCCTGTTTTCGTTCCCATTGTCCGAGTTCATGAAAAAATGAAAGACTCGTTTTGCCTTGGAGCACATTTTCTTTGGTTTCAGGATGTCGCAAAATTTTGAAATAATCCTTTCTTTCTCCAACTTTTTGGTTCATTTTTGGTTCAAAAAGATCATATCTCCCGGAAACAGAAGGCGGAACTAGCTTTTTTAGAGTACACGGAAAATGAAGAAAACAGAGTCCTTTATAAGTGTCCAGCAAATATCTCAAACGAGTCCGAAGGTCTTGGAAAATAAGGAGTCAAATCAAATTCCATTGAAACTTGGCCTTTTTCCAGAGACACCTGTCCATTTGCCACTGTTACCCGTGTCCTTGCGGAAAGGCTTTTGCCACTTTTGAGCTCCTCACTCAACACAGGATCCATTGCTCGGAAATTGGTTCTAGCCTAAATTTGAGAGTTATCTCAATTTTTGTGTTCAGAAGTCTCACAAATCTACGCCTCGTGCCCGAAATGCAACATCGTCAAGTCGAGAGGACTTCTGATCGACGCCTACAGACACATCGTCAGGTGTCACGAAGTCAAGTTCGGCAAAGGCGATGGACAGGTAAACTGCATGTGGCCTTGAAAGGGAGGGAGGGGCCATCCGCGGCAGCTTTTCCTGATTTTTCCCGAGTTTCAGAGTTTTTCTCTTTGATACGCGCGTCCTGTCTGAGGGCATGCGCCTTTAATTTGATCTTGAAATATTCGTTATAAATGCGCGCGGCTTTTCTCTGTCCATGCGCCTTTAATTTGGTCTAGAAATATCCGTTACGTCCTCACCTGGCCCTTCTCTGAGCTGGCGCCTTTAATTTAGCCCAGAAATTGCCATTGTATCTGCTTGTGACCCGGTTATGTGCATGCGCCTTTAATTTAGGTTGAAAATCACCTTATACCTGCTCGTGACCCGGCTCTGTGCGTGCGCCTTTAATTTGATCTAACAATTTTCGTTATAATTGCACACGGCCTGCTTCTGAGCATGCGCCTTTAAATTATCTTCAAAATTGCCCTTGTATTTGTGTTTGGTCTGGCTCTGTGCATGAGCCTTTAATTTGGTCTAGAAGTTGCCGTTGTATAGGAACGCGGTTATGTGTATGCGCCTTTAATTGAGTCGAACAATTTCCGTTATAACTGCGCTCGGTCTGTCTCTGTCTATGCGCCTTTAATTTAGCCTAGGCATCACCGTTATGTTCCCGCGCGGCCTTTCTCTTTGCATGCGCCTTTAAATTGACTTAAAAACAGCTGTCATTTTAAAGGCGCATGCTCAGTCACAGGCCGAACATATCGAAGAAGAAGGATTCTCCGGATGTCCGGGGAGAAAAAATCGGGACAACCTGTCGGGATTACACGAGCTATTTTTATATTTTCCAAGAGTACGGTATGTGAAAGTCCGCAATTTGAGGCATTCACTTTGTGTGTTTGCATTTTTTTTTTTCGCTCAACGTTTCCGAGGGGTTTATTTATTTTTTCTTTTTTGTTTTTAAATTTATTGAAACAGGTATAACTTTGAGTATTATTGAAAAAAGAGAATAAATGAAGAAAAAAAAACGCGGAATTGCAATAGAAGGACAAACACGAACGCCACAAAATGCGGACTTGCACATACCGTAATCTTCAAAAATGGGGAATTCGCTCTTCCCGTAGCACCGAGAGAAGAAAAAAGAAAGGAGTGAAGGAAAAACCGAGAAAATTTCCCTTTATTTTTCAACTTTCAGATTTTCCCCGAAGCTGCCGACATCGGTACGGAAAGCGTTGCGCCTGGTGACACCCGAATCGCGGATCCTTATTATCGACCCAAAAATGTCCTGATCAAGACGCCCTCAACTACAGACAGCTACGACGACAACTCGACGATGGCCCAATTGAACCGATTCTTGGCCGGAATCCCGACCGACGGCGCTCCTGTCGAAGGGGAAATCACTGACGTGGCGCCGAAAAATCTCCGGGATATCCTGAGAGCGACGGAAGTTCCGTCTCCAGAGCCCGAACCGAGTTCGGACGCGCCAATAACGCTCACGGACATACTCCGGGCCACAGAGGCGCCGATTTCAGCGGAACAACACCCCACTCTTTCTTCCCTCCTTGCAAGTTCTGAAGGTCCCATCTTACCTTCGACTCTCGAGACCCCGGTCCTCACGACTTCCCCGGGAGTCTCCGAGACTCCGGACAGGACCATCAAGACGTCTCCGGCCTTCGATGAAATCACGGACCCTGTCCTCCAGCTCCCAGCCGCCTTTGGCAGGATTCCTGTCGGAGCCCCCGTCATTTATTATCTTCCTGAAGATGTTAGTTTTATCAAGTTATAACGGACGAAGATCGCGGAGTTGAGAAAAGTTGAGAAGATAATTCTAGTAAATTACTGTTGCCCAGCTTCGGAAGCTGCTCAAAAATGGAGAAATGAACCCCTCTCTGTGTTTTTTTTTTATTGGAAAGGCTTGCTTTTTTCAATTTTTCTCATCCTAAAAATCCATATTTGGCGTATTAAAAAAGAGAACTCATTTGAAGCGATAGGTCACTAAAGGGACTACTTTTACGTCTTGAAAATTTTTTCTCGGTTTTTTTGCTCGATCTGAAATTTTTTTGTTCAAATTGAGTCTGTGATTCATGATCTTTTCCCGCCCTACTTTGACCGGAATTGACCTTAAACTGCCTTTTTTACAGAACAGCGGATTTACGTGTTACCTCTGCGAGGTGCAGTTCAAAGATGAGCGAGCCTTGCAGACCCACATGGAGAAACACACGGAACAGTGCAAAGTTTGCCCCATGTGTGAGTTTTGGACTAGAAAAAAGAAGGAAATGATGGGAAGCTTTTAAAAAATAGCTTGTACGCTGCGTCGATAGTTTAAACGCTTCTTGGACCTCGGTGAGGTAAACTGGAAATATCTAGGACACTCTAGGGATCACTTAAGGCTGCTGAAGCTACTGAAGTGGTCGCTAAAGGGCTCAGCAGAGCACTGACGTGAAACCATACAGGAGCAGCCAGTAATCAGAAGTTTATGTAAAATATGAAAAACTTTCCGCGCCTCGGTAACGTGAGCCGGACGTCTCGGAGCACTTCTAGGGGTCACTTAAGAGTTATGAGACCGCTAAAGTGGTCACTAGAAGCTCCCAAGAACGTCCGAAACGCGTTACAAAGGTCCGAAAAGTCTGTTCTGATTTTCGTGGCTCAAACTCCGCCCCTAATTGCCCAATAAACCAATCAGAGAGCGAGCCATTCACAGAGCGTTTTTAAGTGATCACTTCAGAGTTCTGAGACCGCTAAAGGGGTCACTAGAAATTCCCAAGAACGTCCGTAGCACATTACAACGGTCCGAGTAGATTTTCCTTGCTCAAGCTCCGCCCCTAATAGCGCGATAAACCAATCAGAAACCGACCCATTCACAGAGCGTTTTAAAGTGATCACTCAAGAGTCCTGAGACCGCTAAAGGGGTCACTAGAAATTCCCAAGAACGTCCGTAGCACATTAAAACGGTCCGAGTAGTGTGTTCAGATTTTCCCTGCTCAAGCTCCGCCCCTAATCGGGCGATAAACCAATCAGAGAGCGAGCCATTCACAGAGCGTTTTTATCACTTAAGAGTCCTGAGACCGCAAAGGGGTCACTAGAAATTCCCAAAAACGTCCGAAACGCGTTACAAAGGTCCGAAAAGTCTGTTCTGATTTTCGTGGCTCAAACTCCGCCCCTAATTGCCCGATAAACCAATCAGAGAGCGAGCCATTCTCATAGAGTTTTTAAGTGATCACTTCAGAGTTCTGAGACCGCTAAAGTGGTCACTAGAAGCTCCCAAGAACGTCCGAAACGCGTTACAAAGGTCCGAAAAGTCTGTTCTGATTTTCGTGGCTCAAACTCCGCCCCCAATTGCCCAATAAACCAACTATAACGACCTCAGTAACGCGAAAACTTGTGCTGACCCTGAAGTGATCACTAGAAAGGCTCAGGAACGTTTGGGGCGCGTCCGATTTGCGTTACTGATGTCCAATTTAGTCTTTTTTTCAAGTTTCGTGACTTTTTTTTCAAACTTCAATGTCCTTCGGGATACTCAGAATCTAATGATATAACGAAAATCCAGCCGTTTTTAGCTTTAACAGAGTCCCTGAACCGATATTTTCTTAGGACTTCTTGGCTTTTACTTTTTTTAAAAGGAGCCAGTTGCAAAAATAGTTCAGGCTCTGCGCAAGTGACCGGCCGAGCCGACATGCTGAAACATCTCATGAGTTTCCATCACGACCCGAAAAATTCGACCTGCAAAACGTGCTACCGAATCGTCGAGGCCAGATCCGCTCCCGCGCACTTCATCTACGCCTGCAAAATGGCCGTTCGATGCGGAATTTGCCGGGTGATGGTCGACCCCAGTAACCGGGATGACCACATGGCGACCCATCAGAAAATCGTCAAAAGGTTTGGGAGCAGAAAAGAAGACTTACGAGAGTTTTTGGGGCTCTTTTTTGGCCGATTTAATCGGATTTTTGGTGTCAGTCATGTTTCTGTAATAAAATATGTACAGAAAACTCGAAAAAGGCGTCTTTTTTTGCTTTTTGAAGAGTCCTGCAAAGCCTAAGGACGATAGCTGAGATTTTTTGAAGGAAACTGAAAAAGAATATTTTCTTCTGATTTCTTGAGAGTCCCGAAAAATTTGAGAATAGAGAGCGGATGTGCAACTTTTGGGTGAAGATATTTTGGAGCTCTATTTTGGCCTTTTGATCAGATTTTTTGTGTCTATCATGTTTCTGAGTTAAATTTTGGACAGAATTATTGAAAAAGAACCTTTTTTGTTTTCAACAAGTCCTGAGAATAAAAGATCCACGTGCAATTTCTGAGTAAAGGAGCTTCCTCAGAGATTTTAGGGCTTTTCTTGGCCGTTTCAGCCGGTTTTTTTTGTGTATGTCATCTTTCTGAGCTGGATTAGGTACCAAAAAATCGAGAAATAACGTTTTTTTTTTTTGCTTTTTGGAGAGTCCTGAGAGTAAAAGGTATATGTGAAATTTCAGAGTAAAAGACTCTTCCAAAAAATTTTGGGGCTCCATCTTGGCCGTTTAAGCCGGATTTTTGGTGTCTGTCCTGTTTCCAGTGTATGTTTTGTGCAGAACTCTTGAAAAAAAAACCTTTTTTTTGCTTTCTGAGGAGTTTTTAAAAGTTCGAAGAAGCTAGAAGTTTCTACAGAAAACTCGAAAAACTTGTTAAAGTTATTTTCTTCTTAGGGAATATCCCTCCGGGCCCGCTTGGGAACGTAAAAAGGCACTAATTTTTGAAATTTGAAATTTTTTGAACGGACTCCCTAAAAGAAAAAAGATAGACCTAAAAAAATTCATGAGATACTAATCGGAAAACTTCGTTGCGTCAATAGAAGAAGTTCAGATTCGATTGTCCCCAGTGTGGTGATTATTTCCCGACTGCTCTTGAAGCTGGTCGACATGGATGTTCCTTCAAAGTCTATCATTGTCCTTGCGGAGAATACACGGTAGGAATCAGGAATATTTGGAAGAAAGTGATTGAGATTGATAAGCTTATTGAGTAATGAGGAGTATGATGAGTAAAAGAAGCTTTAGAGAAAATATTCGAAGAAGAACGAGATACAAAGAAATATTCAAAAGCATTAGCTAAGGTACTAGCAGCAGTTGGAGCCAGAAATTCATTTTTTTTAGTCGCATTTGAAAGATCTTTGAAAAGTCCAATTCGTATCTGGAGAAAAAATGAAAGTGTCAGTTGCCTTTTAAAAAAGAAAGAGGAAAAATGGCCCAAGCTAATCCCTTAAAAAGTTCAAAAAAGGTGTAACTTAAATTAGGACTTCATGATTTTTGTAACTAGGATTCAAGGCCCTTTTTATCCTGAAAAATGAGTTTATTTCATCGGAAGAAAGATTGGAAAAAATGAAAAAATTCTGAAAATCGGCGATTTCACTGTCCGTGAGGCTACTGTGAAGATTCAAAATCCATTCATTAACGCAGATTTCGGTTTTCAAGTCCATAAAAAATATCAAAATCCAAAGTTTAAAAACTCACGCAAATCTTTTTTTTTTTCAGCGCTACCACAGCCAACGTGCTTTCGAAGCTCACTACTTCAAAATGCACACGGGACCCGAAATGGAGTGCAAACTTTGCTGTGTGAAAATCAACAACATGAGCTTGAAAAATCACGCCCGAAGCCATTGGCAAACCAAACCGTCGCTACCGTTTCTGCGCGTCCGAGACACGTCCATGTACAACTTTTCCGAAGTCTTCGACGTCTTGGGGAAGGTCAGAGTCGGGAACACAGAGGTAAATGATGAAAATGATGGTTCTGAGAAAGTTGAGAGAAAATCAATCAGAAAAGGTTTTGGTCAAAAATCAGAGCTGCTGAGGAGAGGGCCGGGGAACCTCAAGAAGACCCCCCCGAGTTGACCCGACCCGCGAAGTTTGAAAAGTCAAAAATTTTCTCAGTTGTTTACTAGTTGTTTTTCCACGCGCTTCAAACATTGCGGGCCATATCGCCCCGGGGTGACTCCTTCAACCCTGGGACCTCCCCCTTCTGCAGCTCTGGTCAAAGTATTTATAGATGGGCGGGCAAGTTTTAAGCACCTCAACGGACTAGATTGAGATTTTTAAATGTGGTGCATTTTTCCGAATTCCACTTTTGGGCTCTAAAAAAAAAAAAAAGGAAAAAAAGGACTTTCTCAAAGAATTTTTGAACCTTTTCTCATTTTTTTCCTCATCCCAGGAGCCTCGATTTTTTTATTCAAATTTTTAAATCAGAGCTATTTTTTTGTTACAAGTTTTCATGAGAACTGTAAAAAGCTGCAAAATGAAGGTTAATTAAAAAAACAATTTTTTTACTTGAAAATCAACAGATTATTAAGGGAATGGCTCATTTCGAACCAAAATAACTAAATTTTTTTCATGCTGGAATCTTTTTTTCAAAGTTAAATTTTTCCTTTTTGGATTTTTCCCTACCCATTGTCCGTTCGAAATTTCTGCTGTTTGTTTGACTGGAAGCTTTTTTTTCGGCCTTACATCATTATGAAATCTTAATACGCCTTTAAATCCACCAGTGAGGATTTTTGGGGAAAATGGTCAAATAAAAAAGTTTTCATATATCCAGAATTGCTTTTGTACCTTTGGCATATAATTTAGATTTTCTTTTAGAAAAAAAAAACGAATTTTTTAGTGAAAATTCCATGATTTTTTACACTGTGAACTCATTTAAAATATCTTCAGAAGCCATCAACTACGGAAAAAACGGTCACAGTCTATACAACTAAAGAGAAACCACTCACTCTACCTCTACCTGTTCCACCTGGTTTGAAATAAAGCAAGGCCTTTGAAAAGTTGGGATTTCAGGCCCAAGCGCCATTAGAAATGGAAACAGCAAGGATGAAGATGAAATCGAAGTCATTGCTACTATGTAAGTTTTCAGTGGGATGGAAATTTGGGAGATTTAAGGAAAATAGAAAAAAAAGAAGTAGGATTTGCATAGACGCTTTTAGAACTTATAGCGTGTTCAAAAAAAATTTTGAGAAGTTTTTAAAGGATCTTTCAGAATTTCTAGAAAGGTCTCGAAGCGAAGAGCCGTTTTCAGTTTTATTAGTGACTTTTTTCAGCAGCGGAGGTGTCCATCAACCCATTTTTGGACGTTCCATCGAACCCTGAAATGGCTGAAAATGTAAGTTTTTATGAAGAAAAATGAATCAGGAATCTTAAAAATAGACACTTTTTCCAATTTTTTTGTGGTTTGAAGAGCTAAAAAAATTCAAATTTTTTTAGCTTATTTTCAGCTTGAAAATCAGGCCTACCGGGTAAAATGACACTTTGACTTTTTGAATATACTATTTTTTTAAATCTCAGTTTTTTTGCTGAAGAGCTCGACATTTTGAGAAAAAAATAGTCGAAAAAAATAATTATTTTGTCGTAGGAAAAAAATGTCTGCTTAATATCCTTAGTGGAATGTTAAAGGAAGGGTTATTTTTAGTACATAGAAAAAAATTCGAGCTTCTAAAAAAATTTTTTTCCTGGCCTTGGTGCTTCTAAAAAAACTCATTTTTCTTTAAGAAAAAAACACAAAAACCCAATTAAAAAAAGTTATGTTTTTGCCTTTTTCAGTACTGCGGAGTTCCATTGGACAAGTTAGGATACTTGTGCGTCCATTGTAGAATGTTCTTCGCGATGAAGGCCGATTTCGAAGCTCACAAGGTCCTTGAATTCAGAATTTATCAATTTATTTATATGATTTCAGAACGGATCGCTTCACAAAAGTCGAAAAGCCCTGGCGGCGAAATTCGAAAATTCCGGATTTTATTGTGGCGTCTGTCCGGTCAAATATGACAATGTGAATAGTTTTGATTGAGATCGGAGAGAAAATCTGACGTTTTGAGAGGAATTTTTGAGCTCGGCTGGCTTGAGTCATTGGAAAATGGGTCCTGGCACGATAAATGAAGAGATAGTGTTTGTTTGGGAGAGACAGGCCACGCCCCTAAGCGCCCAAGCTAACCATAAATCTGTTTTGAAATTAAAAAAATTGTTTCGAAAAGAAAAATTCATCTTTTTTGGCTACCAATTGAAAAATCAAGTTTTGATCGATCCTGGATCGAAAAATTTGAATCCGAGAGCTTTTTTACAATTTTCTCAGGCCTTTTGAGGATTTTTTTCATTGAAATAGTTTCATTTTTTTGGCTTTTTGGTTATTAATTTTTTTATTAAATATTGAATCATTCTATGTAGATTATAGATCTGAAAATTCAGACCATTCATTAGTTTTTTCATAGGAGACGAAATTGAGCTTTTTTTGAAAACTTGAAAAGAATGAACAAATTTTCAGTTGATGCTCCTGTGCATGCACGAACTTTTCGATCACGGCGTCCCGGTGATTTCGTATTGTTCGGCTTGTTGCGCCGGATCGACCAATATCAATATGACCTATGATCATATCCTTTCTCACGGCACCCGGGTGAGTTTCAAAGAAGGAAAATAATGGAAAATGTCGAAAATTTTGACTTGAATACCCACGACCACTTTTTCTGCGTAAAGTGTCGTGTGTCGTGTGCATGCACTGCGCCGCTTTCGCGCAGAAAATTGTGTTTATGTAAAAAAAATTTCGATTCGTCTTGAAGACCTCTGGGAATGCGGCGGCTTGCGCCTTTATTATGCCCTGTTATTTACGTTCTTAGAGTTCCCATGACGTCACGTGGGAACCGCGGATGTTTTAGCTCCGCCCTCCGTTTTTTTTTTTGATGTGGCTTTTTCTTCCACTAAAAAAAGCCGTGTAGTTTCGAAAATACGTGTAATTCACGCTTGAGAACTTTTCAAAATGATCAATTCTTTGGTTTGCATCAGGCTTGGGCGAGGGCTTGCCCGTCGGACCCGGGCCGGCCCAAAGAACGCAAATTTTCTCAAGTGTCACCTTTTTTCACGACAAAAATCACATTTTTGTTAATTTTTCTTCAAAATTCAACATAAATTTTATTCAACTATTGAAAATTTTGTATTAGGATGAGGGCCCAGTTCCGCGCAAGCTCCTTCAAAAATTAATAAAGTCCAAAGTTCGAATTAGCTGGCCCAGCCTGACCTTATTCACAGTTCAAACAGCTTCAAAACTCGAAAAAATGCGCTCTAGTTAGACGTTGATACTCGGACCTCTGTAGGGCAGACCGGACGTCTTTGCGATGCTCTAGGGATCACTTAAGGATGCTGACGCTGCTAAAGCGATCACTTGAAATTCTCAGAAACGTCCAGCCCAAAACTGTAAAATTTTCACAAGTTTAGGAGATTGAGCGGTTTTTTGTTCACAGAAAAGAGCGTTGATTGCTTTTTAAAGTTTTAAGAATTGGATAAAAAAGAGAAAGATCACTGTACAGTTCTAAGTGCTTCTGAATGAACTGTGAAAATGTTTTTTTTTGAAAAAATTAAAAAATTGAGTAAGCTCCTTTTTTTCAGCAAATCAAGACGGCCATCAAGTTCGTTTCGGCGCTGACGATTCGATACCTCCGGAATTCGTATTCCAATCCCAATGAGAAAGTTTATCCGCTTTCATTGAACTTGTGAAATATTGATCGATTTTCAAGAGATCGGTTTATTTGGACTGTGGCCACGACTATGAGAGCGGCGCCTCGATGCACGTTTCCTGTTCGAAGTGCTTCCATGCGGTTCGTTTTGTTTTATTTTAGGCGGTTTAGCGGAGCAAAAAGTGTTACGAAATGCAACAAAATTGCTTCGAAATGTTGTATGTCAAGTAAGATAACGTCATTCAAAAATGCTCTGTGGTCGGCTCGCTCTCTGATTGGTTTATCGCCCGATTAGGAGCGGGGCTTGGCGACGGCTTGATAGTCAAAATGTTATAGCTGATTCACGGCTGCCTTGAGCCATCGAAAAAAAGGGTCCTGACACGATAATGCACGAGATAGCACCTGTCTTGTTGAGAGCGTAGACAGGACACGCCCCCTTAGCGTCCCAAGCGAGCCGTGAATCAGATATAACAGACTATGGAAAATACGATTTTGGAGCAATTTTAGCGCGCCCAAAAAGCACCTTTTTGCGTTTCGGAACATGCTCCGTTTTTCAGTTGAGCACAAAAAAAAATATACTCACCTTTTTTCTTGCAGATTCCTGTCAGTAGCTCACGACCTCCGCATGAATTGGCCAATTTTTGGAGAGAGTTGAAAGTAAGGATTTTTTTCATCGAAATGGAAAAGTTGCACTGAAAATACAAAAAAGGGTTTTTTTCTCCTTTTTTTTTAAGCAAAAATTAAATGTTTGTTTTTTTTTCTCCCTGAACTTCAGCCTAGAACTACTTCCCTGGAGTGAAGGCAACTTACCTTTTAATGACCTTATAAGGAGAAAAAAGCTTCTTCTCAAGTTCTAACAAAAGTTTTTTTCGGCCTTTTACGTCTTTTTTTCAGAAGCTTATTACGACTTTCTTATTTTTCAATACATTTTTTTCACCTTGAAAAGGGGCTTCCCGATAGAAAGGCACGAAAAAGAGAGCTAGAAACATCTTTCGAAAAATTTTTTTTCTTAAAAACCTCCTTTTCAGGTATTTTTCAGGTACTCTTTTCGAGAATTTATCATTAAGATTGAAAATTTCCCAACTTAAAATCTCTCAGTCGAAAATCTCATCATCGTCCGACACATCAAACCAAAAGCTTTTCCAGAACTACAGCCACGTCGCCGTGGACGAGTTCAACAAGCTGTTCGCCTGGGCGCACATGCTCGAGGGGAAACGCCGCAAACACATGGAGTCCATCCTGAAAACGTCCTCGCCGTGGCTTCTCCAGAACGGATCTCATCTGCCGGCGGTCTTCCTGAACATCGACCCCCAGAAATTGCGATTCGGCAGCAATCCGCCGAATATACCCGTTCATTACTACAGTGGCGGACGGCAGGAGGAGGTCAAGCCCATCAATTTCCGATCTGCCTTACCGGCTCAGGTGCGTGGAAGAAACGGAAAAGTTGGACTTTATGATTGAAACGGGTTGAATTGGAAATAGCTGTTTCAATGCTCGGTAGCGCAACAGGTTGTGTGCCTGTCTAAGGTCCACAGGGTCACAAGTTCGATTCCCGCCGCGACATAAAGTGTTTTAAAAATGTTGGTAATGGGTTTCAGTGACATAGGAAGCCTCAAAGAGCTCATTTTTTAACGGAAATTAAGAGAAATCGAGAACAGAAACGTTATAACTAGGTAATTTGCATCTTCTTCTACTTGTACTGCTTGAGCGCCGTCGGTGCTCCAAAACAAGGTTCTATTTTGATATCAGTTCCGTGTAAAATCTTCATTCGAAGTTGTTCCTTCCGAGGCTTCCACCTAGTGGACGGTCCCCGGGCTCCATTCTGAGCTTGTCAAGGCGCAACTGGATGGACTACGCACAGAAGAATGAGGCAAACGCTTTCAACTCTTTCGACTGCCCGCTAGGACTTTTAGTTCGCCAAAGGCGGTTGTTCGTTGTAACTTTCAAAGTTCTTGTTCACCGCCTAACCGATTATATCTGACTAAAAAACAAAGTAAATCGATTGATAATCAGTGGATCTGCCCTTCTGTGTAACAGGGGATTTCGGAGCCGTGGTTTCCCCCAGGCAGCGACCGGAATCGAACTTGTGACCCTTTAGACCGCAAACAGACACGCAACCTGTTGCGCTGCGGAGAAAATGTCTGATTGAGACCTCAGAGGAAAAACGGCAAGCCTTCGCGATTACAAAAAATAAACGGCAACGCGCATACATCCGTTTATAGAGCGTGGTAAACTTGGAGAGACCAGACTTGTACTCTCCTCGTTCTACACAATTTTTATCTGTTGAATAGGAATACCAGAGCTTAGGTCCCTAGATTGTAAGTAGAACATGGAGAGTCTGTTCACTCCAAGTTTGACGAGCTCTCTAAACGGATATATGCTCTACTTTTTTTCTGAGATTTTTGAGCGTATGCAAAAAAATGATGATCCTATCGACCGCGTCCACGCAGAATTAGGAAAGGAAAGAGAGTAAAAACCTGAAAGAAGAATGATTTTTCTCAGTACTGTAATCGTCAAAACTGCTGAAACCCGCAAATTTCGTTACAAGAAGTTTTTTCAGAGGATGACAAAAAGAACGCCGATCCCACCACCGCGCAGCAATCCTGTAAGTCGTTTTTATGAGAAAAAAACATTGGGATGAATATTATTCAATCAGATTTTTTTCTATAGGATCCTCTGGAAAGATAACAAAAAAATTTTGGTGAGAAAAACTTATTCAAAATAGTTACAGGCAGATCCAATGTCGCCAATGAGAAAACTAGTGCCACGGACTCCAGTCAACAATGCTCCACCGCACAACATTCCCAACGGCCGTATTCCAGTGCTCATCCAGTGTCCGATCTCCCTCAAAGACGTCAATTTCGAGAGACTTGTCCCAGCCCAAAGGATCCGCGCCGACACCGGCCTGCCGCCGATCCCAGTTCTCCCGAAACAGACCCCCGTTCGGGCTTTGCCTTCCGCGGTGCACCATGTGCCTCGACAGCCGGGCGGTCTTGCCCCGCTCCTCCCCAGGCTTCTCCCGGGCCAGCCCATGCCGACGCCACCACCGCCGGTCGTCGTCACCCGACAGACGATCCGACCTCCGCAGAGAATCCAAAGGGCCGCTGTGCCCTCCCCGCGGGCGCCCGAGAATGTCTCGGACGAAGTCGCCTTGAACCGGCTGGTCAATAATAACACGATTCACGTCGAGTCGCACACTGTGGATCCGGATAAAGTTGGTTTTTTTTTTCCTCAAAAGGAAGGTCATTTTTACCATGCGGTTAGGGATTTTCTCAAACTCAGATCTTAACCTGCACAACTTCCTGGTCTTCGAGAAAGGAGGGCTCAAAAAGCCGATTTTCATGATTTGTAAGGGGTTTAGTTTTAAAAACAAGGAAATTGAGCATTTTGAGACTTTCAGGATCATTTTTTAGTACATCGAAGAGTATTTTGAGCAATTTCGGGGATTTTCCAACCTATTGATCTTTTTAACTATATAGTATGGCAAAAAACTAAAAAAAAAAATTCAAATGAGCAAATTTGAACATTTAAGGAATTTATTTTGGTCCCAAGGTTACTGTATCTCAATCTCTGCAGTCTGAATATGTCATAGCCGTGTATACGCCCTATGCGCGTATCACGTTTTTTTACTCAATTTCTCTGGTTTTCTTTTCTCTTATCAATTTATTTGAGCTTCTTTCTTTGCTGGTACTCATGTTTGATTTGATAGTGGGTCAGAAACGCTGACGCGCAAAAAGTATGAGCATGTTTTCGGATTGCGGATTTTTAGATACAAAATTTTTCACGTTGTAGCAAATTTATCAAGAAAAACTTGTGAAAAGATATTTTCAAGCCAATTTTTAAGAAATGATACAGATTTTGATCAAAATAAATATTTTGTCTTCAGAAATGGTTCTGCGGAAAGTGCAGCCAACAGTTTTTTTCGACGAGCCCCAAGTCGTCGTTCATTATTTCCAGGCTCACGTTTTTGTCGCAACTCAGAACTCATCGTGGTGAGTGGATGCGTTCGAAAAATTCTACCATAAAAAAATGATTTTTTTAATGTATTGAAAAAAATAAAAAAATATGTTTTTTTATCTTCCATTTTAACGTTTTTTTAGATATAAATTTCATCAGAAAATTGATAATAATGGGAATTTTTTTCAAGTAAAAAGCCTAGGTTTCAGTTGATTTTTTTGAAAAAAATTTTTGTGTAGTTTTTAAAGGAAAAAAATTGATTCCTGTGGTAATTAACATCTACTAAGCATGAATGGAAAAAAATTAACACTTCAGTAAAATTTTTGATAGTACGATTAGTAATACATTTCAGAAAGTTAGAAGAAAAAAATACAATTTTAATAATTTTTTTAGTTTTCAGTTGTTAGAATTCATTTCAAATCAGAAAAAAATGGCACACGTTGAAATTTTTTTGAAGGAATCGGTAGCTAAAATATGTTTTTTTGATGAAAATTCATGATTATATCTACATTTTTCAACAGTATTTTTCAATATTTAAATTCCATCTTTTTTTGCAAAATTTTTTTCTTAAAAAAATCATTTTTCAGTCTGGCCAGTGAAGTTCTTGCTGAAATGCCCGGTGCCGGATTGCAAAATCGAATTTCACTCCCTGAAAGATTTCAACCTTCATTTTCGCTATATTCATGATGAACCATTGCCTCATCGTGTTCCGTGAGTTTCTCCCTTTCGAATTTCAGATAAAATGACCGCATTTTACAGATCTTGCGGCACTGGCTTTGCGACGCCGGAATTGGCTCAAAAACACGAGAAAGAGCACGCTGATTGTGTCGAGTAGGGAGATTACTATAGTATTCGTTGCAAATCATTTTTTTTAAAGGAGCACGAGATTCGAACAGCAGTGCTGTCCGCTGTGTGGTACTTTTGAGACCTGGGCGGTTCCTTATAAGGTTTGAAGTTCATTTGAATGAGGGTTACGGTAGTTAATGTTCGTTGCAAGACCTTTTTAAAGAAAAAAGTGGGAAAAACCGCTCAAAGCGTCCCGGTTTGAAGAAACAAAAGTAGAATAGTCTGATTAACCATTTTTGGTTTTTCTGACGTGTCTGTGCTCTCTTATCTCTTACGCGGAAGGAAATCGAAAATTTGATATAGCGCGTGAAAGAGAGAGAGCGCATAGAAATCAGACGGATACAAGTTGAAGAATGGAGTATAGCTAATTGACGGCTGGCTTGAGTCATCGAATAAAGGGTCCTGGCACGAAAAAAAGAAAAGAAGTAGTGCCCTTTCGGCGGAGAGCGCAGACAGGCCACGCCCCTTAGCGTCCCAAGCTTTTTTTTTTTTGAAGTTTTGAAACGCAATGCGACCGCGACGCTTTGAGATATTCCAAGTTTGACCATGAATTTTCGAAGTCTGACGTGAAAAGCAGACTTTGTTAAAAAAAAAAAAAGAAAAGTGGCATTTTGATAAGAAATATTTTTTCAGATTCCCGGCACGATCAGAAGCATCGTCCTTTCTCACATTCATTCACACGCCTTCAGACATTTGTCGCGATGTTGCTGTGCTCGCAGATTCATTGATGATCATGATGTGATTATTTTTTCCTCCTAATTTCAAGATTTTACTGAAAGAGTTGAAATATCAAAAGAAGTTCGTAAAAATTAAAAAAAATAACAAGTTTCCCTTACTTTTTTGGCATACAAAACTTTGAATCCCCAATTTTCAGTTCGTCGTCTGCCTGGAGCACTTCATCAATGAACACACGATCATCGATGGCGAAAAATATTACTGTATATTGTGCAAACTGACGGTGCAAAACAAGGACGAGCTCAAAATTCATTGCAGTAAAATTCATTTTGTAAGTTTCAAAAGAGAAAAAAGTTCACAAAATCACAATTTTCAGGCTCATGTCCTGTTCGACATCACCGAAAAGCTGCCATTGGTCGTTCAAACTCCGACAACTATGAAGAAATTCCTCGGCATTTAAAGTTTTGCGACATTGAGATCTTCTTCGAAAAAAATGTTCTTTTTTTAAAATATTTTTTTAGATGTACTTTTTATAAATTGCAGCCTTTTTGTAACTTATTTTAATTTTTATTAATTTTTATCTTGGATTGTTTTTCTGTTCGAAAATTCCTGCTGTGTTTTTTTCAAAGGTGCGAGAACTTATTTTATATGGTTCTCAAGGAAAAAGAGCCTTTTTTTGAAATTTTTATTTAGAGTCTTAGGAGATTTCCTTTAAACTTCCCAGCGAGAATTTTCAACATTTCTGAAATTCTACATTGAAAATGGCCCTTGGATGCGTTCAAATTTAAAGACGCAACGGCTGAATGACAACCAACATTTCGACACGAAAGTTTGCCTTTTCATTCACCTGAATTCGAGAAATGAATCTTTCGCAATTTTCTGTAATTAATTTTTTCGTTAATCCCCGAGTTTTTTTTAAATTATATATTGCTGCTCTCATTTGCCTTATCTTTTTCGATCATCATCATTTCAATTTTCCTTCATAAGTGTTTTTTCCTAATTGCTATCAAATCGCATTCCTTTCCCGGTACGGTGCACATTGTTCTCACTAATACGGTTATATGTGTTTCTTTCTTTTTTCATCGTTATGTGTAAATTTTTATTTGAGATTTTGATGATTTAAACATTTTCAAGGATGTGTTTTGTTTTTGTCGAAGTTCAAGTGGTTTTCGCAGAAATATATTTGTTGAAGAAAGTTTTCAACTTGATTTTTATCATTTTTCAGGTTTCCAATTACAATTGAAAGAAGAAAGAACCTCGTTTTCCTCTGTACGTTTTTACTCATCTCGTAAAAATGGTTTTTGATAGTGAGACTGTTTTCGTCACTTATGGTCTTTTGATTAGTTCAATGAAACCTAAATCGGGCCCAATTAAATGGAATCCTCGATTGCGCCTTCAAAATATGCATGGAACGAATTTCTATCCTTGAGGAATGTCTCCTAAGAAGGTTTGTTGCTTTTTACATTTTTTTCCAAGAATCATAGAAGCTTTTTAAAAAAACTTTAAAGAGCCAAGAACATAAATTAGTAATTTCTAGAGTCATTTTCCGTAATTTTCTGGTTTCGGAATGCTTCTGCGTTTCTGATAATCAATGATTAGTAGATCTTAAAGTTCGAACTCATCATTTTCATTTTCTTTAAATTTTTCTGAGTTTCAGAATCAAAACCTTGGATATGCTTGCTGCGATCGATATGCAGAGAAAGATGGCCGGGCGATAATTTGGTTTATTTTGAACTGAAATCAAGAATTCTCAATTTTTACAGGGAAGGAAATTATTGGGACGATGATGATGTCCATGATTGTGGTGAAATTGATTGGGAGACGATGAATATCGTTGTGAAAAAGATTTCGGCCCTTTTATTGAAATATTGTGAGCCGGTTGGTGTTTTTCTCATTTTTTAATTTCAATAATTGGAGTTTATGTCCATTTCACCGCCAGAGATGGCTCGGAAGATTGAAAGTTTTTATTTTCTTTTTTTTTTCGTTTCGATGAAAACTTTCACAATACATCAAGTGATCTGAAATATGCTACCTAAGAAGTTCAATTTTTTGAAAAATGTAGAAAATGAGCATAAAAAACCTAATTTAAAGTACTATTTGAAAAATTAGGGAAAAAATATTTTTAGTTTTATTAATCGTTTTCGCGAACTTTTTGAAGAACTTTTTTTTCGGTCGATTTTTTCAAGTACGGAATTTTGAAAATTCAAATTTTTTCTGGAAATTGATATCTTTTCACTAAATATACATTATTTTCTGATCCATCCATGAAGTTTTCAGAAGGATAGGATCGCTGTTCTTTTTCCTCGCCTTGTTCAATTGCCAATGACAATTGTGGCGGCGATACGCGTTGGAGTGGTGCCAATTATTGTTGTGAGTATTTTACACATTTATTCAGGACGATTTCATGAAGTGATCAGAAAGTCGAAATGGAAAATTCATGAAATTAAAAAAAAAACGTTTTTTTTTTCATTACATGATCCAGATTTCTGCTCTAATAACACTCAGAAAGTGGCGAATCTACAGAGTTCTATTAGAAAATTTCATTTTCTATTCAGGATCCTCTAACTTCTCCGGAAAATCTGGCACAACTGATTCAAGAACTCGCTCCAAAGGCCATCATCACTGTAGATGGATTTTTTCAAGCTCAAAAGCTTCACAAAGTCATGGAGAATGTGAACAGCGCTTTGAAACTTTGCCAGGTAGTTTTTTCATATTTTTTAAGGTTAGTATTAATCGAAATTTCAGAATCCTTGCCAAAAAGTCATCGTTTTACGCCACGTGGCCCCGAATGATGGCGTTCCGCCTCCGTCGGTCAACGTTCCAGCTAAAAGACCTTTTTTTATCTTCTTGAAGTATGAATATAAAATGTGATAAAGAAAAATTATTTTTTTAGTATGAAATTTATTTAAATATTGTGATTTCTGCTCTTCTTGTTTTTTTTTTTTACTTTACATGTTTCATAGCCAAGTTTCATTTTATTGGTACTTTTTTTTTATATATTAAACTGTTAATTTTTGGCCTAAAGGGCTTCTTCAAAAATTAGAGCAAACTATAATCAATTTATTCCGATTTCTGAAAAAAAGAAATATCATGTTTTTAAAAATAGCTTTTTTTAACCTTTTTATGTGAGTTTTTTTCAGGAAATGTGACAGTTTTTTTCGTTGTAATTTCAAAGTTTCGCATATTTCATTTCAGAGGTTTCAAAAATTTTTATTGAAAGTAATGTTGATAGACTGTTTTTATCTTCTTAGTTTATAAGCAATAGCTTTTTTCAAGTCTTCAGTTTTGACAGAACAGTAGTAGAAAGTTATTTAAAATTTCAATTTTGCATCTTTTTTTTCAGCTGAACCTGGACGAAACTCGAGATGTTGAATGGAGTGCTGAGTTTCTGAAAATTGACGACGATGTAAAAACAGACGAGTACAAGTTCAAAGGAAGCGACGTCGTTGCGATTCTTCCGAAGTTGGGGTTTGGAAAGCTACTTATAAATTTACTTGGAATATTTTTCAGAGAAGAAAAACACTTCGAAGTGTTTTATTCGGATCTCCGTCATGAGCTGGAAATAACACAAAGGATTCTCGAGATTGACGACGAGGATGACGATGAAATAACGGATAATATTTTGGTTTTGGATAATCCGACGACGTTGGAATCGTTGACCAATATGATGACGCCTTGGTTTGGCGGCAGGACGCTGATTTTGGTTTGTTGATTTACTTGAAAGGAATGAAATGTCTTTTGATATTTCAAACTTTACACTATTGTTTTAGATATAGTAAAAAACGTACAACCTTTTTTTTTGGATTGAAAACTTTACATTTTTTGAGAATTTTAAAAAGCTAGTGAAGTACCATTGTTTAGGAATTACCAATTTGTGACACGGCGTTTTTTTTTTTACGATGACCCGCCCATACTTTTTCCGTAAAGTGTAGAGTTTAGTGTGCATGCACTGCGGCGCCCTCGCACAGGCCGTGTTGAAAGTAATTTTTCACGAAATGCAAAATAATATTTGAGGACTATTTTAAATTTTGAGATATCGCTTAAGAACACGGGAACAGAAAAATTGCGTTTTTTTTTAAATGAGAAAACGATTCGTCTCAGGACCTATTGAACATGCGCCTTTAATATTCCCTATTTTTGTTTCCCATTTTGTTTCGGATTTTAAACTTTTTTTTTATATCAATTTTTACTTGCAGTACGAAGGTCCCTTGGACTATCCGGACCCGTCGCGACTCTCTCAAATCGTTCTGAAACACCAGGTCATGCCTGAAAAGTTCTATTCATTCTCGAACCGGCCGGATTTCAGGCGACGTCGTTGGCCGCCGCGGAAATCCCCGAAGAGCGACTGGATCCCGAATACCTGTCCCTTTTCAACGTCGAAAACCTTCGCCGAATCTTCGGCTCGTCTGCTTCGCATTTCCAACAAGCGTATCCAAATGTTCATGTTTTGCGCAAATAAATGTGAAAATTTTTTGAATGAATTTGAAGCAATAAAATTGGCTTGGCCAAGCTCTCGATGTTGCGTGAACTCTTCAAGAAAACTTTGATGTAAGCTGAAACGCTGAAATACAACTTGATTGAAGGCTTCCCTTACTAAAATCACTGGAAAGCTGACATCGAGAAGAATCGATTGACGTGATCAGATGAACTGTAGCTGCTCTGTGAGCCAAGTTATGCGCCTCGGAATTTCCCTATTATCTTTTCAATAGGCGTCAGATAAAATGCATTTGGTGCGCTGCACCACGGTGTAGTTTTCTCGCGTAAAAGGAAAAGCTCGAAATTTTTTTCGTATTTTCGTAGTTTTTTCTATATCAATCGATAGGGCAGCTTCTATATTATACATGTATCATATCACTTTCGGAAAAAAAAGATCGAAATTTAGGTTAAAAACGGGACTAAAAATACGCAATTTCCAGACTTTGAAGCTTCATATCTCGTCCATTTTGAACTTTAAGAGATACTACTTATGTCAATCGTTTCGTCTCAGCATGAGCTTTCCAATGGTTTAAGACTTTAAGAGTTTCAAGCACTTTTTTTCAAAATTGACCCACTTCGGAAAAAATTAATCAGAATCATTCAAGATCAATATCAGTCGATAGAGAAGATCTTGCACATCAGGAAAAACTGGGTTTCTAAGTTCCTAACTTCCTAGGAACGAAGTTATGAATTTTTCAAAATGTCGGAAATGAGGCTTTCAGATGAAGCTTAATCAACTAAATACTTATATCACTGGAAAGCTGACGTCAAGACGAACCGGTTGATGTAATCAGATAAGCTGTAGGTACTCTGGGAGCCGAGTTATGAGCCTCGGAAGTTTCCTAATAATTTTTCTATAGGCGTCAGATAAAATGCATTTGGTGCGCTGCACCACGGTGTAATTTTCTCGAGAAAAAGGAAGAGCTCAAAATTTTTTTCGTATTTTTTTGGTTTTTTCTTTATCAATCGATAGAGCAACCTTCATATAGTACTGTTATCATATAACTCCCAAAGGAAAAGCTCAAAATTTGCGCGGAAAGTGTGTCCAAAAATTTGTATTTTTCAAATTTTCAAGCTTCATATCTCCGTTCATTGTTCACTTACAGAGTAACTGGTTATATCATTCGATTATTTTTGATGTCAGCTTTCTAATGATATAAGTTATCAATTGATTGAGCTTCATCCAAAAGCTTAACTTTTAATATTTCGAAAATTAATAATTTCATTCTTAGGGAGTTCTGAGCTGAGAGTCCTAGTTTTTCCTGGTCTCCAAGACGATCTCTATCGATTGATACTAATCTTGAATGGTTTTGAGATTTTGACTTAAAAGTTTGATCGCCTACAACTCAGTTCCTAGTTGACCTACAGAGGTCAAACCTGGTCTCCGGTTATTTTTTCGTCGAGATCTATCGATTGATATAGGTTTCGTCCGGATCGGATTTCATGACCTCAGAAGCTCGAAAAAATCAAAAGGGGTTAGACTGCACTTTTTTCGATTTTCCCGAAAACCAAAGTTTCCGAGATTTTTACATCAATCGATAGGGAATGACGTCAGATGTTCAAAAATCCAAATGGAAAAGTCCCTGGCCTCCTACAAAATAAGATATGATCTTTCAAAGTTTACTATTATTCATAACTCGACTTCTAGGAACTTAGGAACTTAGAGACCTAGTTTTTCCTGACCTCCGTGATCTCCTCTATCGATTGATACCAATTTTGACAAAAATTGAGATTTTCGATATCTAAGTTTGATCGCTTCTAACTGAGTTCCTAGTTGACCTACAGAGGTCAAACCTGGTCTCCGGTTATTTTTTCGTCGAGATCTATCGATTGATATAGGTTTCGTCCGGATCGGATTTCATGACCTCAGAAGCTCGAAAAAATCAAAAGGGGTTAGACTGCACTTTTTTCGATTTTCCCGAAAACCGAAGTTTGCGAGATTTTTGCATTAATCGATAGATAATGACGTCAGGAATACGAAAAACCGGGTCAAAAAGTTCTGAGGCTTCTAGATCGAAAGTTATGATTTTTTTAAGTTTTCGAAGAATCATAACTCGATTTCTAGGAGGTTAGGAACTTAGAGACCTAGTTTTTCTCGATTCTTGTGATCTCCTCTATCGATTGATACCAGTTTTGAAGGAATTTAAGGTTTTTGATTCCGAAGTTTGATCGCCCATAAGTCAGTTCCTAGTTGACCTACGAAGGTCAAACCTGGCCTCCGGTTATTTTCTCGACGAGATCTATCGATTGATGTAGGTTTCGTCCGGATTGGCTTCCATGACCTCAGAAGCTCGAAAAAAAGCCAAAGGGGTTAGACTGCACTTTTTTTCGGTTTTTCCTCAAAACCAAAGTTTCCGAGATTTTTTTACCTCAATCGATAGGAAATGACGTCAGAAGTACGAAAAATCCAGGTCGAAAAGTTCTGCGGCTTCTGGAATGAAAGTTATAATTTTTTTAAAGTTGATCATTTTTCATCAAAAAGTGCTCAAAAACTTTTCAAGAATTAGACCGTTAGAAAGCTCATGATGAGACAAATTGATTAATGTAGTTATTTTCTGCCAAACTTCAAAATGAACGAAGATATGAAGTTGCAAAATCTGAAAAATACGACTTTTTGGACCTAATTTTGAGCTAAATTTTGAGCTTTTTTTTTAAAAGTGATATGATACATTCACTAAAGAGAGTCTTCTCTATCGATTGATGTAAAAAACACCCCAAAAATATGAAAAAAATTTTTGAGCTTTTCGTCTTGCGCGCGAAAATTACACCGTGGTGCAGCGCACCAAATGCATTTTATCTGACGCCTATTGAAATTTGAATGGCAAACTTCAGAGGCTTATAACTCGGCTCACAGAGCAGCTATAATTTATCTGATTATATCAATCTCATCGTCTTGATACCTGCTTTCCAGTGATTTAGGTTATCGATTGATGAAGTATTATCTTCGAGCTTCTATCAACAAAACTTGGTAACTAAAGTATCAACGTTTCATAAAACTGCGTCTTTCTTTTTCTTGACCATCCTCAGCAATTCGAGTTTTCAAAAAAACAATTTATTCACTGAACAAGAACGGGGAGTGGGTGGCGATCACATAATAATAATAATTAAAAAAAGGAACAAGTTATTAAATAAGCAAGTACAAGCTTTTTTCTTCATAAAATCCGGGAAAATGAACAAAAAATTGTGGATAGAAAAGGAAAAAAGCGACTGAAAGTTCTCGTGTTTTGTGAGTTACAATTGAACTGACCGGCAGTTTTTTTTTCAAAAATGAATAAAAAGAAATGATTTTGCCCTTGAGTAACTTGTTGAGTGAAACTAATTGTTTTCCTGTCTGTTTTCTGGTTTTTTTTTGTCTTTACAAAAGCACAAATTTTTACACACGCACACACACGGTTCTAACAAAAACTTTAACAAGAATTATTTTTTTTTTGGGTGGAATTTTGGGACGGAAAGAAAAAACAACACGTGTGTGTGGCGGAAAAAGAAACAAGTCACAAAAGAAAATTTGAAACGATCAACGTTCCTCCCTATTATAATCTTGTACAATAAAGGGACATTTTCTTCGGAATTCACACGGCGCTGGAAAAAGAGAAGAGTTTTATTTTTTTTTCAAAAAAAAGGCGCATTTTCCAGGGCCGCGCTCAATTGCTTAAGGGGCTATTTGACAAGAATATTCGGTTCGGAAGAAGAAAAAAAACAAACAGGGAAAATACTAATAATTTAATGCGGCTGATAAATCTACAAGCAATAGGGGAGGCGAATAAAACGGGGGCAAATATAGACTTCTTTTTTTTCTTGTTTTGGTGGCTGGTTAATATTAAAAAGAACAATCGAACAAAAAAGGGAAAAAAACACGGTAAAGGCTATATTAATGCAATATAATAGAAAACAACAGCGTAAGGCGGCACGCGGGGTGATGAAATCGAAACAGGCCGGATTCTCGCAAAAAGGAAAGAAAACGAAATAAAAACAAACGAAGAAAAATGAAGGAGAAGGAAAGCAGACGACTCCGAAAATTTTTCTCTAGAAATTCAATTTTTTTTTTACTTTTTCAGAGGCTACGCACCAGCGCAAGAGTTTTCTGATTTAGAAATTGAAAGGAACAACAAATAAATGGACTAATTTGGGGATTTTTATCAGTGACTGATAAAAAAAAGGGATGGGAAAAAACTAAAACAAGTCGTAAGCCAGCTCAAGACGGAAAATGGGGTGCAGATAAAAAATTCTGGATTAATAAATGAATTACATAATTGACAATCAACAAAAAAAACGGAAAAAAGAAGGAAACTGGACATTTTTTCGGATAAAACGACGTGGAGGGAGCGCACTGCGCAGCCGGAGGAAGAGAAAAAAGAGATTATTATACTGTTTGGGGGGAGAATAATTGAGAGTATAGGACTTTTTACAATCCTCACACGTCGTCATAGCTTATCCACAGGAGTTTCGCTTCTTTCGGGAGGAAAGATGGGACAAAAATCTACGTCTTCGGCACCGCCAAAAACACAAAAAACTTGCAGCAGAAAGTGCGCGCCAATGCGAAAAAAAAATTCGAAAATTCCCTCAGAAAACTCTACAAAACTGGCGCACACTTCCATCGCAAAGACACAGAGGCGTAAAAAAGAATGAGAAAAAAAAACAACGCATTCGTTTGGCGAACCAAGCGAAGCAACCAATAACACCAAAATAATAGTTATACAAAAAGAAAGAAAGAAAAACGGGATTAGAATGGGAGTTAACCAATTTACAAAAGAAAATAATAGAATAATTAATAAAACACACACTTGGGTTTGTTGCCTTTTTGGTGGAGGAATCGGAGGAGCGAAGAAAAAAAAGAAAAACAAAAAAAAACAACAATTAAGTGCAACTGGGGCAAAAACAGCGGCACTTGGGAAAGAAACTTTTTTTTTCTTCTTCTTAAGACGGAAAGAATTGGAGTGAACAAAAAGACTATTGACTAGCTCTTAGAAACTGGATAATTGCAATTAGGAGAAAAAAAAATACACACACGAAAAGACAAAAAACGGCTAAGCGCGCGACTTACTTTGAACAAGAAATGTAAAAAAAAATGAACAACGGCGGGAAACCGCCCAGGCAACAAAAAAGAGAAAAAAACGTGTTATAAACATTTTAAAGTGAAAAAAAATGTGGGGGAGAGAAATTTACATGCACAGGCAGATAGTGTGGGTTTTGGGGAGAGAGAGAGAGATAGACGGTGAGAGAGTTGTCTAGCCAGCTGGACACTCCTCAGGTCGAGTGCTCTTTCTCGGCGGGGGGAGAGCTTCTCCCTCTACTGCTGTGACTGGTTCTGGGACTGATTCTGAGACTGGTTCTGCTGGGCTCCGGGCAGGAAGCGGTACAGGTAGAGACGGTAGTCCTTCGATGCCAGCACCACGCTACCGTCGTCGACCAGAGCCACGTCAAAGCATTGGGCGTGCTTCACCTTTGACTCGAGGGCGCCGATCATGCTTCCGTCCTGCAAAATGGTTCATTTTAGTATGAGCAATCGAAGGGATCATTTTTCTAGTTGGTTCAAGTTATGAATCGGTCCCTTTTTTGAAATATTCTGCACGAAGGACTCTTCCAGATCTCCCAGGTGTTTTAAAATCTCAAAATTTCTTGGCTTCCAATGACGTCATTATCCCCTCAAGCTGTAGGTTCTATATAAGCGTTATAGACTCAAAAATGTCCTTTTTTTGAACTTTATTGAGCTAAAAATAGAAAAAGGTCCGAAAAATCGATACTTTTCAAAATTATTTTCATTTGAAGCTGATAGAGAAACTAACTAGGCTTATTTTTTCAGTTTTCCAATGGTCATTTATCTCTTTTTTTTGATTGTGACGTCATTTGAAGCCACAAAAATGGTCAAAACTATCCAATTTTCAACATATTTCTTCATGAAAACCACAAAAAAGTCCTCGGATCGCCCTATAAGGAATCACTGAGCAATCCCATCATTTAAACTTTTTTTTTTCATTTGATAGCCTAATCTTCTCAAGCTAATCCCCGCAAATCTACAAACATTTCTCGCGTAAAAGTGCAAAGCTAGTTGCACAATAGTGCTTCTTCTTCTTCTTCTTCTTATTTCCAATTCCCGCCTTTCTCGTCGTCCTTGTCCATTCACAATTACGTTGTGCGTGTGTGTCACGAGTGAGAAAAAGGAGGGGGAGAAAAAATGGCGGAGAAGCCCAAAGTGCAACTCTTCCGCTCTCCAAGTGCAAGCAGAAACATCCTTCTTCGTCGTGTAGACAGCAAAAAAAGGAGGAAAAATTGACTCCCGGCAGAGCACCAAGCATCACGATTCCGCCAGAATAAGCTTCTGTTCTCGACTTTTTTTTTGAAAGAGCTTGGAGCTACAAATCTTTCTGGATATCGAAAAAAACTAGGGTTTTCGCTTATTTTTTCAACTAGCTTCCTATTGAAATTTTTTTTTGAGACGGGGGAAAGTGTAGTTTGGAACTTAAAGCTTCGAATCTTCTTCTGGAGACTGGAAAAGGCTGGATTTTGCTGTTTTTTCTGTCCAGAATTTTTCGGCAAGAGAAAAAAAGTGCAATAAACGTGACTAGGAACTGGAAAACGCTGGATTTTGCTTATTTTCTCCTCCAAGTGCAAGAAAAGTGCATAGTTTGAAACCAATTAAGTTCCTGCCAAAATTAAAAAAGAGTGGATTTTCAGTTAATTTTCTGAAATCGTAAAATCTATTTCTCTCTAAATTTAAAACCAGAAAAGTCCTTGCCGAAATTGGAAAGTATTGGATTTTCATCTTCCTTTCTGAAATCCTAAAAACCGATCTTCTCGAAATTTAAAAAATTTGCCAAAATTAGAAAAAGACTGGATTTTTCAGCTTATTTTTCTAATATGTTAAAATCCATTTCTCTCAAAAATTCAAAACCAAGAAAGTTCCTGCCAAAATTGGAAAAGCTAATTTTCTAAAAATCTTAAAAAGCCAATTAAATCTCTCAAAATCAGAGCTTCCGGATCGCCAATTCGAAAAACTGAGGTTTTGAAAAAAACCGTCTAGACCGATTCGCTAACAAAGAATCCCCCATTTCGATGTCAATTTTCACGTTCGCGTGCGTAAAACGTAATCACGTCGGGCTGGTGAAAAGATGCCGAAATGACCTTTGCGGGACAGGGAAAACCGAAACCGAAACACCGAGGTTAAATATCCGACGCCGGTGCCAGGCGCCGAACTTTTTTTTTTCAAAATCGTCTTGTTCGCGCCAAAAAGCATAAAAGTCCGATTACTCAACTTTTTGAACCTTATTGGACAGTTTTTTTTATCATTACCATTGTCAGAAGCTACAGATCAAAAACACGACTTTTCTGAATAGAACCGGAATTTTTCCCACTCAAAAATTCAACAGAAAGTTCATCCAACTACATCCAAAAATGCTCTGATTAAAATCGAGAGCTTTCCAACTCAAAATTTGAACAAAAACTCCATTTTCTCATCAAAAAATACCTGAGAAAAGACGGTGAGGTTGAAATTGTTGTGGTTGTCGGCCACGACGACGTCGCCGACGCTGTTGATTCCGACGCCGATCGGATAATTCGTGACGCCTTCGCCGCCAATCTGACGCAGGAACTGGCCCTCGTAGGAGAAGACCTGAAAGCGATCATTTAATTAAAAATCGATTTTTGAGATCTCAAAAAATTTTTTCTATCTAATATTCCTCTAAAAACCGCTTATCCAGACCCTCAATAGTTCTCCTATCAAAAACCTTATAAAAAGCAGCAAATGCGCTCTAACAATCAAAAAAAAAAAATCAGAAAACCACCTAATGAAAATCAGCAAATGCGCTCTAACGAACAAAACTTTAAAATGAGTAGATTTTCCGCCAATTTTCTCTAAAAAGTCGATTTTTCAAATTTTCACGTTCCAGAAGGTTCCAGGAGTCTCAGGAAGTCCCTCAAATATCCTCAAATTCTCTATATTTGACCAGCGAACCCATCAAAAAAAGGACAAAAAGTTCAATTTTTCGTGTCAAAAAAAGTGCGCGACGAATTATCCCAACAGGGGGAAAAAATGGGCGATGGGGGGAAAGTGCAGCCTTGAACACACTATACTGCACGCTCCTTTCTACAAACGGAGAAAAAAAAAAGCGCGAAAAAAAAGAGAGGTAAGCGGAACTTTTTTTCGCAAAAAAAAAAAGTCTAGACGATAAATTGAGCCCATAAAAAAAATCGTCTGGAATCTAATGGGGAGAGATCTTCGATCAGGTGGAGTAATAGCCTTTTTACGATTATATTCACGGCTTTTTGTCCAGTTTTTGATTAGTTTTTGTTTAGAAAAACTGAAAAAAGTTTAAAAATTACCCTTTTTGAACTTGAAACTAATGGAAAAAACTCACTTATTACGCATTAATTTTGTGCTTTTGTGCGCCAGTGCGTTTTTTATGAAGCTAACTTACAGGCAGAAAAATAATAATAATTTTTAAGGTTAGTATGAGGTAAAAATTAAAAAAAAAATTCGCAACTTTTTCCGACTTTCCGTTCAAATTATGATCAAGAATCACCTTTAAAAGGCGCATTTTATTTTTCCATAATTTTCACTTATTTTTGAAACCTTTCTTCACTTTCTAACCCTTACTCAAGTCTCTCAAAAACCTGAAAAATCAGAAAAAAATTATCCAATTTTCTCATCACCTAACTGAAAATACCTTAGAAACTTCAAAAAACACCTATTTTTTTCTTTTTTTCTTTTGTATTCACCTTGATGCAGTGAGCCCGGTTATCCGAGATCAGAATCTCGTTCTTGTCGTTGGTGCAGACGCCGTTGGGGAACTCCAAATAGCGAGAGCAGCTGAACTTTTGCAAAATGTTGCCGAACATGTCGAAGATGATCACGCGCATCACCTGAAATCATCAAAATTAGGCCTGGAAGGGTTTTTTTGACTGTTTATTTCAAGTTTTTTCGAAAAAAAACGGTTTTTATCGAGATTTTTGAAGTTCCGGTCCATTTTCTTATACTTATATTCCAAAAAATTGGTTAATGAATCGCAAAAATGCGGAAAGCCCGTAAATCAACACCATTTCAAATTGCCGCTCAAAATTAAAATGTGCAGGTCACCTTCACAGTTCATTCCTGCTCAATCGCGTCCAACGATAATTCACTATACAGCATTTTCTTTCAAAATACTGGCTCTAAAAATAGAAAATAGGGAAAAAAGCTAGCTGAAAAACCCTTTTTGAGGTGAAAATCCACTCTAACGAAGGGAAAATTCCCAAAATCTCGCTTTATTATACATTTTCATCACTAAAAAGCTTTAAATCAGCCAATTTTTCAAGTTCAAACCTTAAAATCAACGAAAATCCCTTCAATTTTACAAAATGCTTCGGAAAAGTCACTTTTAAACTTCATTTCACCACTGAAAAAATCTCTCAAAGGTTCAAGATTTATTCAAAAACTCATTTCTCCAAGTAAAAAAATTTTCAAGCCGACCAGACTAAAGTACCTCGATTTTGCCCAAGAAATGTTCTGGAAAATGCCCCCAAAGTCACTGGGAAATGTCACAAGATCCGTGGCCTACTCGGGTGGCCGCAGTGCCAACGGGAAAAGGGTCAGAGTCCAGAGAAGAAGGGGCCGAAAAGACTGCAAGGCAATCGGACCCCTCTCGGTGGGGCTATAGACGCAGCGTAGGCACACATCGCACGGGGGAAAAAGGAAAGAAATTTCCAGAGCCCCAAACATTTTTCGAGAATAATTTCAATACACAGCTTCTCCGGACTTCGAAATGCTACACGAAAAATCGGAAAAGGTCCAAAAATGTCTATGAATACGCAAAAAATGAAAAAAAAAGTCGTAGAATGCTTTTTTGGGTGGAAATCGACGTTTTGAACCTCTCAAATGAGTCAAAATATTGGTATCACGAAAAGTTCCAGAACAATTTTTTTAAATTTTTCAACCAAAAGCCAAGAATTTAGTCATTTTTTTCTTCTCAAAAACCCGATTTTTGCACGAAAAAAACTCCAAAAATTCAATCCATTTTTTTCTTCACAAACTCATTTCGCGCTCAGTTTTTTTGACCTAAAAAAATCAAGATTTCCGAAGAATTTTTTTCATTAATTTCAACCAAAAAAACCATGAATTCAGTCATTTTTTTCCTTTTTAAAAAAACTCAAATTTTTCACGAAAAAAACTCCAAAAAAACAGATTTTTTTACTAAAAACTCACTTTGCGCTCAATTTTTTTGACCTAAAAAAACAGGATTTTTTTCACAAATTTTTCGATCAAAAAGCCAAGAATTTCGTCATTTTTTTCTTCTCAAAAACCCAATTTTTCTACGAAAAAAACTCAAAAAAATTAGGTTTTTTTCCATTCTAAAAATCGCTTCGAACTCAATTTTTGACCTAAAAATCCCGATTATAATGCAATTTCCGATCAAAAACCATTAATATTCTTAATTTTTCTCTTAAAAAAACCCTTCATATTCTCTCCGCTTTTCCCCACGGCTCGAAGAGCTCACTTTGCACTCGACGACAATGATTCGGCCCTTGTTATCGACGCAAACGCCGCGCGGATGTTGCAGAATGTTGGCGCCGAACTTGCGCAAGAACTGTCCGTACTGGTTGTAGACCTGTAAAACGTTCAGTTTACCTTTCAGATAGTTAATTAATTGATTACCTGAATCTGATGGGTCGGCGACCGCTCCGTGACAACAAAATCACCGGTAGTCTTGTTGACCGAAACACTGAAAATGAATGTTTTTTTTTCCTATTTTTTGAAGATTTATTGATTTTTTAGTTGATTGAGATGAAAAAACCAACCGATTCGGGTACAACAACTGTCCATCGCGCTTTCCGCACTCGCCAAATTGGAATTTGAAGCGTCCTTCCTTGTCAAAGACCTGAAAAATCGGGGAAATTATCAAGTTTACAAGTACTTCTTGAAGACCAAAGACTTAAAAAATCACTGTAAAAATGAAAAAATTCACTGAAAATTTGTGAATGAACAATAATCGCAGAATTTTAAAAACTTGCAGCCATATTTCAATAGAAATCGGTCATAATTTCTAACTTCTTCCCAAAATTTCAAGGATTTCACAACTTTTTGAAAATTCTCCCAGCGTTTAGAAAGACTCAAATTGACTTCTAGGCCGTCCAAGGCTTAAAAAACAGAATTTTTCGTTTTCTAAAAGTCTTCCGAGCTTTCCTGAAGCTTTACAGGTAAGTTATCATAGTTTCTAGGTAAGAAAACGCTCACAAAATCATTGTAAACCCTTAAGTAGGTATTAAAAACTCCCCTTCCTACAATTTTCGAAGCCATTTTCCGAAACTCTTCTAGGGCCTCAAATCACGCTTCTTGGCTCCGTTTTAGCCATTCTTATAACATTCCCAGATTCACTTTCCCTCCTAATAATCACCTGGATGCGATGATTATTCGTGTCGGCGACGACGATGTCGCCCTGGGCGTTGACGGCGACGCCGGACGGCTCCGTGAACTGGCCCTCCATGACGCCGAACTCGCCAAACTTGCAGTGGTAGATCATCTTCTGGCGCTTGATTTGCGATCGGCTGGGCGGGAAAAGGCCGCTCTTGTCGTCGTCGAGGTTCGAGTCGAGGAGTCCGAGGCTGGGCTCGATGCCGATCGACCATTTGTCGTACTGGTTGAAGGCGTCGGAGGTGGCGGTGAACGGGCCGAGCGACTGCGACGAGCCGCCGAATTCGTTCTTCGGACGGAGGAGGTTCGAGTCGGAGAAGGCGTTCGGCGCCAGGGGAAGGCTCTGGGCGATTTGTGGCGGCGAGCGGGCGATCGACTGAAAGAAGTGCATTTTTGAAGGAAAAATACTTGTTTTTGGAGTTTTATCAAAAACACTTATTGGAAAACTTTCTTAAAAGCTCAAAATCGTTCAGAACGTTCAAAAAAAGATACAAGGGAATTCTCAAGCTCATCAAAAATTCTCAGAACGTTCTTAGAAACTTCCAAGCTTTGCGGAACTCTCAAAGTTACTATTTCCGAAAAAAAAAATCAATAATCTTCCTAAAAATCACCTAGAAGACGTGCTTTCATAAGTACACAGATTCTGGAGTCTCAAACCTCAAATTTTGATTTTTGGCTCATACTCCACAGAAAAAATATACTAAAGCTCAGAAAGTTCGTAAAATCCTCACTCTCTTTATTTTCAATGAATCTTTCGGATTTTCTCCAAGCTAGGGGGTCCGTAATTTCCTAGTCGAAGCCGAAGCCGAGATTAATAATTTTTGACCCCAATGTCAATTTCTGAAGGTCCTAAAGTCCTACTCAACCTTGAATCAACGATTTTTTTTCAGCTCTAGAAAGTTCTAAATCAAACGTAATGGTTGTCCCTTACACCTGTGAATAAGATTTTTTGAATCAACCGATCTTTTTTTGATCAAACTACCAACAATCTTCAAGCTATGGGTGCCCCAGGGGTCCTCAATCTCCTAGCCGATCAAAAAGTTCTCAAAGCCTTTTTCGGATCAATCGATTTCATTTTGATCAAAATACCAACATTCTTCAAGCTGTGGGTGCCCCAGGGGTCGGTGTCCTCCTTGTCAAAGCCGAAGCCAAGCTGGTGTCGACTTGGCGGCCGTCCAATCGGCGTCGGCGGCATGCCGCTCTGCGACGACGGGATGATGTTGCCCCAGTCGGCGGCGCCGCCTCGGACCTGGCCCATCATCTGCTGGATGTTCTGGCGAGCCGTTCCGTCGGCCAACGCTGGCAGGTCGATATCGCAGGACGATCCCAGGGCGTTCGAAACCTTAAAAATTGATTTTTCTGGTGAAAAGAGGTGTAGGTCAAGCTCACGTCAGGGTTGAAGCCGAGGAAGAGCTGAAGACGGGTGTCGAGGAGTTGCTTGAAGACCATCACCTCGGGCGGCGACGCGTACTTGACCAGTCTCGAAGTGAACTCGATCGTCTGGTTGAGCTTGTCCGACATCTGCTGCACACGCTTGTCCACCATCGTCAGTTGGATCTGGAAAAAAATATCCGTTTTTGGGCCAACTTTGGTTTTTGCTTCGTTCAAGATTCATTTCTGATTCCTTAAAAATTCTTCAACTCTTCCGAATCCTCCCATCCAACAAAGAAACTTTCAAATTCCAACAGACTCCAATGTTTTTGTTCGATTCTTCCATTCCGACTCTCTTTTCCCAATTCGGTCCATTTCAAATCCGAGGTCATTCACCATTAATCGTCTCTTCCTCTTCTCTTTCAGCACGCCAATTTTCATGTCCCGCCATTTTTGCCTCGGTGAATTCGATACTCTCCTTCTGTGTGTGTGAGTCTATCCGTTTGAGACGTTCTGGCGGGAAAAAAGAAAAAAAAATCGAGGTGGAAATTGAGAAGCAAGAGCCAAGATCATACAAACAAGGAGGCCGGCCGTGGATCGTCACCAAATGTCACAAGGCAAATAATGCCGTTTTGCTTTTCTACTCTTTTTGTCTGGACCAAGAAGCGTGTGTAAAACTCGATTCGTTCATATTTGGAAGACTCCTGGTCGCATTTGGAATGGCTCAAATGCGTCGCGGACACGAAACGGTTATCCAAGTCTAGTTCTTACAATCCCAGATGAGTAAAATTACCAACTCAACTGGCCCAAAATTGAAACCCTCGGGTCGCAATTGGAATGACTCTCTCTCTATCAAGATGCAGCCGACACCAAACGAATTTTGCAAAATGACGCTTTTCGCTCAAAATGTAAAATTGTCCATTTTTCAGCCCTTTTTCCAGACATTCATAGTGGTCTCTGTGATCCGTCCAGTTGTCCAAACCAAAAAAATTTCCTTTTCGTTTCGCGTTCTATTGTCTTCTAGGACCATTCAGCAAGTTTAATTGCACAGCTTGAGAGAGCATCAAAACTCGAGCTTGATCTTCTGATCAGGGATTTCGAGTGATCACTTAAGAGACGATGAAGCCTCTCAAGTGATCACTGAAATCTGAGCAAGGCCTAAATAGAGCAATTCGACTGCAGCTACATTCTCGAATGGCCACTTCTAACTTTCCTCTCCCTCCCAAAATCGTCTCCCTAGTTCCGCCTTCTCAAGTGAGCCCTAAAAACACCCTAAAACCTCTCAAGTGATCACTGAAATCTGAGAAAGGCCTACGAGCTAATCTCCGTCGAGCCATTTGACTGCGGCTACATTTTCGCCTGGCCAGTTCTAATTATCCTCCTCCTCCTTCGCGACGCAACAGCCGATGATGGACCTTGCTCGGCCATTAAGGAGGTTCTTGACGGGCGCGTGTTAGTCGCGTATGGCCCAATGGTCACACACGCACGCAAATTCGACGATGCGCGACGACCGAACGACTGTTGATGGTTGACCGATATTGAATTGGTTGGTTCGTGTCTGGCGGGGAATCTCTGATTGGAAGGCTGGATAGCCGCGGAATTAGTGTCACGTCACAGAAGATGTCATGTGACGACTGGAGACCGGAAGACATGATTTGAGAGGCTTTTCTTGATAATTCGTAGAATTTCTTGGCTTTTTTCTAGCCATAGTAGAGTTTGAGATGGTCGAGGGTGTTGGAAGCAGAAAAAAGGAGCTTTTCACTTGTATTCTAATGTTCAGAAACTGAGCCTTCAGTGGCCACTTTAGTAACTTCAGGGCTCTTAAGTGATCCCTAGAATCGCTCAGAAACGTCTAGGCCGCTTCTAGTTCGAGTTACCAAAGTCTGAGGTACTCAAAAGCCAAGAAAACTCGGAATTCTCAACAGAGCGCACAAGATCTTCAATTTGGAGCCTTTTTCGAACTTTCTCCTCAGACGGATTTAAAATTTCTTCGAAGAATCTCTTGTTCTCGAGTCCCTGCCAGCTGTCGTTTGTGCGCATGGACATCGGTCACAGAACAATGAAAACCGCCGCCGCCGCTGGACCCTCTGAGAGCCTCGAAAGGACGGACGGAAGCGAGAGAAACGGAGAGAAAGAGGTGACAGGTGTGACTGGGCAAATAGTGTCTCCTTTTTCTTTCTGCTTTGGTGGTCCCTTCCTCTCAGTCACTCTCTTATCCGGCACGCACTTCACTGTGACCGCGGAATATGTTGTTCTGTATGCCGTTTGTATTAGAGCTTATTCTGCATCTAGTTTTTATTCAGAATCAGTTTGGAGATGATCACAAGAGAATTCTGAACTTGCTGTCGTTCGTCACAAGTTTTAATGCAGTTCCAAGTTGCGGAGAGTGAACATGCCGTTATTACTTAGACTTAATGGAAAAATTGAGCTTTTCCTTCCTTCTCCGGCTTGAAAAATCGAAAAATACAATGAAAACTGAGCCATTTATTTTATAATCTCAAGAAAATCCTCAAAAATCATCCAAAAAGACCGCGAAACCGCAAGTAATTCGGGCGAGGATTTACGCTGGCCGAGGCGGCGATTCCAAAAGGAGGCCATAGTCATAAAAAAGAAACGATCCTCGTCGTCGAATATCCTCATATATGTTATATGTAGTCCCTTATTTCGTTCCACACAATCGAGTGGAGAGTTTAGAGGAGCTTAGCCTCAAAAAAAAACGGGTAGAAAAAAAGGCCAAAGATCCGCGAAAACTTCAAAAAATAATGACGTCATCAATACGAATATGACGTCATCTCCAAACTAGATTCCAACGAATTAACTTCAGACTCAGGATTTTCAGCCAGTATGTCAGTTTCGATGCTAAGAAGCGATGAGTTGAAAAGTGACGTCATCGTTAGGCCAGATTCCCACGAGCTGACGTCATTTTCATCGTTCCAGCCTTCACCATCGCTTACTAGTCGGATGATTCGGATGATAAAGTGACGTCATTTTCATCGTTCCAGCCTTAATCATCGCTTACTAGTCGAACATTCGGAAGAAGGGAAATGACGTCATCAAGAGCCCGATGAAACTAGTGACGAAGGAAAATGATGACATCAAGAGCACGATGAAATTAGTGACGTCATCGTTGGGCGAGATTCCCACGGGCTGACGTCGTTTTCATCGTACCAGCCTTCATCATCGCTTACTAGTCGGATGATTCGGATGATAAAGGGACGTCATCAAGAGCACGACAAAACTAATGACGTCATGGTCTGACTAACTTGTCGTCATTTCCAAATGAGTCGTTTTCGTGATTTTTTGTCCAACCAGTGTTTCTACACCTTGAGATTGAACTATACCTGCTTGGCGGAGAAAGCGGCGTCAATCTCCTTGGCGATCATCTTTCGCTGTTCGTCGATGGCGCGAGCCAAAATGGCGACATTTTCGTCGAGTTGCGCATGAGCCCGGTGCAACGACGCCGTCAGACGCTGTTGCGACGAGTCCACCTGTAATCAATCCGTGAAAAAATGTATTTGGAAAGAACTTTCTGTATCTTAAGACTCTTTAGGGGACTACTCATAAACACTAAAAGCTGAAATTTATTTTCGATAAAGGATCATTTTTCGAAAGAAAAACCCTTCTCAACCTTGAATTTTGATCCAGTAAATTCAAGTAAACTGCTAACTTTCTATAAAAAGGCTTGAAAATTCGAAAAATCACGTTTTTTCCGCAAATCCCCTATCGAAAAAAACCTTTAAGCCTTCCAGAAAGCTCTCAAAAAGCTTAAGGTGACGGATAAAAACAATTTTTTCTGTTTGAGATAAGGCGCATTAAGAAGACTAAGCAGATAATAAAAAAAAACCACGGATGATGTGAAATCCAAGAAAAGCTTTAAAAAAACTAAAATTCATTTTCTGGGAAAAAATTACTGAAAATCCTCTAATTTTCTCCTTCCAGCTGCTCTGTGGAAAAAAAGCCATTCAGGGCCCAATAAATCTTGAAAAGGTCAGTCAGTCTCTTCCTCATCACCATGATCGACTCATCTCACACTCCCTTCGCGCACCTGTTTAAACATATCCAACAATTCGGAATGCTTGGCGCGTGCGTCAGTCACCAGCTGGTCCATCTTCAGCATCTGCTTCTCAGCCACCTGTAATCAATCGCGGCGTCTGATGACAATGACAATGAAAAATGGCCTTGGGACAAGGAAAAAACGAGGCGATTTATGTCTTCAGTACTGGTATACACTTAGTTGAGTCAATGGTCGCATTTGGAATGGCTCAAAGCGCGGTGCGGTTAGAATATGGCTCATAGAAGACTTGGAGTTTGAAGCGACTGGTTTCGATCCATTCCAAATGCGGAAAAAGACTTTGAAGTTTAATATTGACTGAGAAAACGGTGGAAGAACATCTTCAGTACTGGTATATACTTTTTCAGTTCATGTTCGCACTTGGAATGGCTCAAAACGCGTTGCGGTTGGAACACGGCCAACAGAAGACGTGTGCTTTAAATCAATTGATTCCGATTCATTCCAAATGCGGCAAAAGACTTCAATTTTGACTGAGAAAACGGTGGGAGAATGGCGTTAATGTCTTGAGTACAACTGATGTATACGTGGTTCAGTGGATGGTCGCATTTGGAATGGCTCAAAGCGCGTTGCGGTTGGAACACGCCCTACAGAAGACGTGCAGATTGAAGCGACCGCTTCGCAGGCGCTACGCATTACTTTGAGCCCTTCCAAGTGTTAACTTGATGAGGAAACAATCAAAAAAAGTCTTGAGACAAGAAAAATGAGTTTTTAAAACGCCATGGTCGCACTTGGTATGGCTCGAAGGGTCGCGCAGATTTCCGCAGAGCGTAAGCCGTTTCTGGTCGGTTGCATAAAGCATAGAGCCATTACCAGTGCGACCATGGCTTGTAGAGCAAATTGAGCATGGGAACAGTGAAAAATCGATTAAGCTTCGAGAGGTCACTTTTTCCGCTCACCAGACCAAAGTAGGTTCAAGTCCGACCAAACGTTTTCAGGGTCATTACTTCCACTCCCTTCCCAGGCGGAAGCTCACCTCATTGATCGGCTCGAACTGATGAGCCGGCGCGAGGTGATCGACGGCGGTGCATTCGCGGCAGATGGCCAAGTTGCACGTGAGGCAGAAGAAGCACAGGGGCTGGTTCCGGTGCTGGAGACACTTGCACGTCTTCTCCGACGAGGCCGAGGAAGAGAGCGATTCGGTGCCCGACGTCGGCTGGCCCTGGAAGAACTATTTCCGGAATAAATGGGCTTCTAGGACCAGGAGAATTCCGATTTCTTCTCCCAAAGAGGGAGGTTCTTCAAGGATCTCTGTGAACTTCTCCTTACCGGCATCTGGGTCGGAAGCGATTCGACGCGATGATTGCGGAAGCAATGCATGAACTGATGGGCCATCGTGCAGTTGGAGCACAGGTTGTGGCTGCAGTCGTGACAGAACGTCGAGGCCAACTTGGACGATTTGCAGCCCGTGCACAGGGTCCGAACCGGCGACGACGACGTGTTCAGCTGCAACATCATCTTCCAGTTTCAGTGGAGGAGAGGTTCAAAAATTTCAGAAGCACAATTTTTAAACTTTTTTGTAGACTACAGTTCTCTATTCGCAGCCTTGAAATTCTACAGAAAATCAGCAAAAAAACTTTTTTCAGTCAGGAAATCAAGCTCAATCGTCAAAATTATTGATTTTCTTCGACAAAAATCGATTTTCAGGCATATTTTCTATCAAAATCCGTTTAGAACCGACTTTTTCCGGACCAAATTGTGTACTTTTTCGACAAAAATCTATTTTCAAGCAAATTCCCTATCAAAATCCGTTTCGAACCGGCTATTTTCCGGACCAAATCGTGTAATTTTTCTACAAAAATCAACTTTCAGGCACATTTTCCATCAAAATCTGTTTAGAACCGGCTTTTTTCTGGACTGAATAATGTATTTCTTCGGCAAAAATCGATTTTCAAGCAAATTCCCTATCAAATTTTGACTGGAATCGGATTTTTCCGGACCAAATCGATGATCAAGAATATTTTTCGTATGCGCACCGGCTCGAGAGGCGGCGAATCGCTCAGGGGCGGCGACGACGAGGTCGACGACGGCGAGCCGAAGCCGAAGCCGGCGCTGCGCGTGTCGTTCAGTTGAAACTGACGGTTCATCACCGACTCGAGGCCGAAGTCGGCCAGTAGAGAGTCAAGGCCAAGATGGACGCTGGAAACAATTAGATTAGTGGAAGACTGGAATAGTTGTCTTAATTAGGGGGGTAGGGGTTGAGTAAGGCTTTCAAATTCCGATGCGAAACTTTGAAAAATCGAAAAGTTCGAAAAAGGTCATTTTTCTCGTTACCTCAACTGTGTCTCCATGTGGCACTGTGGACAGACGATCCGCTCGGCCGATTCCAAATGTTTCTCGAGACACGCCTTGCAGAACGAGTGAAAGCAGGCAAGGACCTTCGGCTCGCGGTAAGGCTCCAAGCACAGTGGGCACTTGACAACCTGCAAAAAAAGTTAATAGTTAGCTTGAATGATCGAAATATAAAATTTCAGCGTCAAAATCGAGTTCAACATGGAAAAACTGCCAAGTTTCAACGTTAAACTCAAGGAAAGTTTGGAAAAAGCGACGGTTAGAAAAAATCTATTCAGTCCTTGGATTAATACAGAGAAATAAACATTAATGAAAGTTCGAAGCGTTTCTGAAGCTCCAGAACTATAGCCTATCAAAAAAGATTGCTCGAGTTATTAAAGGCGCATAGGTGAATTTAATAAGGGTCTCGAGGCGAAGAGCCGTTTTAATAGTAAAGATTTATTTCATTCACAAAAATAATCGTTTTCATTTGAGGGTCACAAAGGCCTCAAGCGCTTTAAAAAATTTTTAGAAACTCTATAGTTATTAAAGGCGCATAGGCACGTTCAACAAAAGTATCGAAGCGAAAAAAGCGTTTCAGCTCAATTAATTCAGGTTATGGAAGACTTTCGCGCTTCTAAAACTCTCTAAGAGCTCTAAAGTTATTAAAGGCGCAAGCCATAAAGGTCTCGAGGGGAAGAGCCGTTTTCGCGCCATCTAAGGCCCATGAAAGCCTCGAAAACTTTCCAAACAGCTAAAGACGGGAATTCCAATCATCCGCCGGATATTTATAGCTTTCTAAAGCTTGTTGCCTAATTCGGAAGTCAATTCTGGCGCGCTTGGGTGAACTTGGCCGCCGGGGAGATTGTTATCGGGTCCCGATATCTTGTTTCATTTGATTGATGAATAGTGCGGGTTTCCTTATTCTTTTGAAGGGAGTTTTTGATCATTCCTATGAAAATGTTCTTTTTAAATAAGAGTTTTAAAATCGATAAAAACGCTGAGATGTGACAAAACTATCTTTGAACAAAATTTCTGTTCAAAATTATTCGGAAAATTCCTTCAAATTAAAATTTAAACTCTCTTCTGAGCAAAGTGCATACAAAAAAGGTATGAGCCATTAAAAAAAAACGCAAAAAAGGTCCAGTAAAAAGCGTAGTTGACCATTCTATTAAAATACTAGCCAAAAATTCCGTCTCTCTAAAAAAGTACAGACCGTGCTTGACTGAAAGAGCCTTTGAAAGAAAAGATTTCTAGCCTTTTCAATAAATATACACAAACTCTTGTCTCGCGTGTCCAATTGAATGTTTGCGCGTGAGTTGAGCGCATTTTCGGGCGGGGGTCCGCCGCTGTGCTGTGTGGGAATTGGACCGAGGCAGTCGGAAAAAAAAAGAAAAGGAAGAAAAAAAAATGCAGCGGCCTCGACACTGCTTGGTCCCGCCGCCGAGACTGGCACAGAAGAAGACGATCCCGAAGACGAACGAGGCGAAAAGAGAGGAGCGTCTTCAATTGGGGGAGAAAAAAAAAGATCAGACAGACGTCTTTTCTCGGCTTCAAAAGGCAGCGTGAAAGTGAAAACAACATTTTCTAGGTTCCAAGAGATTTTGGAGAAGAAAAAAACGGAATTAGGTTAGCTAAAACGTCCTTGGCGACTTGATCAAGATTCTCAGTTTGAAAAAAATGAAAATGGGATTTTTCCTGAGAGTCTTTTCTAATGTGAAACGAAAAATTTTTGATGCAAAATATTTTTTATTTTTTTCAAAAAGAATCGAAAAAGTTTGAAGCAGATTATAGTAAGATAAAGACTCCATTTTAATATAATCTGCATTTTTTAGCCTAAAGACCACAAAACCTCGAAAATTCCCAATTTCTGAGAAAATTCAAATCATTCCAAGCCAGTTTCAGTATCAAATTGGCCATTTGAGCTTTGGAATCTTGAAAAAACCAGAAAATTGCAAAACCGCGTCAAAAATGACACGTAGCCAGGTGCAAAGTACACGATTTCTTGGTGACTCATCCCGAAAAAAAAGAAAGGAACTTTCTTCAAAAACTAGACAATTATCCACGTCTGAGAAAAATAAACGCTCTCTAAACTTGAAAGAGAAACCGATCGCTCTCTCGATTCCGCCAACAACAAAACAATCGAGCGATGCGTCAAAAAACGCTCAAAAATCACTCGAAAAGCTTTTTTTTTGAACCGACATTTCCGCTATCTTTTGGACAAAGAACCAATAAATGTCTTGAAAAAACGTTTTGAGATCCTCTCGGAGATAGAATTTCTGACTGAAGGTAGCAAACCTTTTTTTCGAAAACTTTATAATCACTATGGTAACTGGCAAAGGAAAACTCGTCAAACTCATCAAAAGCTGATCAAAAATCTCAAAAAGTCAACAAAATAAGACTCACAACGTTCCAAAAGCCAAAAATGACCAATTTGTTTACAAAATTCATCAAGTTTTGTCTGGAAATGAGCATTTCTCGATAGAAAACTATCTTTCCAAGCTTCTCAGTCTTCCGAAATCCCTGGTTTTTTTCAAAAATCGATTCGATTGCTCACATTATCGTAGCAAAGGACGAGAAAAAACGCTGATAAGCTGGAAATAATGAAACTGCAAGCTCAGCTAAAATCTTAAGCTCAAAAAAAGTCTTTAAAAAAAGCTGGAAAGTTTCAAGCTGTAGGCTTACTTCTAGGGGTCCTCAAAAGCTTGTAATTGCTAGCCCAGTTCTTGGAAATCCTAGAAAAAAACAGCTCAGCTTGAAAAAATTCGAATAACTTCAGAAAATCCTTCAAAGGCATCAAAAATCCAAGTTTGGAGAGTAATAAAAGAAGGAAACAGGTTGATAAGCTGGAAATTATAGAACTGCCAGCCCTGGCCGTCCTCGTCATCGACACACACACACACACAAACACACTATAGTGCAGAGACACACGACGTGTGCGGTCTCGGCCATTGATTTCTTGCTCCTCCCACTCGAAAACCAATCGGTTTTTGAGCTTTTCAAGAGCAAAAATCGATAGGAAAAGGCATGGATTTAGATTTGAATCGACTAAAATTGAATTGAAACAAGATCCAACGACCGAAAATCAATGTCTCTTGCTGGGAGAGAGAGAGAGAAAATTTTGTGTGCGGGAGGAAGGACTGGACAACCGCCACCACCACAATAGCGCTAGAGAGAGAGAAAAGAGAAGGAAAAGGCTGCGGAGGACGAGGCGGTGGGAGGATCGCAACGGACCGCCCATTTTCTTCGCCACCTCGAGAATCCTTTTTCCATCATCCTGTATGTCATACAGTTCAATCACGTGTCAGTCTGTGCCATTATTCAGATTACGGTAGCTACAAAGTCCGCAGACACGAAGAGAATGAGGAAAAAGGTTTTAAATGGTTCATTTTCTTCGCCACCTCGAGAATCCTTTTTCCATCATCCTGTATGTTATACAGTTCAATCACGTGTCAGTCTGTGCCACTATTTAAATTACGGTAGCTTTAAAGTCCGCAGACACCGCTCATTCGCGGAAAATGGCTCATTTCGTTGGCCATCCAACTTCCTGTATATCATACAGTTCAATGATGTGTTACACCTTTTTTGATCTTGACTTCTGTAGCCTGAAAGCCCGCATACACCGTTCCAGGCCAGAATATTGAAGTTCGCATCGAGAAGGAAAACTCAGAAAACCCCTAGAAAAGTACAAGGATCCGTATAGCGGCATATCAACGACTCAAAAAAGGACCTTTCATTTTGTAGTTCCCGTTTTTCGTATCAGAAATGATGGCGCTTGCGTGTCTAGAACTACAATTCGAGAAAAAACTGGGCTTTTTTTTGTTATAGTACTAAGAAAAGAAACTGATCAAAAAAACGGCCAAAAATCTGGCTAACGTGATCGGAACGCAATCCGAGTGTTGTGATGTTGTCGCCCCGTTGATTATAAAGCGATAAAAAGTCGCCAGAGAGACAGAACACAACGAACATGTCAAATCGAATGAGTGCTGACGTGGATGCGCGAAAATAGTTTGGTTTCCCGCGTGTACGTGGGTCATCTTTCACTTGGAATTTCATTGGATTTCTTTGAAACTAGACTTTGATTCAAATACACTCGTGAAAAGTTGAATAATTCTTTGAATGTAAGAAAACCTCTTGAACTTCTGTGTCTAATATCCCTTCTCTCTGTCGAAACAAAGTTAATGACCATATTCTTGAAAATAAGTCCGTAAATATGTCGATAAATACGCTAGAAATTGGAAAAATTCGCGAAAAACGAAAAAATTATGATTTTTCAAAGTTTCAGATCTTTTACCTAAATCAAACGGACGTGGCATCTATCTCATTCACTATCCAATCTTGAAATAACCTAAAACAACTTTAAAAACTAAAATAAAAGAAATTAACAAAAAAATGATGACTTTAAGAAAAACTTGAAAACATCGAAAAATCTCCATCCACGTTCGATTCGCAATGCGGGAGAAGAGTGTAGCAAGCTTATCAAGCGTTGTTTCCAGTCATCAGAAATCGCAAGCATTGATAAAGCAATAAAATTTATATAAAACTGAAAAAACCCTTTCGCGAAAAATTTTCAACAAAAAAACTGCGAAACGTGCAAAGTTGCGCTGATGCGAACGGCGCCGATTTTTTTTGAATTTGAAAAATTTGTTCCGAGAAATTTCATAATTTTTTTCTTTTTTTCTTTCTGTTTTTATTTTTTTGTTTTTTTATTGTATATAACTTTATCGATGAAAAAAAGTAAATTACCTGCTCGCTGATGGGCGGCGGCGTTGGCGCCAGTCCGAAGGATCCACCAAGCATCGGTTGTGATACCGCTGAAAAAAAATAACGAAATGAACATTATTTCAAAAACGAGGAAGAAAAATTCAATAAACGTCAGAAATGAGAAATAATGACTTTGGGACCAAGCGAGAAGAAAAAAATGCAAAAAAAACAGGCGAGATCATTACGTGAACACGGCACCGCCCGGCGTTGTTTTTTTTTTTGCCGTTTTGATCTCCGCTTTTTTTGACTTGTGAGCCCGTTCTTATCGTATTTATGCTTGAAATTTTATTTTGTATGTTCGTTTCAGAGATCCTTGCTGATATTTTTGAAAACATAGAACTTTGAATATCTTTCAAAAAAGCGATTTTCCTTAATAATTTATTGAAAATCGTCCATTTTCTTTTGAAACCAGGCATGATTTTTGAGCAGTCTTATCTATTTTTTGAAAGTTTAGAACACTTCCAATATAGTTTCTTTTTTCCTAAACTTTGAATTTGGCAGTTTTCTCATTTTTCAACTTGAAACAAAATTTTTATTATGATCATTTTCGAGGTTCTGATGAATGTAATCTTCAATTTTGCAGGCTTTTGAAAAGGATAACTTCAGCAAGGATTTTTTTGAAATAATTGCGTTTGGAAAAAATGAACTGTTTCACTTCCTTATTTTCCCTGATTCCTTGATTCAGATTTGAAATTTTGTCGCGTGCCATCTTTCCTATAGAGATTCTTGCGTTCCACGAGCCTCACGTTGATCTCTCATAATGGCCTATATGCTAATGAGGGCCATATGCTTTGTGTGAAAGATGGCCGCCTCGATTTTTCGGGAAACTGCCGTCCGGATGATAAACGAGCCATTAGAGAAGGAAGAGAAACAGTTATTTTAAACGCAGAAAAATCGTTTTTCAAGGGAATTTTTAGGCCTTTTTCAATATTTTATCGTGGTTTTGAATGCTTTCTCCGCAATGCGTACCTGACACAAACAGTAACTGATTTTTTCATAAAAGTTTTCAACAGAAGTTTAAATTATTTCTGGCCTTTTTGAGCCTTCGAAACCGTTCTTTGTGGTCGTTCAAAAGTTTGTTGGTTCAAATTGTCGCTGAATGATTTTTATAGCCGGAATTGGGATGCTCCCACGACGATCCGATAATTCTCACTGTTTATGGTGTTATTTTGTGTTTCGATGCGTATCTTCAGGCTTTTTATGGCCTTGAGAAAAAAATATCGAGTTTTTGTATGACTATACGTAGTCGTAGGATAAAATCTTGAAATTTTAATTTTTTTTTTCTCATTTTTTGTTCGTAATTCTTCAAATTTGCAAAACTTCTGTTTTTCATGATTTCTTCCACGTATCTCCCTGCCGGAAATTTTCTGTCAAGGTGTGGATTGACATTGAAATTTCACTTCAAAATATTCCGATCTTGCATTCTGCTCGTGTTTCTTGTATGGAAATGACTTGAATTTTATGAATAAAGCTTTTTTCTCTCTCTTATTCATTCATTTTTTGCCTACGCGTTTATCTTTGCATGGCTTTTCCCCCAAGAAAAAAAGGAGAAGCCTTAAAGCGACGGAATGGTGAAGGAAGAGGAGGAATATGACGCGGATAGGGCGTTTAATCCAATTTCCTCGTTGGTCAGTGGTCAGCCCTAATGAGGCCTTCAGTTAAAGGATACACACATGGACTTTCGGGGGGAAAAGTGCGCAAGTCCTTTCACGTCGGCCGCCGCCGACGCCAGTGTCACCTTCTGGCTCGATCATTCGTCGTGGGAGATTCTCACGACGCAAAAAAGGGTTACCGCAAAAGGATATGCGTCATGTTTGGTTAGTAATGCAGTCGTGTGTCTGTGTTTGTTGTACGACATTTCGCGCATTGAAATTGGAAATGTATATGTATCGTTTTTGAAAGGAAAAGCTGATTTCTGGTCTTCTAAAATCATTTTTCAAAGTACATATGTTTTGTTTTGTTTTTACAAAATCAAAAAATGATTTTCGAAGGGCTAAACGAGCTTTACTACCACAATCGTCTTAATGTGTTCTTTTAGAAAAAAAAAGAGCTGAAATCTTAAAAAGGTCTTGCGGCGAAGAGCCTTTTTCAGTGTTATTTTACGTCAAAACCGGCTTTTTAGCTCAAACAACGTCTTTAGAAGCTTTTTATCCTTATTTTTTTATCATATTCGGAATTTCTTCCAAGGGTCTGAAAAAGAACTAAAAAAAGAGGCCTGGAAATGAAAAAAAGAGCACTGAAATTCAATTTTTTTGTACTTTTTTTGATAATTATTTTTGAAGGTAAAATCAGCTTTTCACATTAAAAAAAGGTCAGAAAGATAAATTCTTACATTTACTATGGAAAAAAATATTGAGCTTTTTCTTCCCAAGGTCCTGGAAAAGACTAAAAAAATGGCCTTGAAATGAAAAAAAGCATTAAAAATCCAATTTTTTTTTTTCCAATATATTTTTTTCCACTTCAAAACGGCTTTTTACCTCAAAAAAGTCATCAGAATCACCTTTTACTATGAAAAAAATGTTGGTATTTTTTTCTTTCAAGGCTCTAGAAAAGACTGAAAAAAACGGCCTTGAAATGAAAAAAAGAGGACTGAAAAATCCGATTTTTTTGTATATTTTGATCATTTTTTTCCACGTCAAAATGATGATATTTTTCAAAATCGGCTTTTATACATTAAACAACCTCTTCAGAATCACATTTACCATGAAAAAAACTTGATATATTCCTCCCAAGGTCCTGGAAAAGACTAAAAAAATGGCCTTGAAATGAAAAAGAGGACTGAAAATCCGATTTTTTGTATATTTTTGATCATTTTTTTCCACGTCAAAATGATGATATATTTTTCAAAATCGGCTTTATACATTAAACAACCTCTTCAGAATCACATTTACCATGAAAAAAACTTGATATATTCCTCCCAAGGTCCTGGAAAAGACTAAAAAAATGGCCTTGAAATGAAAAAAAGCATTGAAAAATCCAATTTTTTACTTTTGCAATATATTTTTTTCCACTTCAAAACGGCTTTTTTTACCTCAAAAAAAGTCATCAGAATCACCTTTACTATGAAAAATGTTGGTATTTTTCTTTCAAGGCTCTAGAAAAGACTGAAAAACGGCCTTGAAATGAAAAAGAGGACTGAAAATCCGATTTTTATATATTTTGATCATTTTTTCCACGTCAAAATGATGATATTTTTTCAAAATCGGCTTTTTACATTAAACAACCTCTTCAGAACCACCTTTACTATGAAAAAAAGTTGATATTTTCCTTCCAAGGTCCTGGAAAAGACTGAAAATGATTTTACAATGAAAAGAAGCACTGAAAATCCGATTTTTGTATATTTTGATCATTTTTCCCCGTCAAAATCGGCTTTCACCTCAAAAAACGTCTTCAGAATCACCTTTACTATGAAAAAATTTTGGGATTTTTCTTTCAAGGCTCTAAAAAAGACAAAAAAAATGGCCTCGAAGCGCGAAAAAGTCCAATTTTTGTCGCGTCGAAATCACGGGCTAATCGAAATTTGAAACGTTCTCCAAAATGGTTGGACCTTTCCAAATCTTGGAAGGTTATTACTCAGTCATGATTGGGTGACATAACGCATTAACACAGCGGGGGCAAAGTAGCCAGATGCGGCGCCCAAATTAATCCCGCCGCCGCCGCCGTTGCGCCACTGTTGCCTCCCGAGTATAAAGTAGTTATAAATGTGTGTTTCTTTCCCCCCTAACTGTCCTCTTCGATTAATCCCCAAGGAACACATCCTTTTTTGTTGGATGTTGGATTTACCTGGTCTTCACACCATACAGATCGATCTCAAACATGTCATCCATAATCCTCGATATATAGCTGTTTATTGGCTTAGGCCTATACGGCTCAAAAATTGATGTATCTTGGGAAATTTACGACAAAAATTTATTGTCGAAAGAAAACAGAGAACGGCTCAAAAAATGAAAATATGTTATGAAGGACTCAAAAAAAGCTTCAAAAAATGAACTTTTTTCGTTTTTCAAGAACCTTTCCTTCATATAAAGCATTGTAAAATTCGATAATGGGTTTAAAATTTTGCTTTTTTCCAATTAATTGTAAATCGATTTTAAAATTCGGGCCGTAAAATACACTTGCGGAGCAAACATTAGACTTTACGCCAAGTTTAATTTTTTCCATCTCTCGTTTCGAATTTTGATGGAAATTAAATTTTCAGGTCGTGAAAAAGCACACAGTTGCGGAGAAAACATTAAACTTCACGCCAAGTTTCAATTTCTCTCATTTTTCACTTTTTTTCGACTTTCAGTGTATAGGGAAGGACGGCCAGGTAAAAGCTAAATTGCGGAGAAAACATTGAACTTCACGCCAAGTTTCAATTTTTTCTCCATTCGAATGAATATCAAGAGAAGTTCAGGTTATAAAAAACACACTTTCGACGTTATTTGCATATAAAAAGGACGGTCCGGTTTTTAAAATCTCATCTGCGGAAGTAACATTCAAAATGACGCGCAAATTTTTTTTCCAAATTATCTGAAGGAATCGAAGTGAGGTCGTAAAAAAAAACGATTGCGGAGGGAACATTTAACTTCACGCCAATTTTTTATTTTTTTTCTCATTTCTGCTGCTCATCCTAATGTATATAAACGGGAGGAATACCTGATCCCCAGGGAGAATTGTTGCCGAAGGGCTGTGGGATGGGTCGAGCGCCGACGGAGGCGAGAAGCTGGGTGAAGGCGAGCTCGTCGGAACCGCTGCTGCTTCCCAACGACTCCGATTCGCTCATCTCCCGTTCTCTGCAAAAACAACCGTTTATTTATCGCCTTGTTCACTATTTCGTCGTCGTCGTCTTCTATCTTTTTTTTTTCTTCTCAAGTGAGGCTTCCGCGAAAAACAACCAACTATACAGCATCGGTATGAGTCGTGAAAAACAATGGAGAAACGGGAAAATGGTTCAAATTTAAGAAAAGATTTAAATCCTCCAAAGAAGGGAGTTTCATATAAATTTTCGTGGATTTTTTGCCAGTTGCGGATTTTCAAAAAAAAATTTGTTTTTTTCTTAAATTCAGTATTTTTTTCAAAATGAATAATTCAGAAAATTCAGAAAAATTTCAAAATAATTTATTTTTTTCCAAAACTTCAAATTTAAGCTCAAATTTCTTTTTTTCTGAATTTCAGCTTTTTTTCTCAACCTAAAAGCTATGAGTGATGTTCAAAAAAATTTGATTATTCATGAAAAAAATTGTATTTTTTTCTTTTCAAAAAAATTAGCCGTTAAGTACCTATGGACCGTTAGAAAACTTGAAACATACGATTAAAAAAAATTTTTTTCTCGAATTATTCAAAACCAAAAAAATCACCCCAAAAAGCCGATTATTCGTTTTCTTTCAATATTTCTTTTTCTTTTTTCTAGCGGGGCTTCCGCGGAAAACAACTAACTATACAGCTTCGTCGTGTGTCGTAAATAACAATTATTTCCATGAGCAATGATATTTTCGAGTGAGAAAAAAAAACAGCTGTCTTGGAGATACTGTAGACTTTTTTTTTTTCGGAAGTTCGGGTTGAAAAAAATGAATAGGGGATGAATCACGTGATTCTAATAGGATTACGGTGGGATTTTGGGGCTAGTCTGGTTTGGAAAAAAGGAAGTAAGTTAAAAAGTGGTTTTTTGGTTTTTAATCATTTTAATAAAATGATAATGAAGTTTGAAACTTGTAGGAGAAGTCAAGAAGGCATATGTTACAGTAACCTCATGTCTTCTGGATACTGTAGCCTAAAAAAGAAAAAATTGAGGAAGATAAGTATAATTTCATCAAAAAGTTGAGCTCAGATCCAATTGGGAAGTTTGAAAAAAGGAAATTTTCAAGAATTTTCTCAATTTTGGCTTGAGAACTCCCTGATTTTTATTCACGAATCTTGCATTTTGGTCAAAAAAGTCATATTCTGGGATTTTTGAGATGTAATTTCTAGACTAGACGACGAAAATCGTGAAAGAAACTTTTGAAATGGATCCAGGAGCACTTTTAAGCTAAATTTTAGGAAATTCTCAACTTTTTCCGGAGCCAGAAGCTCATTTGAGCCATTCTACATGCGGCTGAGCCATTCTAAATGCGGTCCTACAGTACCTAGATCTCGATATTGTCGTTTCAAACTGGAAGAAATGATACTGTTATAAAATTATATATCATACGGTTTCTAAAGCCAGAAGCCTATTTTTAAAGGTCCCAAAACATCCGGATTCTTATAAGGATTCCTGAAGGGGTCCTTCAAAAAGCAAATAAAAGTTAAAAAATAAATGAAAATATCAGAAAAAAATATTCAAATTTCATCCCAGAAGAACTTTTACACAGCAAAAAATTTGAAAACAAAATTTTTTCTGGGCCGTTCTGAATCCAGAAGCTTCCTAGAAATCCGAAAACATTCAGAATTTCACAAGAAGCGTGCCAGAAGAGTGGGGGGTGGTCACAAGGTCCAGTCAGACGGGGGGCTGAGCACAAGATGAGCTAGAGAAGGAGAGGGGGAAGAGAAAACCACTTTGGTCATAGATTTTCGGAAAGAAGGATGGTGGCAGGCCTCCCCTCACTCTCTTCTGACGGAGGGCTGAAGTAGTCGTCGTGGAATAATAAACAATAAATATATATATATATATATATATTGGGTTAAGCCACGAGGTTGGATATATACACGATTCTCAAGTTACAGGGTGGTGGGAAAATCGGGATTAGGTCAGTTTGGCCGGCATCTGGGAAGCTTTACAGATGTCAGAGAACTTTTTTGAGGGGTCTGGGGTCTTAGGAATGGTTGAAATGATCTTGAAAGCTTTTTTGAGCTAGAATGATGTCAGGGGAGTTCTGAGAAGAGCCAGAAGTTTTTAAGCTCTTAGAAAAGCTCAGGAATCGGTTTAAGCTTCTAGGAAAGCCTAGGAATCGATTTGGAGCCTTCAAAAAGCCGAGCAATCGATTTTGATATCTTCAAAAGGCCTAGAAATCGAACTGAGCTCCTAGAAAAGCCTATAAATGTGATTTGAGCTTTGAAAAAAGCTTAAAAATTGATTTTAAGCACTTAGAAATGCCTAAAAATCTAATTGAGCTTCTAGAAAAGCTAGGAACCGATTTTAAGCTTTTAGAAAAGCCTAGGAATCGACTTTGAGCTAAAAAAAAAGCCCAGAGATCGATTTTTAGCTTCAAAAATCCTAGAAATCCATTTTAAACATTGAAAAGCTCAGGAATTGGTTTCGAACTCTTAAAGAAGCCTAAGAATCGACTTTGAGCTATTAAAAAAGCCTAGGAATCAATTTTGAGCATTCAAAAACCAAGAAATCGATTATTAGCTTTCAGAAAAGCCTAGGAATTGAGTTGAGCTTGTAGAGAAGCCCAGAAATCGACTTTGAGTTCTTAAAAAAGGTCATAAAACGATTTGAGCTTTCAAAAAAGGCCTAGGAACCGATTTTGAGCTCTCAGAAAAGCCGGGGAATCGATTTTGAGCTTCTAAAAAGCCTAGAAATCGATTTCAGCTTCTAGAAAAGCTCAGGAATCGACTTTGAAGCTCTACTCATGTCTCAGAAGCTCAGGATATCTCTGAAGATGATTTTTCTTCTCAAAAACGGATGAGAATCTGAAAAAAGGTCGAAAACAAATACTTGTTAAAGTACTTGAGATAAGCTTGCGATTTTAAGAAAATTTTTGAAAAATCGTGATTCTTCTGGAAAAAGCCCAAGTTTCCAGATAGATTTCTAGGATGGATGTCCAATATTTCAGGATCTTCTGAGAACTTCAAAGACCGAAAAAAAAAATTCAAGTTTTCAAACCAGGTGAAAATTAAAGGTTATCCTCGACTTCAAAGGCAAACTTGACCAGTTTTTCAGAACCAGAGCAAAGATCGAAATTTCTCGCTGTTCTTAGAGCCTAGTTTGATCAATTTTACAGATACCTTAAGCTTTCCTAGACCTACTCAACCTCAAAGACTGACTTTAAAAAAATCAGAACTTCTCCTAGACCCGCTAAATTTTGAATCACTTTTCAAAGTCTAACTAGAAATCAAGAGTCCCCCGAACCTACTAAGCTTCGAAGAATAGCCAAAAGTCCTCTAGACCTACTGAACCTCAAGGACTTCAAAAAAATCAGAACTTCTCCCAGACCCGCTAAATTTTTAATCACTTCTAAAGCCAAACTGAAAACCAAGAGTCCCCCTGAACCTACTAGTCTTCGAAAAAAAAGTGCCCCTAGACCTAGTAAACTCTCAAAGAAGCCTAACCTAACGGGAAAAAATACCAGTTGTCGCTTCAAACGTCACCGGCTGGCTCAAATGTCACATCACATGCATAACCGAACCGTAAAGCAAGGGCTAAAGCTAACAACGGAAAAAATGAGAAGGGAGAGAGAGTAAGTATACTGGGACAAGAAGGAAGACGGAAAGGGCTAGAGAGTGCCCCGAGGCGTGGAGGGTCGACGAGAGAAGCAGCGTGCACGAAGTGCCACGCCCACAACGCCTCAAGGGGTTGTTCTTCCGTCGCGTTTCTCTGCGCCCTCTCGTCTCTGCCGTGGCCGGCAACTGATCTCTAATCGGCTGCGACTGCGGCGGCGGCGACGACAAAAACGCCGAGATGAATAATGGGCAATTGGTTCGGGAAGGCCTCGTCGAGTAAATATAGGCATGGGCCGAGTCCATTTTTGGACATTTCCAGGATCATTTTTCAAGCCCCGCTGAATCCATCGAAAAGGCGTATCCCACCTTCTAGACCTACTCAAAAATCTTCGAAATCCACACATTTGATGATCTGAAATAGGTTTGGCCGTACTAAAAAGCCATTCTGACATCCTAGACCTACTAAAATCTTTCATAAAATGATATTTTATTCAGCTGGTCTGACTCATAAAAGTTTAAAAAACGAGTCACGAACTCCCTTTTTTTTTAAAAATCCCGGTTGAAAAACTTCAAAAACAAAAATTCTTTGGGCCTAGACTTACTGGAATAAGTTCGCAAAGTTCGCCATAAATTTTCTAAATGTCTAGAAAATCGATTCTCTAGACTTACTGGAACCAAAAAATCGACTTTCTTCACCTAAAAAACTCCAAACCACATCTCAAAACCGAAAAAACCAACTTCTACCGAGCTCAGACGAGTTAATCTCCCACAAATCCGCCAAAATAAAATAAAAAACTCAGCGGGTTCAGACACGTGCAAAACAAAAAATCGGCACTACGGTAGTCGAATGAAAAACAAAAAATGGGAAGAGACTGAAAAATCGAGAAAAATAACTACAATCGCTTTTTTTCAACAAACCAGACTAACTAAAAGGTTACTTCAAAATAGAAAAAATGAGAAAAAACTAAAAAAAAAAGGTCCGAAATGTCTAGACCAGCTCAAATTTGGCTTTAAAAGTCTTAATTAGAATTCAATTTTTTTCTCAATTCAGAATCGCTCAATGTTTCTCACAGTCCCTAGCCGAACTGAAAATTAGCCTAACTTGGAAAAGACGACCTTTTTCAAGCTCCAAACTCTATATACACCTAAAATTGATCATTAAAACCACATCTAGTCATAGCCAAACTGAAAAATCGCCATCTCTCAAGGAAAAATGAAAGAAGAAGGCGTTCTTCAAGTTCTGATCCATCTAGAGCCCCGTTTAGACTTGCTAAAATCTGTTCCTTGTACTAAAAATTACAAAATTATGTTTTCAGATAAGAGTCTCAAGAAAAAACCTCTAGACTTATCAAAAATCTTCTTAAGAATGGCCAGAAAGTCTTCAGAATCCTCAGAATCGTTCGAAGAACTACCTAGAGCAACTAAAATAATCCTCAAAGTAGCTTTTTCCAAGCTCAGGAAACTTTTTCGAACTTTTAAATCGTCAGAACTTGTCGAGGACGTCAGGAAGGTATCTAGCCTCACTAGGAACTTCTCCAAATCGGCCTTTGTTATGACCAAAAAGTCATTGGATGTTTTAAAATTGACATTTTTACTCAGACTTACTGGGAAATCCTCAAAGAGATCAATTTCTAGCTCAGAAAGACTCCAGATCGTCTGGAAGAACTCTTAGATCTTCTCCAGAAGGATCAGACAGACCAACCGAAATACTCTTTCGCCTTCCGACAACTTCCAGGAAGCAACTCAAGCTAGTACCGTAGCCTCGAAATTGGGCAAAAGCAAGAAAAAAGGGGAGACGACAAGTTTTGGTGGCGCCACTCCTCCTCACGATTGGGAAAAACAACAAGTATTGCCATTTTTCCGGTTAGAAGGAGATGGAGGTCTAAAAAGCAGCAGAAGCGGCGTCGATGAACGAAGGAAAGGAGCGAGGGGAACGAGTTTTGCAGTTGTTTTTCGTTTGCCTCAAGAGAGATTGTGTTCTCCTCCTCCTCCTCCTCGTCGCCGTCCGTTCCTGGCGCGTCACTGGCCGTCAACAAAAACAACCGTCTCATGGAATAGAAAAAAAAGAAGCAGAAAAAGAGAAAAAGCATCTCCGGATATGGCCAAAAATATGTTCTCTGGAGAAATTTTTCCTGTGAAAGGTCTAGTGACACCAAAATTAGTAGGTCTGAAATTACCAAATCTTTAAAGAAAGTTCGGATTTTCTAGGCGAAGACTTTCCAAAGGTTTCGGAGGAACTTGGGCCAAAAAAAAGTTGAATTAGCCAATTTTCAGTGATCTGGACGGTCTAGTCGCATCAAACTTAGTAGGTCTAAAATTACCAGATCTTTAAAGAAAATTCGGATTTTCTAGGCGAAGACTTTCCAAAGGCTTTGGAAGAAGTCGGAAAATTCGTTGATATAGTCAATTTTCAGTGAGTTGGGACGTCTATTCAGAACTAGTAGGTCTAAAATTACCAGATCTTTGAAGAAGGTTCGGATTTTCTAGGCGGACTTTCCAAAGGTTTCGGAGGAACTTGGGCCAAAAAAAGTTAAGTAAGCCAATATCTTGGGAGGAACTTGGGCCAGGATCTACACGGTCTACTCACACCAAACTTAGTGGGTCTAAAACCCGGAGATTTAATGAAAAATCTGATTTTTAGGACTTACCCAAGGATTTAGAAGAACTTGGAACATAAAATAGGTTAACATAAGGCTGTAACCCGAAAACTTCGGAAAAGTTTAGGTTGTTAGATTCAGCCATACTGAAGTTCGGAAAGGTCGTGAAATCTTGGAAAAATGGCTGGAGTCTTGGAAAAGTTCTGCAGAACTGGTAGGTCTAGGCGAGACTCAGAAAATGTCCAAGTATGGCTTCCCAAGAACTTCGAAAGGACCTAGAAGGTCTAGCCATACTAGAACAATGGAACAACCAAGGATTTTTGGAAATTTCTGATTTTCTGCAGGAAGGTCTAGAAGAAGATCAGAACATGTCCAAGTAGGGCTACACAAGAACTTCGGCTAGAAAACTTGGAAACTAGTAGGTCGTAGCGGAACTTCTGAACAACCAGAGACGTTTGGAAATTCGTGATTTTCTCCAGGACTGCTAGGTCTAGGAGAGGCTCAGAAATTGTCTAAGCAGGGCATCCCAAGAACTTTGGAAGAACCTAGTAGGTCTAGCCATACTAGAACATCGGAACAACTAAGGATGTTTGGAAATTCATGATTTCCATGCCGAAATGATTCCAGAAAGCATGGCCGTCAACAAAAACAACCGCTTGAAAAAGGGAGAACCTCCGGATATGGCCAAAACTGATTTCCCCGGAGAGATTTCTGGCCGAGATTGGTCCGGCCGCTGAGAAATCGCTACATTATCGCGGACAATGATCGATGAGTTATGTAGGTGTGGCTGGTGGGGTCTTTTTGAGAATCTTGGGGAGTCTAGTAAGGTCTAGCCATGCTTGAATCTTCAACAAGAGACGGAAATTTTGGAAGAGGTTATTTTTATTGTAGGTCTAGCCATACTGAAAAAGGAGAATCTATATAAGTGAAAATAAAAACTTCTAAGAGGTCTTGAAAAAACTTGATTGAGAGGTCTTATGGATCTAGGGATCCAGTAGGTCCAGACAAAGTGAAATTTCCGAAAAAACCGGGTCCAAGAAGCTTCTAAAGACTTTCAGTGAGTCTACCTGCTAGACTGTGAAAAATAAAGTAGGTCTAGCCTCACTGGAACTTTGGATAAACTTTAAACTGAACTGAGAAAAAAAATTTTAGGTCCTTTTGATCGATAAAATCGATAAATCTGGTGAGAAAATGTTCCTAGCAGTACTGAAATCTCCAAATGACCCATTCTAAGAATGCGGATCTAGCCAAAATCAAATCTTTTCAAAGATTCAGAATTTTCCTGTGTGCATGACTAGTCTTTCATTAAGAGTTAAAGAAAATCGAGAAATTCCCTAAGTCTAGCCACACTAAAATCTCAAAAAGGAGGGAAAATAGCAAGTCTAGAAGTACTAAAAAAGGTCTATTTTCAGGATCCCTTGTAAGTTTTTGACCCTGACGTGGTAATTTGACCTTAAACAGTAGTAGTTTGACCTTAAACAGTGATAAGTTGGCCTTAACCAGTGATAATTTGACCCTAACCAGTGGTAAGTGACACTAACCAGAAGTAGTTTGACCCCAAACAGTGGTAGTTTGACCCTAACCAGTGGTAGACCCTAACCAGTAAAAGACCCTAACCAGTGGTAGATTGACCTTAGCCAATGAGAATTTGACCCTAACCAATAGTAAGTGATCCTAACCAGTAGTAGTTTGACTAGGGACCGCAACCAAACTTTCAAAAAATTTTTCGAGCTTCAATATCACTATGGTTGGATAGCTGCTCCAATTTACTATTCGAAACAGTTTTTTTGAGAACAAAAAAGTTATGGTATCAAAAATCGAATTCGAAAATAAAAAAAGGCGCCAACGACATGGAACTAGATTAAAAACCCGAAGAAAAAAAGTAGTTTTGGTTTTTTGTACGAGACTCCGCTGAAACGGTTCGAAAATCGGATGAAAAGTATATCAGATTGAAGAGGAAGATTTTCTCTATGTTTCCATTAATTTTCTCTGGGTTTGGTTTAGTATTGCGCTTTTACGGAATCATCAAACACAAAAACTAAAAAAACCAGTGCATTTCACCATCGCAAAAAGGGGCGTGGCTTTGCGGTCTCTACCTTAATCAATGATAATTTGACCCTAACCAGTAATAGTTTGACCCTAGCCAGTGGTAGTTTGACCTTAACCAATGGTAAGTGCCAATTTTTTTTTTGAAAAATGGTACAACTTCGGCTGTTCAATAAAAATTTTATTATGATAAAATCCACCAAAAAAAACCCGATTTTTCCCGAAAATTGATCGGTCAAGCTCTTGCTTGGCAGGTCCATAAAAAAAAGAGTCTATCCGTTTATCTTTCAAGTTCAAACTCAAAAATCGTCCGACTCTGAGGAGTGCTTTCCAGGTGTAATTGGAGGAAGAAAGACAGAAAAAAAGAGAAAGCGGGAAGCGATTCTTCTTCTCCTCGAAACTTTCTTTTCTCTGCCCCCTCCCTGAAACCAAAGATCGCCCTTGTTTTTTTGACTATTACCCTGGAGAGACCCTAGCTTTTTCGATTCTGCTTTTAATCAGACCAAAAAAACTAGAAATCGCAGCTTTTTTTGGTGAATTTTTTTCAATGAAAGGCTGTCTACACTGTGATTTGGAAAAATTAATTTTTTTCTAGGGTTTTTTTGGATTTTTGAATGAAATAAACTGTAAATCGTTCCGACTCTAATCTTCCCTTCATTTTTATTTTAAAATTCCCAATCCATTCAATTTAAAGTCCTAAAAAATTCTAAAATTCAGATAAAATTTAATTTTTCGATTTTGCTTCAACAAGAAAAAAAAAAACTAAAAATCGCAGTTTTGGTGATTTTTTCAATGAAAGGTTGCCCACACTGTGATTCGAAAAAAATTAAGTTTTTTTCTAGGGTTTTTTGTTTTCGAATGAAATCAACTATAAATCGTTTCTACTCAAACTTTCGATTCATTTTCATTTGCTACTTTTCGAATATTTTCTACTCGAAGTCCAAAAAACTCGAAAATCCAACTTCCTTGCCGATTTTCTCAATGGAACTTGGTCTATTCTGCGAATGAAAAACCTTCCTTTTTTTTGAAATTTTTGATTTCAACCTCTTCTGGCTCTAAAATTGCTACAGGAATCTTTTTTGAAATCTCCAAATCTCTCCAAAAATCCTCGAAGACATTGAAAAGCCAACTTTTCAGTTTCCAGGAACCGAAAAAAAGGGAAAAAAAAATTTGCGAGCGCAGAAGCACAAGTGGGCATGTGACGCACAGCAGCCGCCGATAATGCGCAAATAGAAACCAAAAAAAAATATTTGAAGTCAAGATGTTCCAAGTAAGCTTGAGAAGAATTATGGTGGGAAAAGATTGGAAAAAAAATTTCCGTTTTTTTTTTCAGAACTTGAAATGGATCCTATGGAGATTCAAAGCTTATAAAAACTTCAAAAAACTAGAAAAGCTCAAAAATAAGTTCTAGAGCTCTGAAAACCCATAAAATTCTTTTAAAAAGGCCCAAAAATGCCTCAAACTTCTCTTTTTTTCCAAATTCCTCTTTCCTTCCAAAGCAAAACTGGAAAAGGAGAACGGCCAGAACAAACTTCAAAAAAAAAAAACGCGAAGAAAATTGGAGGAATGGTCGCTTTTTCGAGACTCCATACCGAAAACTGGCTTCGTGTCAAATTATTACCTTTTTTTCTGGAAAATTCGGAGGTTTTCCAATGGGAAACTAGCTTGGAGCCGAATTATTACCAAAGAAAAGAGACCCTCTTTTTTTTTGAAACGGGAAACTTCAAAAGGGGGGAAGATTTATTGGGTGGTCCAAATAAAAATGGTCGGCGCCGATGTGTGACGATGGTTATCTCTACGTTTCGGTTGGGTCAATGGAATTGGAACGGAACATTTTCTTCGGTTTGAACCGAAATTTCAAGATAAAACACGTTTTTCGGGACTTTTTTGTTAAAAAAAATCGATAGACTAGAGTCTAGTTTTATGATTTCTGATCACAAAAAACTGATTGATTATTGGAAAACTGCTATTTTCGACTTTTAAAACTAAAAAAATATTATAGAAAAAAATCTATGATAGTGTGAGTTAATCGGAAAAATCAACATACTTCGAAAAATTATTTCAAGACAGGAAAAAAAAATTAAATCATCAAAAAGTTGTCTAAACCCCTTAAGTGACCAATTTGGCTTGGTTCAATCAAATTCTCTAAAATCCGTTCACCTAGAAGAGAAAAAAACGGAATTTTTACACAAATTTGCGAAAAAAGACTGAAAAATCAACCATTTTTCCTCCTTTAAGTGACCTTTTTCTCACATTTTGAACCCTCTAGTGACTTCTTATACAGATTGTATTTATCCAAAAAATGGTCAATGACCAGTAGAAAAAAGATTATTGAGAGCAACTAAAAACCTTCTCAGAACGACAAATATCCATCAAGTGATCCCTTAAAATCCCTACATCAAACAACCAAACTCCAAAAACCGGCGACGAAAAAAGGATACGTTTCATCATCTCACGAAACTTTGGAAACCGGGGAGAAAACTGAAAAGGTCGGACAAACCTGGAAAAATCCAAATACGGCAACATCCTTGCAATGGCTTCGTCGACAGGCAGAACCGATCGAAAACTTTTTTTTTGTCCAGGAAAAAAAAAAGAAGAAAATAAGAGCGGTGGGGCGAAGCGTTTGCTGCTGATTTCAGAGAGAGAGAGAGGTCCTGTTTGCGAGTCGGCGAGAGAAGCAAACGGCACGACGAGAGATCCTCGGCTGGCAGGAGAGACCGAGGTGTGTCAGACACCGAAAAATGAGAGGGAGAGAGAGAGCGCGTGATTTCAAGAGGCTCCGCCCATTTTCATCGTTTTTCGGTCTTTGCAAAGTTGGTCGAGTTGCGATGAAACAACGGCGAACGAAATACAAAACAAAAACAAGAGAGTTTAGAGAGACAGAGAAAAGTGTTTTTATTAAAGCAGCAAACATCGCAGCCGACGTGTACTATTACAACTACAAACACGCCTCGAGGACATTCTGACAAATTCGTTCCGAGTGGTCACTTGAGTGGAAATTCTTTTGAAAGCGGCGGCTCTAGAGAGCCTCTTGTAGTGGTTATTTTAGTGAATAAGTTTCCGATTTTGCCTCTATGACGTCATTTGTGTTCTCTAGATTCTAGTGACCACTTGAGTAGATTTAGAGCAATCCCGTGAGCCATATTTGAAGGTACCACTTGAGTGAAAATTCGATGACGTCAAAATGAAAAAACCCATTCAAAGTAGTCATATACGTGCAGAAAAACTTTACCAAGGCTTTACGATATTCCTTGATGGTTCAAGTGATCCCTTAAGTACCCCTTGAAGTGGCAAATTGTTTGCCAAGCCTAGAGGTACAACTTGAGTGAAAATTCGATGACGTCATATTTAAAAAAAACCTTTCAAAAAAGGTCATTTGAGTGCAGAGAATGTCACCAAAGGCTTTACGATTATCTCCGTGGTTCTAGTGACCCCTTAAGTACCCATTGAAATGACAACTCGAGTGATAATCTGATGACGTCACTTTTTCAATTTCTTGAAATGACTTGTTGAAGTGACAAGCTTGAAGGTACAACTTAAGTGAAAATTCGATGACGTCACAATAAAAACGATTTCAAAGAGGTCATTTAAGCGCAGAAAAGTTGCACTAAAGGCGTCATAATCTCCTTTGCCTTTTTGGATTAAGTGACTTCTTAAGTACCCCTCAAGTGGTAACTTGTTTGCCAAGCTTAGAGGTACAACTTGAGTGAAAATTCGATGACGTCACAATCAAAAAACCCATTCAAAGTGGTCATTTGAGTGCAGGAAGTTTCACTAAAGGCTTGACGATATTCCTTGTCTTCGTGGTTCTAGTGAGCTCTTAAGTGTTTCCTGAAATGACTTTTTTAAGTGGCAAGCTCGAAGGTAAAACTTGAGTGAAAATTCGATGACGTCACAATAAAAAAAAACCCATTCAAAGTGGTCATTTGAGTGCAAGAAACGTCACTAAAGGCGTTACGATTATCTCCGTGGTTCAAGTGACCCCTTAAGTACCTTTTTGAAATGACAGATCGAGTGATAATCTGACGACGTCACTTTTTCAATTTCAAAAAGAAAAAAGAGCACTCGAAGAAAGTGCATTCGAATTGGAAGCAGCTGTTCTCATGTTCTTCCGTTTTTTTTTCTTATTTTCCCGCGCCTCCGCTGGAGCGCAAATGTTGTAAACTTCTCCGCTCGCTGGCAAACTTTGATCATTTCGTCATGGAATGCAATTTAATCGAAAGAGAGAGACTCCCTGTGGAGTTGAATATTTGGAAGAGTTTGTGAGAAAGTTTGACCCACTTAGTTGATCTTTGGTGTTTCCAGAGTGACCCCACGGAAAGTGCAAATAGAGAAACGTTCGATGGAAACTTTCAATAAAGTCCCTATTCTTCTTATAGGCATCCGAGGGGTCCTGAAGGGTCCGTTTCACTAGTTTTATACTTCTTAAGGGATCCCTTGAACTCCCTGTGGGATATTCCTAGAGTGACCACTTTGAAGCCTCGCTTCTCTGGCTGAAACTTTCTTTCTATAGGTATCCCATTCGGCTTCGGTTGTATACTTCTTGAGGGATCCCTTGAACTCTCTGAACGATATCCCTAGAGTGGCCTCTTCCAAGTCTCGCTTCTCTGGCTGAAACCTTCTTTTCATAGGTATTCGATTTGGGGGTCCGTTTCACTTATTATACTTCTTAAGGGGTCCCTTGAATTCTTGAAGGATATCCCTAGAGGGACCACTTCAAAGTCTCGCTTCTCTGGCTGAAACCTTCTCCTCGTAGGTATTCAATTTGGGGTTCCGTTTCACTTATTTACACTTCTTAAGGGATCCCTTGATTTTTTTAAAGGATATTCCTAAAGCGGCCACTTTAAAGTCTCCCTTCTCTGGATGAAACCTTCTCATAGGTATCCGATTTGAGGGCCTGTTCGGTTTCTGATAAATTCTCCTTAAGGAATCCCTTGAACTTTCTGAAGAATATCACTAAAGTGACAACTTCAAAGTCTCACTTCTGTTTTGTATTTCTGGAAGGATAACTTAAGTGACTTCCCTGCAAAATCTCTTAAGAGCTTTTAAAGTTAGCCCCTAGAGCGACCACTCCAAAGTCTGTGACGTCATCGAAAATTCCTTTGTCTCTCGATCTCCTACAACAAAGGAACGTTCGAAACTAGATTTTCCGAAAACTGATGACGTCATAATTGTTATGATGGTGACGTCATTTAATTATTTTTCCAATTAGCGCTCGTCTGGTTCTACAAAGCAAAAACGTTTGCTAAGTGATCACTTTAGTGGAGTAAGCCTAAATATTGGTTCGACCAAACTATAAACTATTCATCAAGAAACTTCCTACTCCGTAACTAAAACTTGTTGCAACTTGGAGCAATTTGGAATCTTGAAGGTTCCGGCTTGACCAAACTACAAACGACTTGAGTAAACTAATCGAGGTGCCACTTAATCAAACAGCTGTTCTTCATTCCTTTTCATAGCCTGCAAGGTCCTTGGAAGTGGTCCCTTTAGTGTTTTAGGTCAGTGGCCACTCTAGGGTTCCTTTCAGTGAAAAAAATCTTGCAGGAAGGTCCTTTGAGTGTATTTAGTCAGTTTGAAGGCTTTTTAATTTGGACATTCTGCAAGGTTCAAACTACAAACATCTTATAGCCGCTTTTTCAATCCTCCTTCTTCCGGTCGGATCTTCTCACTCCTCTGCCCCAAAAGGTGCCACTAGAACTTGAACTTGGATCAACACCGAGGAGGGCTATGAGAAGAAGGAGGAGCGGCGTCGGCGACGGAGGCCCAACACAGCAAACAACGGCTAGGCGGAAAAAAAAATGGCGCGAAACGAGCAAAGATCATCCTTCCCAACGAGAGACTGTCTATGTGTCTGTGACGTGTTCTCAATCGCCGTGGGCCCTATAAACGTTTGTCGATCCCCGAAATCGGGCAGTAAGGATCAGTTTTTGAATTGAGATAGGGTCGGGTTCGGTTCAAAGGAAACTTTCTGAGTTCCACATCACTAAAGTGGCCCCTCTAGGATCTGAAAAAAACACTTGAGAGGCCACTTTGAAGTCTCTCGTTCATCTTGCAAGTAGCTGAAAAGTCCGAGGGGGCTATCATTTTTTTAAAAAATCGATCAGTAAGGATCAGTTTTTGAACAGAAAAAGGTCCAATTCGGTTCAAACGAAGCTTTTCTGAGTTCCAGAACACTAAAGTGGCCCCTCTAGGATCTGAAAAAACGCTTAAGAGGCCACTCTGCAGTCTGGCATTTATCTTAAGTTTCTGAAAAGAGAAAGTATAAGCCTCAAAAGAAAAATCGGTCAGTAAGGATCAGTTTTTGAATTGTAAACGATTCTATTTGGAAATTTTTCTGAGTTCCACAGCACTAAAGTGGTAACTCTCAGATCTGGAAGACACTAAAGAGGCCACTTTAAAGTGTGCATCTGGTTTGGTTCGAATGAACTTAATTTAAAAAAGCCTATGCATTCGCTTACTGCACTAAAGTTATTACTTCTGACGAGTTATTTTACTTAAGAGGTCACTTTTGAGTCTGGCTTTGATTAGTTAAAATTTGATTGGAGTTCAGTCACAATATCTACTCTGAGAATTCTCAAACCTTGAAGTTTCTCGATAATCCGACTATTTTCAAAACTTACTTGAAAAAAAAAGCCCTAAACCTTCACCCTACATTCGCCTCATCTTAAAGAACTCTAGCTTCTCTGGACTCTCTTTTCTCTCACCGGAGATGAGAGAATCTCTGGTTTTCGCCTAATTAGCTCACGACCTACATTGCTCCATTGTGTCAAGCTCACAGTTTGACTCCCAATGTTTGCTCAGGTTACTCACCTGGCCCTGAGAAAGCCGACTGACCCAGCCGCAGCGAGTCGGACCACCCGCAGGTGTCTCCAACTTTGGGTCAGGCTCGAGACAAAGGGCGGCGGCGGGCCAAAAAAGGCGGTTGTGGGTAATCTCGTTACCTCACAATGCTACTTGATACCCTCGGCCACGCTTTTGCGCAACACTTTTGCTCCTTTCTTCCTGATATGCGGTGTGTTCTTTTATGGCAAATAAGGTGTGGTTGGATAATGAAGTGGATGGCTAGATACTATAGTGTTTTTGGTGGGCTGGCTCAGTTCAAGGTCGCATTTGGAATGGCTTTTGGGATTTTGAAAACTTCGGTGACTAGCCTCTCAACACCAGACTTAAAAAAGATGAAAAATCGGAGCTATTTTATCGGTTTTTTGCCGAAAATTCAAAAATTCCGTTTCAAACAGTGATTTCAAAAATTGTTCAAACCTTTCAGAATCTCAAAATCAGCAATTGGATAAACCATCAAGAAATGATAACCCAAGGGACCACTTAAATGACCGTAAAAGACGCTCACCAATTTCGGCAGGTTTTCTCAGTTCAAGACCGCATTTGGGATGACTTTTGAGACTTATATTCAAAAATCTAGTCCTAAAATTTATTTCCAACTTGTGAGAATCTCAAAATCAGACTAATTTAATGAAAAACATCCTTCTAGGGCATCCGATTGAACTTGCGCCATCGGAAAATGATAGCCAAGGGGCCACTTAAATGACCGTAAAAGGCCTTCACGAACTTCGGCAGCTTTCCGCGTTCAGGACCGCATTTGAAATGGCTTTCGGGACTTTGAATAATCGGCGATTAGTCCAGCCTAGACTAAACTTTCGAAAAGCCAAAGAAGCATGATTTTATTAATTTTCGACCAGAAATTCAAAAATCCAGTTCTAAAAATCTATTCCAACTATGAATCTCAAAATCAGTCCAACCCCATGAAACATCCTTCTAGGGCATCCAATTGAACTTGCGACATCGAAAAATAATAGCCAAGGGACCACTTAAATGACCGTAAAAGGTGAGTCCGCATTTGGAATGGCTTTCGGAACTTTAAACGAGATCAACTTAATGTTCCACCCCCCAGAGCCTTCGAAAAGCCAAAGAAGCATGGTTTTATTACTTTTCAACCAGAAATTCGAAAATCTAGTCCTAAAAATCATTTCCAACTACGAATCTCAAAGCCAGACCAATCCCATGAAACATCCTTCCAGGGCATTTAATTTAACTTGCGCCATCGAAAAATAATAGCCAAGGGACCACTTAAATGACCGTAAAAGGCGCTCACAAATTTTTTACAGCCACGCAAAAAGACGATTAAAAACCGAATATCTCTCGGGTGCAGGTGGTCCGAGACGAAAATGAGCCAAGGTCAGGTGCCAAACAAGGCAACAACACTGGGGAAGAACAATGGAGGGCAGCAAACAGTCATTTCCTTGTGCTTGATTTGGCTCCCGAAACGGAAAGAACAATGCGGAGAAGGTGGCGCTGTGCCAAAAAAAAAAGAATGGAAAAGAGGAAGTTCGGTCGCGGAGGATCAATACAATACTTCCGGTTCTAGAGGAGTCTCCGCTTTGATCCGGGCGGGAGAATAACAAAAGAGTTCGTTCAGTGATCACTCAAGGGTTTTCAGCATTATTGACTATTGGAATGGTTCCAGAGGAGTCTCCGCTTTGATCCGAGCGGCAAAATAACAAAAAAGTTCGTTCAGTGATCACTCAAGGGGTTTTCAGCACTTCTGACCATGAGAAGAGTTCAAAAAATGAAACTGAATAATTTTTGGAGAAAAGGTAAGTCAAAAATCGAAAAAAGTTGTTAAAATTTGAAAGTGCGCTCCGCGGATAATTCTGAAAACGTTCGTTCAGTGATAATCTAGGGGTTTTTCAGCATTATTTACTATTGGAATGGTTCAAAAAAATGGTACTGAATGGAAAAAAAGCTTAATTAAAAAAATCGAAACAAGTTGTTTAAATTTCAAAGTGCGCTCCACGGATATTCTTGAAAAAAATTTTTCGAAAAATAATAAAAAAAGTGTTAGTGGTCACTCAAGGGATTTTTAAGCTTTTTCTGACCATGAGAAGAGGTCAAAAAAATTGAAATAAATATTTTGTAGGGAGAAGCCTAATCAAAAAAATCGAAAAATACTTAGTTTGGAAGTGCGCTCCACGGATAATCTTGAAAATATTTTTTAATGTTTGTTGAAGTTGAAGAAAAATTTTGTTCAGTGATCACTCAAGGGATCTTCAACATTTCCACCATAAGAAGGGTTTTTGTTCTGATTTTTTTTTGGAAAAAGATCATGCCAGAACCGGAAAAATCGAAAAATGAAGTCGATTTCGAAAGTGCGCTCCAAGGATAATTTTAAAAGACTTTCCAAAAACATTTGGATTTCGGTAACGGAAACCGGGTGTTTCTGAGAATTACTAGTGACCCCTTTAGCGGCCTCAGCACTCTTAAGTGATCCCTAGAGCTGCTCAGAAACGCCCGGCGAGCGTTTAGCTTCCGTTACCGGGGTCCGAGCTAAAAAATGGTTCAGAAAGGCTTTTTTTTTTGTAGATTTTTCAAAATTAGGCCGTTTTGAATATTGATCCTTTTCCTCAGAAACACTCAGAAATGAGAAATGTTACGAATTCTGAAAACCGAAATATTTTTGTCTTCAAAATCATTATCAGGTGTTTTTCCTTCGCTCCATTTGCATTATAGCTTTTTTTTCGGGCTCTGAACAACAAGCTGTTTTGGGAATAACACATTTGTTTGACAGGAAGATTGAAAATGTATCGTAGGGAAAAAAAATTCAAAAAAGTCGTTACTAGAGAGCGATTTCGATGGAAATTACTCGGTTTATCTATGGAGCAAAGTTCGTTGAACCAAAACGGCGATTTTTTCCTACCCAATTTTCCTCTCAAATTTTCAATTTTCATGTTTTCTAGCCTTCTTTATAATGAGAAAAATCAAGAAAAGCAAAAAATCGCTAGATGAAACACCAAAAAACGAGCAAAAAGTCATTTTTTTTTCTCTTGTTTGATCGGAGAAAAAGGGGGGAGGCGTGAGAGAGTGGAGAGCGCCAGACGGCGAAACTGCACGGGGTCCAACGTTTTGCGGGAAAACTTTCGGGCCAACAAAAGAGAGGGATTTTCGATTAAACGGTTACTTTTTTTGAAATTTCGGGCCGTTCAAAAATTGAGCGTTGCGTGTGCGTCGCGGTTATGACGTCATTATTTCGAAACAGTAGTAGGAAAAAAATGAGCTAAAGTATCTCTTAAAATCCTCGATCTTGTCATTTTTTGGAAGCGGAGCGGTCGCGTCGCGGCTATGACGTCACTTTTTTAAAAACGGTTATAGGAAAAAACAGTTAAAAAAATGAATAGAGATTCATCGAAAAATCTTCGAGTTAATTTTTCTTCGGCAAAAAATGACGTCATTATAAGCGATGCGGTCGCGTCGCGGCTATGACGTCATTTTTTTTTTTCGGAAATGATGATAAAAAATGTTTCGAACTTATCCAAAAAATCTCGAATTCGTCATTTTTGCTCGAAAAATGACGTCACTATTCTAATCTAATTAAAAAAATAATGAGATGACGACGTAATTTCTGAAGGGAATGCTTGGGAAGCTAGAAAAGCACAAAGTGTCGGAGGACGGGGGTGGAAAATCGACCCGTCGATGACGTCACACACACTTTGCCCCGAGCCATTTCGGTTTCGACGCTCAACGGCGCTCACAGCAAGAAAACGCTCACTGGAGCCTTTTTAGGAAGTCGTGAAGGTCCCTCGGGAAATTCCGCCGAAAACAACCGTTTCCGAGTGTGTTTATCTGGTTGAACGAAAAAACATGCTTTTTTCAGTTTTTGCCAGTTTTTGAAGAAAAAAAAATTCTCTCAAACTTCCTAGTTGTTGATTAAAACACGGTGCTTCAAACTGGAAAAGAAAGACTTTTTTTTCTGAAATAATGAAATGAATCGTTTCGCAATTTTCCATGTCAAATTTGGATATAAATAGACTCAAAGTCATCGTCTTTTTTTTGCGCGTGTGATCAAATGTCAAGTACGTAGAGCACCGTATTCTACGCGCGAAAATCGGAACTTGTTTTTCTTCAATTTTTGCAATTTTTTCACGATTCAGTTGAACTATTCCTATGTCTTATCTGTAAAACCTTCATTTTTCGCAAAGTTTGAGAAAAAAAAAGAGGGGGAGAAGAATGTCAATGTCTCCTGGAATGAAAAGCCATTCATTCGCTTTTTGCGCGTAGGATCAAATGTTGAATACGTAAAGCACTGTGTGCTACGCGCAAAAAAAAAAAATTACTTTTTCCATTCATCTTATCATCATTCATTTTTGCGCGTAGGATCAGGTGTCAAGTACGCAGAGCACTTTATGCTACGCGCAAAAATCAAAACTGATTATTTTTTCAATGTTCGCGAATTTTTTTCACGATTCTGTTGAACTATTCCTATTTCTAATCTGAAAAACCCCCATCTCAAATAAAAATCTGAGAATAAAAGAAGAAAAGGAGGAGAAGAATGTCTCCTGGAATGAAAAGCAAAGGGAACGGCGGCTGAAGGAACGGAACGGCTGCTTCTCTCGAGAGAAAGAGGCAGGAAAGACGGGAAAAAAGATCCGAAAAAAAGACGAAGAATGGATGAGGAATTTTCCATTTGCGAATGCATGGAATAAGCCTCCAATGGAAAAAGGGCACTTTTTCGCACTTTTTTTTCCTAGATGAGACAAGGAGGGGAAAAAAGTTGTTGATTGGTGTTGGACCTTTCAGAGTAGTCGCTTTAGGGGTTTTCTAGCTCTCATAAACAAGGCTTTTTTTCGGCTTTTGAGAGCTTTAGGAGCGTTTTTTTTCTGCTTTTTATGAGCTTCTCAGCTTGAAAAGTTCTTATATATTTTGGAGTTGCCTCTTCAGGGGTTTTAGGTTTCATGAATGAATCTAGGGGTTCATTTAGACTTCTTGAAACATTAAAAGCATTTTCAGCATTTCAAGCGGTCATTTTAGGGATTTCTGCTCTTTTTTGATAAACCAATTTTGCTCATTTTTCGTTTCGAGAGGAATTCTTTGGATTTGTAGGTACCTTATAAAGTTCTAGATGATTCAAATGATACTTGAAAAAGACGAATAACGATCTCAATTGATCCAAGTGGTCATTTGAGTGTTTTTTCGACTTTTCTAGCGCTTCTTATCAACAACGAATTTTTTTTCCGACTTTCCTGTCTTTTTTGAATTGTTTATTTCTCAACACGATCGACTCATTTTTTGAAGCTTTATACCATTTTTTAAGCTTCTCTAGATATTTTAAACGGTCATAAAAGGTCCCGGAATAATCGAGGAACAAGAAAAATCGGCTACCAAAAATCGGAAAAAGCTGTTTTCTAACTAAACTTTCAATGAAAAATAACTGATTTTCGGCTCAAAACTGATCGAATCTATAGCCTATTCCAGTTGTAAAGTCGTTATCGGCCGTTCTCGCCTGACCCCACATTTTTTTTTCGCCTCATCTTCATGTCAACCAAGCAAAAGCTGACAGTTTCAAGACTTGTTGTTGTGGCGCCATCTCTTCGATAAGATAGAGCGTCTTGCTGTGTCGGCAAAAAATGATTTCTGGATCTTTGGAACGCTTTTTTTTCAGCTACGGAGACTACAAGTCCTTCTTGATATGAGATTCATCGAGTAAAATCATCCCAAAGTTGGATTTTTCCAAGGAGATGGCTTATGGAGCGTCTAAATTATTTAAAAATAAAAAGGAAAATTGCTTTTCACTGTGTTAGACTTATTAGGAAAAGTCTTAAAAATTGCTTTTCTTTTTTTTAAGATTTTTCCTACAAACCTGCAAATTTCCAAGAAACTCCCCATTCTTAAGCAAATACAAAACTTCAAATGAAAAAAATTGCCTTGCTCATTTTCAAAGAGCGTCGGCAAACGCGCTCGCCCAAAAAAAAAAATGAGCAGAAGTTTGTGTGTCTTGTGCTCCAGCGAACTACCGTAATCCTTGTTTTTTCGCTTTTTTCAATCTTTTGAGCGAGCAGAGGCGGAAAATCGAACGCATTTGCGGGACAGCGGGACCGATAAACATTCCCCATTTTCAAAATAACTTTACGACGTCCGGTTCCGGATTTTTTGGTCCAAAATTTTTGAATGCAAATTTGCGAGTCAACTGGTTTTTGGCCGTTTTTTAGAAATGAAAATGGGTCCGGGACAAATTTTCAGAGCCTTTTGTTCAGTTGAACCTATCGAACTCAGTTGAGAAAACTCAGCCTTGTTTAAAAAATTTAAAAAAAATGCAAGTTGTGCGCAGTTCTGAAAATTCAAATTGTGCGCAGTTACAATTAAAACTAAAAAAATGAAAAAAATTGCTGAAGTGACCCCTCAAGGGGCTTTATCGGTAAATTTCGAAAATCTTCAAACTGTCCAGGCTACAATAATAATCCTACGACGTGTCCTCGAAAATCCACTAAAAATAGTAATCCCTTAAGTCACCACTTCAATTTTTGCAGGAAACTTTGTGGGAAAATCTAAAACTTTCAAAAATGATCACTGGAGCGTTTCTAAAAGATACCCACTTAAGTAACTTCTCTAAAGCTCCAAAAAAGAGAAATTTTCATGAAATCCCTCAAGTGACCACTTTATTTTTTTTGTTCCGTAGTTCAGCTGTGGAAAGCCTCTCCGAGAAACTTCAAAAAAATAATAAAAATATAATTTTTTTATTTTTTTCCGTGCTCGAAATAAAGTATAAAATTATCTTATTAATCACATAGTTCTCATTAAAACTCTTCAAAAAAAAAATTTTTTTTTCTTGATTATTTTTGAAACCTTCAACAAGTTTTCCAGAAACTTTTTTTGTCCAGAAAAAAAACTTTTAATAAGATTAAAGTCTTTCCAGCCTTTCAACCCGTTTCTCCACTTTTTTTTTATCCCAACATTATTCCTATTTATGCGTTTCAATTGCGTCGCCGATGCGGTTTTGGGCGATTCTTTCGACTTTTGAGTGCTTTTGAGAGAAAAAAAATGGGCACCAGTCTGGTTGCATTTCATTTCCAACCGACAACAACCGTTCGTTTTTTTGAGGTTTTACGAGGAAATTGCGGCGGGCGGCGACGGCGGCAGACAATTCCGTTGACAACTTTGATGGGCTGCAGTTTTTTCTCTCGTATTTCATGTGTCTAGTGGGAAATTTCGGCTTGAATTTTCTTGGAAATTGAGATTGGTATGTAAAATAGAATGAGAAATCATTGAAAACGCATAAAAACTCGGAAAATGAAAATTGGCGAAAAATATAATCGACTTGAATGAGAATAACGTAAAAACAAGCCTGAGGACAAAAACTTCCTCCCACGTTTATATCCAATCGACGTATCGCAAGTAAAAACAAATAATAAAAAGAAAAGCCAAATTATTTAAAAAAACCGCAAAAAAGTTTTTCGCGTCGAATAAAATGCATTCTGCAATGTTGTGCATGCAGACCTAGCATTTTATCGTACGCGCAATACCAAATTTCACCAAAATCTTTTTTTAATTGTTTTTTTCTTCATTTTGGTTTCGTTTTTATTTTTTGAAAGTTCAATCTAACCAACCATGACTAAATTTGACCAAAGAAACCGTCCCAAACATCAAAAAACACTCCGAAATGAGTGACATTAACTGTTGTTCGAGAAGGAAATCAATTCGGGAATTATGTTCTTATCAAAAGTTTTCAGTTTTTGCTTGCGTCTGATTAGCGGCGCCGATAAGCGCAGACGCTGCGGCGACACGTTGGTTACGAGTTTTCCTCCAAGGAGGAACTGGATTTTGGTGGGAGAAATCATTGGGGGACTTGCAAATAATTAGAAAAGTCGTTGAGGTTTGGTTTGAAGGTTGGTTCATTGATTTTTAATAAAATAAAGTTTCTTGGTACAAAAAATGAAGTGATAAATCTATCTGGTAATCGTCAATTTTTTTGAACGGTTCTCTAAAATTTTTCATAAATTTATAAAAAAATCAAGAAACTGAAATCATTGTCTGTGAAAAAAAGTTGTAAGTACTGTGAAATTTTTCTCGAGTTACGGTAGTTTTGTGAGTTGGCAAGTTGGTTTTTCGGTCACCTTCGGCCTCTTATGGCTGAAAAATGAAAAAAAAATCCCTTGGGGAACTTTAAAGGGACCACTTTGGGTTTCCTAAGCTTTCAATAGCTAAAGTCCGATTAAAAACTTCAGAATATTTTTTCTTTTCAAATTTTGGTTTCTTCCAGTCTCAGAAAGCTATAAATAGCTATAAAATCTCAAAATGAGACATGGAAAAGTTGAAACAATAGGGAAAATTTTAAGTGGCCACTATAGGGTTTTTACGTTTTAGCGGCCACTACAGTAGTCTAATTAGTGGCCAATTAAGGGGTTAAAAATTTTAGTGGCCACTTTAGGGGTCAGTGAATCAACATAACTGGTCCAATCTGTTTGTTTTAAAGTTATCAGAGTTACTGGAAGGAATACTGGATGAAAAACTACTGAAGCGGCCACTAAAACGGAAAATATTGGCCACTATAGTAGTCAAATTAGTGGCCACTTGAGGGGTTAAAAGTTAGTGGCCACAATAGAGTTCTGAGTGGTACTACTAGATGACTAAAACTACTACAGTTGCCATTAATGAACAAAATAGTGGCCACTATAGAGGTGGGTTTAGTGGCCACTTTAGTGTCCTCTCCATGTAGTCCTTGGCGAGCCTCTAGTTTTCCCACTAGCTATAAAATCTCAAAAATCCGATATATACGATATTTCCTTCCCCAATCTCCCATAAATCGAGTCCGATCTCAAGTATTGGTATAGGTTCGGGGGGTTCTCAAAACATTCAAACCGCAAACCAAACAAAAGCCATTAGAACGCATGGTACCACCGGAGTGAAAACCCCGGTAAACAAAACACGGAAAAATGGTCGGTGCCACGGGGTTCCTCCTGTGCTTTTGTTTCCTTCCAGTTTGTTTTCCTTCCTTCCTTCCTTCGTTCCAAATCGTCGTGGGTCGATTTTCCAATGGGGAGGAGAAGCCTGAGTCGCGGCTCCTGGCACCAGATCTTCCCATGCGATAAAACACATTCGACGTTGTTTTTCGAATGTTGCCGAGTTGAAGGGAGACCAGGGACCGAGTTGATGCTCAGCGGAAGTTTCGTGATACGGAGTAGGCGTCTTTAGGGTCACGGAAAAAACTTCAAATGAGTCGTTTGAATTCTGAATCACACTAAAAAAAGGTGATTCTGAACTGTGAAAGCCATCCTCACAGGATGAGGCAGAGGCTCAGTTGATGCTCAGCGAAAGTTTCCTGATACGGAGTAGCTTCTTTAGAGTCACAAACAACTTTATATGGGTCTTTCGACATTTTAACACTATAAATTGATTCCAAACTGAAAAAGCCATGCTCCCACGATAATTTCCAGTTGATGCTCAGCCAAAGTTTCGGGATACGGAGTGGCTTCCACGGCGCCTTCAGGGTCACAAAGATGCTTTGAGAGAGTATTTTGTTATCAGAATTACACTCTAAAAAAAAATTCGAAGAGAATAAGCCATGCTCACAAAACGGCGCAAAAGTCTAGTTGATGCTCAGCGAAAAAAAATCGGATACGAAGTTTCATTTAAACTTCGCTTTTACGCTGTTGCCGAGTTGAAGGAAGACCAGGGGTCGAGTTGATGCTCAGCGAAATTTTAATGGATACGGAGCAATCAAAAAGCATTTCGATGAGTCTAGCAACCTTCAAACTCTAACCATAAGGACGAAATTTCTAAATTACTGAACAAAAAATCAGGAGTTCAATTGAAAATCAGGAGTTCAGTTGATGATGAATAAAGAGTCCATTTGTTTAATTAAAAGTCTTTGAAATGAGACGATGCTCAGCCAAATTTTGATACGTAGTGGAACAATTTTCGAGTTCTTTAGCTAATCGATAACGGAAGTTTTAGAGGGAGTTGATGCTCAGTGAAATGCAGCGCTGGTGATACGGAGTGAGTGAGAAAAAGCTGAAAATTCCTTGAAAATGAGCTGATGCTCAGCCAAAATGATACGTAGTGGAATCCTTTGAGTATCGAACTCTACTCAAATCAATAAAATTTTCTTTAAAGAAGTTGATGCTCAGCGGAATCTAGCGCTGGTGATACAGAGTGAATCGAAAAAAGTCCAACTCAAAACTGAACGAATTTCAGCCTCAAACATCGAATTTTAAAATAGACACTCATGTTGATAGGCTTATTAACTTGGTTAAATTTCATATTTTTCAGCTCATTTATTTTTTACATGTATTCCTGTCCTTATAAAATCGATAAAAACCTGAAAATCCAAAAAAAAACGGAACTAACCCCAGGACGAAGGAGTTTTTCGGCTGCCACATCATCCAACACAACGAGGACGGCAACTGAAAATTTTCCCGGACTTTTTTTTCGGTTTGATCCGAATCGAAACGTCACGAATACGATTGAATTTTCAATAGAAAAGAAAAAAAAATGAGAAAAAAAGTGAGAGAAAAAGAGTCGACTACACGGCTAGAGACGTAGGGTGGGCAAATGCGTTCGTCTTCAATTTTTCTTCTTTTTTTTTCTTCGTTTTTTCCCTTGCCATTCACTTTCCTGAGCTTTCATTTTTCTTCTTCTCCAGAAGAAAAACTTTCTCTTTTCTCCCAATAAACTTCTTTTTTTTTTTTTGAAAGAGGTTTTGATGGCAATCGAGAGGCGAGTTTATGGGGTCGAAGAAAATTGGAGAGGCAAAAAAATGGGCCAAGGAAAGGTTCTGGTTGGAGGAATCAAAGTGGAAGATGATTATGTGGGTGTTGGTATTTTTGAAAAAAAGTTGAAAAAAAGTGATATTTTTCAATATTTTTATTTTTTTAAATTTGACCTCAAAAAAATCATCAAGACGCGATAATTTTAATGGAAAGAAGAATGTATTTTTTGAATTGAAGGGGGAAATTTTGTTTGAAAAAACTAAAAAATGTCTTTTCAAGAATAATAACTATTCTGTACAATTTTTGTGTAACTTGGAAGGAAATTTTCTTAACACTCTGAAATCTTCTGAGAAATTTCCAGAACACTCCTTGATATACCACATAAAAATCCTGAAAATAGAATCCCACCAAAATTCCTAGTTTTCAAGAAAACACGTCTCAAAGTCTCAAAACGGCCTATTTTCACGGATTTTCTTGGTTTCCTTCAGATTTTAAGGTTCGTTTTTTGAAAAAAGGGAATTTCCGAAGGTTGAAAGTTTCCTGGAACATGAAAGAAAAGTCTGAGAAGTTTTCAGAAAAATCACCTTCCTTGTCAGCCAGAAACCACATCAAATGCCGTTCACTCGGTCACACAAAAAGCGTTTTTTTCTTCTTTCTCGGCTCTTTTTTTCTGCTTTCTTGTTTGATCAATGGGCCTTGCAGAAAGAGAGAGAATTTACAGAGTTTTCTGTGTCCATCAAAATTGAGAGGGGGCGGAAAAAAAGCAGGAAGAAAACTGGATGGGAAACTGAAATTCGGCGCGTTTTACAGGCAAAAAGTGAACTGCTAGAAGGCTATTTTTTGCATTTTGGACTCGAAATTGCTTGAGAAAGTGTAAAGTGGGAAAGAGAGGGAATGTTGAAATTCAGCCGGAGCCTTTGCATGAAGAAAAATGATGAGAAATGGAAATTAGGTCTAAAGAAATGCAAAAAAAACCATATTTTATAGGGAAAATAGGTTTTTTCCTAGAGTCTCATTATTTTATACGACGCTCCGTTTGAACAGCAAGTGTTTTGTCTACGTACCATACTGAGAATATTTCCAGAGGTCACTTTAGAGTTTTGAAGCTTGAGTGGCCACTATAGTAGTCGAATTAGTGGCCTCTTAAGTGGCTAAAACTTATTTTTCTTTTTAGAAGTCTGGGGTACTACTAGTCACTAAAAACTGCTATAGCGGTCACTAAGAAGCATAATAAGGGCCTCTGTATAGCGGCCACTTTAGTGTCCTCTCCCAGTTGCTCTTGAGGGACCACTTAAGGGGCCACTGGAGTTTTTTAAGGTAGTGAAAATTTTTTTTTGCTTTCATTTCCTATAAGCCAAGATCGAGAAATAAAAAAAATTTTTTTTTCAAAAATTACATTTTTTTTCAAAGTCTGATTTTTTGAAGTGATTTTTGAACTTTCCCATTATCAAATTAAGTTTTTTATACCTTTTAAGATCTTCCCAAGTATTTTCCATATAAATATAGAACATTTTCAAAACTTTGAAGCAATCTCAGCTGTGAAAAAAAAAATGGAAAGACGAAGAAAAAGTAAAAAATAAGCTTTTTTCGGAAAAAAAAAATGCTTTTTCCGTCGAAAAACATTCAGAAAAGTTCAATTTTTCATCTCCCAACCACACAATTTTCGCCATTTCCTTCCAAAATTCATCGTTTCAAGCCAATTTTTTTGAAAGAGAAGAAAATGAAGGGGTTGAATTGGAGTCAAAAGACGTTTGTCCAAGCTATTTATGATGGCCAATATATATTTATGGGACAAGTTCTTCCGGCCAAAGACTCGCTTTTTTTGTCAAACCATGTGAAAAGGGGGCTTTTTGGAGTCAATTTTGTCGAAGTAATGACAGAAAATATGACAAAAACTTCTTTTTCTTAAAAAAAAAAAATGAGCGAAATTGAGATTTATTATGCTTCTATGTGGTTATTAATGTCCCAAATTAGCCTTCAATAAAGTAATTATATTAAAAAAACTCGGCAAACTTTTTCAAAAAAAATTGTTTTTAACGTATTTTTTTCTCATCGTTTCAAAAAGTACTTTGAAACTGTTTATGCTTCTAAAAACCAAGAACCTAAACTCTTTCAGTATTTTATCAATATACAATCTAAAAAAACTGTTTTATTTTTTTAAATTCGGTCAAAATAACTATGTGGAATTGGCTCCAGTTCAAAACCGATCGAGCGGAGTGTCGTACTAAAAAATGAGAAAGATAGATAATTTGCGGGCCTTTCTTAAGTCTCTAACAGTTTATTTCAAATTGAAAATCGATTCCAAATGGAAAACGAAACGAATTTCTCAACAATTTGAAGACAAGTTCACGGAATTTCGATACATTATAACAGAGTTTCGTACCAAAAAGAGGAATATCCGTGGAAGAAAAAACATTCGTGAATAAATTTTTGGATCATCTGACAGACTTTTGAGCTCAAAACTTTGAAAAAAACACGATAAAAGTCTGCAAAAGAAAAAAAAAGAAAGTGGTTTGGACGCCCACTCGTCAGTGTATTATTTGCTTTGACAAACGGAGGGACACGCGATATTCCAAGGGAAAAAAAGACCCAAAAAAATATATATTTCTGGATTTCAAATGACTGAATATGGAAAAAAATTAATGAAAATAGAGATACAAGGAAGTTAAAAAAATAACGTATTTTCAGGCTAGACTCAGAAAACCATAACAATTGGAACCGATTTGATTGACGTGAATTAACTATTTTTAAGCTTCACAATTGTTAAAAAAATACAATTAGTCCTTCTTCATTTTTGTTTTCTGAGACATGATCGCCTTTTGGAATAGTTCAAAGCTGTTGCATCCGACTTGAAACGACTTTCGCGCAAAAATATTCACAAATGTTGAAAAAAAGCTTCTAAAACAGCTTCGTCAACCGTCATGCAAACGGAACCTTTCCAAGAGCGACCGATTGCAAAAAGTATCAAAATTGATAAATTTTGTGTAAATTTTCCCCGCCCCCCTACTCTAGGAATTCCAGAGGGATCCCTGTAGAGGTTAGAGGGAAGAACAGCCCCTATAGAGACCGAAAAAATGGTCCATATATGGGTTAAATCAAGGTGGTCCCTATAGGGGTTTAGGGTCTGATCCCTCAGCCGCTGAAGCTCAAGTGCTCCCTATAGCGCTCTTTCAATTTCATTCAAAAAGTGCTTATTTATTTGTTTTTCGCATGGAAATGTTTCTTCGCATAGAGTTCATAAAAATTATCGACTAGCATGTTCCCTATTGGGGCCACTTTCGCAAGCTTTAGTGGTCCTTTTAGGGGTTGGTAAAGTGGTCCCTCCATGGGCCCCTAAGACTGCCCCTATAAGGACCACTCTGGAGTCCCTAAGTTAAATGAAAAAATCTAAAAATTCTTCGAAGAATCGTAAAAAAACTACAGTAAATTTTCGACTTTCAATACTTGGAAAAAAGCAAGCAAAGGGAAAGAAAAAAATTCATTTTGAGCGATTCTTTTTTCCTCAAGACGTTTCGTCATCGTCTGACTCAGCCGGCATATCATACCGAACGGCCCCGAGGCGATTCCAAAGGACGAATGGAAAAAGGGGAAAAAAAGTATAAAATATTCTTTTTTCCGTCGCAAAAGAAGGAAATCAGCGTTTTTTTAAATAACTAAATCAAGAAAA